GAGGGGTGTGCTGGTGGAGTTGGGAAATGAGGTCAAATTTAAGGGTGTTTTTGGGCTGCAGGTCTCCAGCAGGACAGCTTCACTCTCTGTTGAAGATATAGTGGAGGCCAGTTCATCTTTAGAAATGTCAGCCTGCAGATTTTGAGCACAAGTTGTTGCTAAGCTTTCAGTGGCCACCTCTCCCTCAGGTTCGGGTCGCTCTGCTTTGGCTAGCTCTACAGAACGCTGGCTAGTTAGTGTTTGGTTTTCAACCTGCTTCTTGATTGAATCAGTGCTTGCTGGCGGTAACTGGCTTGATGGTCTGGCATCAGTTGCGACATCTGGTCCTTTGTGATGAGGGGTTTCCTCAACTGTTTTTGTGGGGGTTGAAGATGACACAGGAGTTGTCTGGCTAGTGGTCTCTGGGTGGCTTTTGGGGGGGACTGATTTTGTACCGCTGTGAGGAGCGCTTAGTTGTCCACTTGCTAAGACAACTGGAGGGGTGCCAAGAGCCTCTCCTGCAGTGGCTTTTAGCACTGGTGTGTGAATCTCCGCTACCACTTCCTGCTCAACAGGCCTGTGCTCTTTGGCCTTGACTCTGTCTTGGCTGGTTTTACGGTGTGTGCTGCTGGATGCAGGGCAGCTTTTGTCGACCATCCCATTGCTGCCCTCACCAGAGGAGGTCCGCAATCCCATGAGTGAGTCCTCCTCACTGTCGTGGCTGGTGATTCGCTCTTTTTTGCGGGAGATGTACCACCACCAGCCTATGAGCGCCAGCACTCCGGGAAGCGTATACGGAACAAAGGACCGGAACCTCAGTGGCATCTCCGTTGGACCCTAGCAGCTACACCTGCAGATCAACACAAGGAACGGATATTAATCTAATTTTGTCCATGCAATATGTAACAAATAACAATGCTGTGATACGATGCAATATAATGAACACATTAACATCAATTATTAAATCTTATTATTAATGTTATAATGTATTTATTTATTTCAAACACAGTTAAAGTTTATCAGTAACTCAACGTTTATACAAAGACAACTGAGGAAGAAAACAACTGAACTGCCTAAATTTGCCTCAAATAGCAAACCTCAGTAATAAATTAAAGTACAAAAAAGATTTTTCGTAGGGGATTCTTTTTCCATATTGATACTAAATATAATTAATAAATTGACACAAAATACTGATTTGAGTTGAAATTACATTTATTTAGCAAGAAGCAGCCAGAGTGATTCAAAAGATAACTTGGCACAGAATGTTTAGCTGTAAACTAGAGGAAATATCTGACCACAGACCATCAGAATCTGAAAGAATTCCAGGGAGGCATGTAAAAAGAAAATGTTTTGTATCTAGTTAAAATTGCACTGCCTTTGGGAAGTGAAAGAATCTGTGAGTCATCCTCATCCTGGATAAATTTCACCCTGATCAACAATCATTTGTCTTGTTCACAAGTCTGTGCAAAATTTTGAGAAGTACCACCTCATCATGGATCTACAACATGCATGGGCATAGATCCATACATTGATTATTATATAATATGCATCAAACCTTCTGCACCTATGTACTACAGTGTTTACAGTATATTCTGCCTTGTTACTTTACAGTGAGAGACAGGAGAGTCCTGGCCAGCCATGCAGAAACTTCAGGGACAATATCACATGGCTGATATTCAACCTCAGAGGCTGCAGGGAGCTACGTGACATGTCTACCTCTTTGCTATTGGCTGGGAGGGGCATCCTTTCAGAGTTAAAAAAAGGACATTCATGCATGCCTTTCCATCATGGGAGCAGCATTTCCCAGTCTCCAGAACAGGAAGAAGACATCATGCACAAGTCCCTCCCATTCACTCCTGTACATAGTTACCAAAGATAAAGGGGTTTCCGTTTCTCGTCAGCTTCCAGATGTTTCAAAAAGCAACCTGAACCTGCTAACTTATTCATTGTCAGTAAATGAAAAGTACTTTCACGTCTATCAGTTGAATCTTAATATACAAACATATTTTGACTACATTTATCATTAAAAAGTAATTAAAAAAACATGAAATTTGTCATCAATTATCACCCTCCATTTGTTTGAAACCTTAGGTTATCATCTGTTGCTAAAAACTTGCTAACAATAAATTGTGAAAATTCTTGGTAACCAAACCAAAGAGGATAACTACCAATTTACATTCATCATCACAAATGCAAATGGGGTTGGCACAAGTGGAGGGTAAATGAGTAATTGAGAGAAGTAAGCGAGGGCAGCTGTTAAAGTACAATGTTAAATGCATCTAAAACTGAGTCTTCATGTTATGTCTATCATAATGATGCGATCATACGAATACTTCATAACCACAAATAAAAGAGACATCAACTACCCGCTTGGCATGCATATTATAGCATTTTAATTGTATTTGTGTATCTGTTTGAAGTTACTGGAATAATTTTGATAACACTGGTCTATACACACAACTTTTTAAACCCAAGAATTTCCCAATTGTATGTGCATTGTGTGTAAAAGCACCCCTAGACTGTATATAAAGGTGTTGCATCTGTAGAAGGTTGCAAAATACAGTGAAGCAGAACTCCTTTTAGATGTACTGTACAAGAAACAACACTAGTAAAACAAGATAGCTGTACATGAACTTAAGCAGTAAGTGTGCTTAAGGGTTACAAAACCTCCAAATCACTAAAATAAAAAGAAAATGCCATAAAAACTATATTAATATAGCATTTAAATTGACACTCAGATTATTTATTTGTGGATAGATTATGTGTCTATTTATATATTCATCAAATGTCACAATTTCTACAAATATATTTTGCACAAATGTAGTTCGTTTTATATTTTTATTATCCCAAGGTGTTCATATTTTATACATTTTAATTATTATGAGTTTAGCTCATTCTAGTTCAGCCCAATTTTTCTGTTGTCTTTGTCAAGCATCAATTTTGCAAGACGAGCAGTACTTGCCAATAAACGTGAATAACTATATCTCATGTACTTCTGAAAGAATCTGTTATAGTACCAGATATGGAGGTTGGTCAGAGAACACAATAGTCATAATATTAATACTACACTGTCTGTTAGCGCTATCAGTCTTGAGCACGTTTCATGTTACCACGTAGTCACATTACAGTAGTTTCTGCTCAGTGAAGTCTTCCTGAAACAGTTTGAGTCCAGTGTTCACCTTCAGCACGAGGTTAAATAGATGCTTGCTGAGTTTAACGCTCGCTGTCATATCATGGCCTGAGCGCGTGCGCGAGCGGACCATAGAAAAGAGAACCGAGCGCGTGCTGCACGGTGGCCGTTCGACCTTGGGAGGTGTATAGATAACGGAGAGGGCACCGTAGCCAGTCATTCGCGCAACACGTTACCTACGAACCCATTGATAGCAAGTAAGCGGCTTACTAGTGCTGCAGCATTCAGAATACAAAAGCGAACCTCCGATCACTCCAGCGCGTGAGGTAACAGTTACGCGCACCGGCTGCTGGTGGAGAATTACACCGAGACACACGAAAGTGACGTTCTCCGTGCGTTATATCACACTGCCAATGCAGCTAAAGCCAATGATATAATTGTGCATGAAAGTGCACGTCCCCACACACATTGCGCCAGATGTCTGAGAGGTTGCAATAAATGCTGCGCGTGTTAGCACTCATGCTAACCGTCCATTGCTGCTGCAGCTGCTATAAGGGCTAACGAGAGAAATGAGCTAAATAAAAGCGGCTGCTTGCTAATTTCCCGACAGCAATGACACAATAAACATAAGTCATGGGATTAAATAAAAGCGGACGCGCATAACATAGCCAGTTAGCGAGGTGATATTGACCTACAGTGCGCGTGGTAGGCCGCTGAATGAATTGCAACCCCATGCAGCTATTTAGTCCAAAGTACTGACCGCTTCAAGTATCTCCAGTTTAATCCGAATTCACCGGGTAACCCTCCACCGAGTGCTCGTTCTTCAGAGCGGCCCTGAATTATCCATGAGTTCACAGAAACCGCTCGTCCATGTGGCTTCGGTACATAATTCAGCTGAATGAAGGTGTGAGTTGACTTCAACGCGCAAAGGCATGAGAACAAAGCAGGAGAGCATATGTTTCCATGTCATTCTCCAAAACCACCACACACATTACCACAGCTCAAAGTTAGATTATGAATTGAACCTTTAAAATAGCCAAATGACAATCCCCTAATGGAAAAATAGAGATAATTTGGAGTCCTTGATGGATTGGGCCATAAACAAACCAAATGCTTGCTGGTCTAATCAGCTTGAGATGGTTTGTGGAGCATGTAGCTCGGTTAACTATTAGCCTGATAACCAATTCAGAAAATCAAATGTCATAGCTAATCTAAAACCTAGCAATCCCCCCCAATACCAGCTAACGTTAACGTTATAGCTGTTCAAGCTGATTTGTACGTCAAAGTCTACTATGTAATAATGATGCACTATTATGTATTTGATAAATTAGGGCACAATAATTGACAAGCAACACTTAAACAAGGGTTGAACTCAGATTTAGTGATAAGTTACTCGCTGAGGCTAACGTGTTTTCGGTCTCTATGGATAGCGGATAGCACTGGCGCAATGTCAAACACACATACTGCCCAACCAATAAAGATGGAAATCGTATACCATGATGGGATGGTTAGATGTGAGACAGTTAAATCTGCTTGAACGTTAAGCAGCAGAGGGCAACGGCAGACATCAGGACTAATCATAGAGGTTGCTAAAATGGGCTCCCTCTCTGCGCTATAAGCTTCACCTATCTACACATGAGGTAAAACGCGCGCACACGGGTCATACTCACTGTGTTTATGCGTCCCTCGCACCGCCACCGTATAATGTTAAATGTAACGTGGTCAAGGCCCAGCACAATCCCAACGTGTCCCCCCGCTTCGTGAGTGTATGTGTGTGTGTATGTGTATGTCTCTTGTCTCTCCTCCCCACGTGTTGATCGTCCGAAAGCACACTCTAAAAACAGAGACGCATCAGCTGATCAAATCTCGCGATAAGTCCGCTCTCAACGTGTAAAGGTGCCCAAACATCGCGAGCTTACAGTGGTCTCGGACTTCACAAGGCTGCTGGGGTCGTTATGGAGTCGTTTGTTTATCATTTAAAATAAAAGTAATACGTGAACGTGGCAGACGGGCTCAAATAAAAAAAATATATAAATATATTCAAGAAGTTGTAACTACAAATGTGTTTTCAGTTATAGTCAAACTCGAAGAGCTTCACTTATTTGATGTTATTATAAGGACAGATAGCCGCTAAACTTTGAACTTTACCCCTGGATGTGATAACGGCTGCTACATTTCAGCTAACTTGATTGGAGGTTTGCCACATTTTAAAAGATCACAGTTATCTGTTTGTGAAGTGCTCTGTTTAATCTAGACAAATATTTAACAGCATTTAAATGGTATGATTCTTGAATAACCATTATACATTCCGTTAACTTGAATAATAAAACTAGTCATTTAATTAAATCTTATGTACGTACTTTAATGGAATGCTAAACTAAATAAAAATGCCATTATCTTAACCTTTACATTTAGCTATAAGGATATGTTATTTTATTGTCAGTTATTTTGTTGGATGTTATCTAAATGGATTATTTAACTTGTGAAATATCACTTTCACAATTCATTATCAACATATTCCAAAGTCAAAAGTTTTGGGTTCTTTTAAAGTAACTTAGTGGTCCACTATGATATCATATTTTAAACTTTAGTTGATGTGTAATGTAGCTGTGTGAACATAAACAACATCTCTGTATGTAAAAAGTTTTAAGTTCAATGCAAAGGGAGACTTGGGTTTTACATAGTTAGCTTAGCAAAGCCTACAATGAACGAATTTTGGGGACTACAAAAAATACTTCTGCCCCCTGTGAGATCACAAAAGTTCATTACTGCACATCCAAACTGAGCAGGTAAGGCCCGTGGCCAGAGGCGTTATAACAGAGCAGAGATTAAGCCAAAAATGCGTTTAAATGCTGCTATTTCCACAGAGCTTTGTCCGTTTCTGTATTTAGGCTTCCAAAGGACACAACACAAACACAGAAGTGCTTACAGTTCAATATAAATTATGTTCCAGAGAATTATAAAATACACAGCAAGCATGATTTGACAAAACAGCTCCAGAATATCTTCCAGTTCAGTGCTGGATTCGGCTAAAATCTCCTCAAAGCCGAAGCTGTCAGGTACGTCCAGTAAGTGTTTTTATTAGTTAAAATTGATCATGACATGTACAGTGTCTAGCGTTTACAGTATGCTGTAGCAACGATGTAAACAATGGGTAATGCTGCTTTGCGGGCAAACAATTTAGCTACAAACTCATATTTATCAGTCAAACTGCTGTAAACACACACACTCCACCAGCACGTTCGTGTCTATTATGTGTGTGCGCACGCGACTGGCTGCACTGATTGTCTTCAGGCAGCTTTTCCATGCGTTACACATCTCAGATAATTAAGTCGCAAAAGATATGTGGATGATTCATATTACTTACACCTGCCTATTCTGGATACACGTGAAAGCCGTCATGTTACGCGTTGAGTTAAAAAAATACAGTGCTAGCGGCATAAAAATAAATCCAGGCTCAAATAGGTAGCATCCCACATCTTGCGCTTTATTCTTCTGTCACAATATATTACAGAAAATAACTTAATCCGAGCATCAGAGAAAAAGAAAGTCCACATGCGCTTGTTTCAGAAAGTTCACACACACATAGACGCAAACGCTATTAAAGGTGCCGCACCCCATTTTCATTTGTTACAGACACTTGTCAGATTTTATTTTAGAGAGCAGGCAGGAGGTTGACTGAGGTTTACATAGCAGAAAAGCGCGTGCTTTTATGGGCGTGACGTGGAGCCGATTCGCCAATCACAACATATTACTGTATAACGATGACCAATCAGAGTCACTTAAGGACGGGCCTTTCAGAGGAACTAGGAAATTTGACAGTCGTTTTCATGTTAGCTGAGTAGCTGTGTATAATCAAAGTGAGATATATAAAAAAAAATAACGAGATTTCCTTCAAGTGAAACATGAGCACATATTGCTTTGCATCTTATAAACACCCCTTTAAAAGATGTTTTAGCTTCCAAACTTTTTATTTATAATTTATTTGATGATTAACAATTGATTGATTAATAAAGTTTGTTTATAATAACTATTTCATAATTTTTTTAGCAAATTCAACAGACTTTGCTGTGTCATTTTGTTTTTTTCTATACATTCAGGATATAAATATTGCAAAACCATTTTAATCATTGTCGGCTCTATTTGCCATGGAGCAAGTCTAAATGTAATGATCTGAAGGTAGAACAATGTGTTAAATGCACTCTGAAATTTGTAGTTCATATAACCTATATTTTATTTGACATAAAATACAGCTTAAAGTTTAAGCCTGACTAGTTCCCAACACTACACTACCTGACAAAAGTCTTGTGGTCAATCCCAGTTGTAAGAACAACAAATAATAACTTGACTTCTCGTTGATCATTTGCAAAAGTGGCAGAAGATATATTTTTTCAGATGAAACATCTGTTAAACTGCATCCCAATCCTCACAAATACTGCAGAAGACCTATTGGAACCCGCATAGACTCAAGATTCTCACAGAAATCAGTCAAGTTTGGTGAAGGAAAAATCATGGTTTGGGGTTACATTCAGTATGCGAGCATGCAAGAGCTCTCCTGAGTGGATGGCAACATCAACAGCCTGAGATATCAAGACATTTGTGCTGCCCATTACATTACAAACCACAGGAGAGGGAAAATTCTTCAGCAGGATAGCACTCCCACTCATACTTCAGCCTCCACATTAAAGTTCCTGAAAGCAAAGAAGCTCAAAGTGCTCCAGGATTGGCCAGCCTAGTCACCACACATGAACAGTATTGAGCATGTCTGGGGTAAAATAAAGGAAGAGGCATTAAAGATGAATCCAGAGAATTTTGATGAACTCTGAGAGTCCTGCAAGAACACTTTCTTTGTCATTCCAGATAACTTTATTAATAAGTTATTTAAATCATTGCAGAGATGTATGGATGCAGTCCTTCGAACTCATGGGAATCATACACAATATTCATTATTTTTCCACTGCACCATGGCTTTATATTCTATAGTGTACATTATTTCTGTTTAGTGACAAGACTTTTGTCTATGCAAAGTCAAGACTTTCCTGTCCTAATAAGATAACTAGAAATCAAGGCATGATCATGTTTTATTTTAGTAAATAAGTGTAATCTAGAGGCCTGTCTTTCATATAAGCCCCTCACTATACCATATGATCAACTAGAAGTTAGTCAAGATATTATTTGTTGTTCCTAAAACTTGAATAGGTGACAAGACTTTTGTCAGGTAGTGTAGAATATGGTAAGAACATTTACTGCAGACTAACATTTGATCACACCAAAGAAAGGTGATGTTTTCCAGTTTAAACCTCCAAAGATTATTAATTAAAGGTACATTAACTTGGAAAGCAAAACGTCAGAAGCCTTGCTATCTTTGAAAGGGATTGAAATAAAAACATGTTCCAATAGTTTAAGAAAAATCTTAATTTAAATGGAAAAATACATATCTATACCCCACTGACAGTTTTTTCTTATTTTAATAATCAACAATTAAGTTCAGAAAACAAGATGTTTAATTTTCAATCTCAAGTCAGTATATAAAGGAATAATGATACATTGAGGAATAATGATACATTGAGGAATTTTTTCTTTAGTCATACTCACTTGTTCCATATCAATGAGTTTCTTTATTCTGTTCAGCACATAAGATATTTTGAAGAATGTTAAAAACCATTGACTTCCATAGCAGGGAAAGCAAACAATATACTACTAAGTCAATGGTTACAGGTTTCCAACATTTTTCAATATATGGTCTTGTGTTCATCAGAAGAAAAAACTGAACATGGGTGAGTAAACGATGAAATTTTAAATTTTTGGGAGAACCATCTCTTTAAAATGAATATATATTTGTATTTGAAAACAGATGAAACTTTTCTAATGCAATTTAAGGCTTTCTATTTTGATGTATACCTTTAGACGGCCTTAAATTGTGGAAGAGGGACTTGACAGCTAAAAAAACCACCCTGCATTAAGTTTAAAAGATAGTGGAAGTGTAAAAATCAGTTTTGATTTGTTAGAATGTTTTCAAACAACAGAATAGTTCCTTTAATCATCATCTTATTCCACCAGCTGTAAGATTATAGTACAATTTTCTCAACTTGATCAATACAAACCTTTTTTTATTCACACAGGTTGCTGTGGAAATTCTATGACATGACGAATAAGTGATGCAGGTAACTTTCCATTAATTCAACACATTTCTTTGTCGTTAAAAATCATGGATAATAAAATTGACTGAACGGCATAATAACAGGGTTGAGGGAAACTTTTATTACGAACACTGGTATAATTAAATTGCCATGTTATACATGTACAGCAACTAACCGCTTTACAAAAAAGCAAGTAATACAATATCACATATATTTACACTTGTATTTATATACCTTCCAATTTTACACAAACATATTTACAGGTGACAGATACATTGTATACAGATGACCAATGCAATTAAAAATGTGGCAAATGCATCCGACGAACACGCATCTTCAATTATATAAAATAAACCACTTTTTAGTCTGTTTATGATGAATACATGAGACGGTTTAATTACATATGTGATTTAAAAGGCTTTAGGGACATGTCGTGTCAAACCACAGCTGTGGCAGTCAAGACTGTGCCTTCGTTATTGTTGTCTATCAATATAAGGTCAGTTTTAGATTGGTAGCAATGCAATTCCTAAGATTCAAAAGTAATATTCTGGTTATTCAGAGCAATGGATGCAAAACAAAACCACACAATTGGGTCATTTATGTTCCTTCATATTTTAAATTCGTTATTAAAAACTCAATTTAACACAGATTGATGCCAGTACGACATGTAAAGCAGGAATAAACATTTCAAGTTTCATTTTTGATCGTAACAAAACACTGAGATCTGAAATCTTCTGTTGGGACGATGTTTCACTGTATGGACGAATGTTTATGAATAGTTTAATGGTAAAACAAATCTACAAATGAAAAAAAAAAACAATGACATTGATTTGGTCCCAATTTTAAGTATGAAACATGATCCTTGTGTATTTGGATGAAAACATCAAATTAAAATAATGCATAAATACTTCATCCTCAAACATTTGGCCTGTACCCTTCTTTACAAGTTTCCCTTTAATAAGCATTTCAAAGAGAGTCGATAAGTCATGTCATTTGTGTTTGTTGCAAGGTACACTACCATTTCCTCCTCTACGATTTGTGGATCGACATAATAATGAGAACGATAATGCAGGAAACATATTGCACACAAAAATCGCCCACTTCAATTTTGACAGCCACTGTGTTTAATACACAACAGCATCTTAAAAGTACAGTTCACCCAAAAATGAAGATTAGCTTTTTATTTAATCACCCTCAGGTTATCAAGGATGTAGGAAATGTTGTTTTCCCATTCAGTAGAACAGTAAAGAGGATTTTTAGCTTTGTTGATTCATAAAATGCATGTCAACAGCAATTTATGAGTCAAAACAAAAACACATACAGGCATCAATACATTGAGGTCTTAATAATGTTATACAGTTTCCAGGTTCTTGCCTTAATATGAGACCTCAATGTATCATTAGGAGCCTTGGGTATTAATCGAACTTAATTTCACCTTTTAGCTATTGACTTGCATACTTTAAATCACAAAAGACGACAATTTCAACTAAAACTTCTATAATGTTTTAATGGAGAACACAAAGGTGTCACCTACACCTTAGGTGACTGGAGAGTGAATAAATGAACATCATATTTTAATTTCTGGGTGAACTATCCCTTTTAAATGGCACAACTGTCTTCAATTCTACAATATACTGATTAGGTGAGAACGCCAAAGCTAATGAGAACTGTATGGAAGAAATAATTACTTTAAGGCATACAGCACTGACAAGACAGATACAAAAACAAAAAAACATACAAAATGGAGTTTACAACAGTTTCCCCTCTTAATATTGCAAACTAGTCTTTGGTGCAATGTTACTATGTCAGCGCGTGGTTGGATTGGGATTTCTGTGCCATATGTGAGCTGTTGATGAGACGGAAACAGGGGAAAGTTAAAGTGTGCGCGGACATTTCCTGATCGCACACTTTAATCGTGTGCAATTTGTACACGCACATAGTGTTCGATTTAAAAAACAAAAACATATTGCACCACAGTTATACATGAATATTAATGCCAATTTGTTGTTGATTTGTGCATTTTGGGAAAATACTATGTGGGTATCTACTCATGCGCTGCTCTTCCAGAATCGTTTTTTTATTTAACGACTGATGATAAACAACGATCGCAAAGCAAACCTTCATGTGATGTCTGAAAGGATAACTTACATTTACAGAATAAATACTTGGATGCCGCAATATGATATTCTCATATCTGATGTTTACGTTGTACTGTTTACACTGCAGCAGACAATATGGTAAATGTTAAAGCCGCGACACGTTTGTTTTTCATAATTAGTACCTGTTTTCCCTTCCTTAGCAAGGTCTTGCCTATTTTACAAACTATACACAGCTGAAAACCCTGACAAAGGCACACAATGGATAAAGTAAGAACCCAAAACATGTGATCGTTATTATCATCAACATTATAGTACACACATAATCTTTCCTGGATCCAGATTTCAAGCCTGTGGATATCAGGAAAAAACAAAACAAAGGACAGGCCTGGACGAAATGGAAAACGGCCGAGTCATCTCCACACGGTTGGTCATCTGTTTTTACTGTAGTGGTTGATTAGATCTTGTGTTTCTTTCAGACAGAATCTCAAGTTTGTGCAAAAAAACAAAGAGTGGACGCCTCAACTGGACAGATTTGAGCATTTCAATGTGGTCAGTCCCCAAGTTGAGTGCAACACGGAGAGGTCAGTGTGTTCTCCGAAAAGAGTTCATTTAGGCAAAGTGTGTGGCAAGCTTCAACTGGTATAAAAACAAACAAACACTCAAGCGGTTCTTCGATGCAGGAACCTTGTTAAACTGGACGGTGGAAAGCAGAACGAGCCATGGCCACGGAGTAGATCTTCTCAGACGATCTTTTTGATGCTTGGCCGTTTGAAGCTGCCTGCGCTGCGCTGCTTCTGCACCTGGCTTGCTGAGCCGTGCCGCATTCGCCCACTGGTGGACAGACTCGAGGTGGGAGAAATCTCAACGTTCTCCTTGTCGATGCCTGGAGGAGAGAGATGTTATGTAACCACTGAATCACAGCCTTATATCTTACTTCAAACTATTGAAATAGTTAAATTAGGATTATCAAATGTAAAATAATACTTTCAGACATTAACTAAAACAGCAGGTCAGGTTTCACAGATATGCTTTGACGTGGAGCTGTAAATACACATGTTGAACAGTAGGTGTCTCAATGTACAACAATATCAATCAGGGATCATGTGAGTGTTTATGATGGAGCGTGAGACGTTTTTAGAAGTTCTGTATCAGCATTACTCTTCTCACAGGTTTAATATAGACATTATAAAAGGCTTCTCGCACTGTGTTTAACATTATATTCATGATTTGTTTTTTAAAATTTCACATTAGTCATTTATAAGGCTTGCTCTACTTTATCTTTATCATATTTTGTTTAGCATCTCAGTTGGGGTTCCACATCAAACAACAGTCATAAACCTATTTTAAATGAATTTTAATGTGAATGTAAACATTTAAAAGATAAAATACATCGAATTTAGATAATTAGACAAATATGTATTTTGTATTATAGATATCTTTTTAAATATATATAATTATCATAAGAAAAAAGGCTTATTACAATGTAGTAATACAGTAATAAAACAAAAACTAAAAATAATTTTATATAGATAGATGTGTGTTGGGATGTGTACAGTTAGGTCCATACTTATTGGGACATCAAGACAATTCTAACATTTTTGGCTCTATACTGTACACTAACACAATGGATTTTAAATAAAACAAAAAAGACCCTTCAATTGCAGACTTTCAGCTTTATTTGAGGGTATTTACATCCAAATCACATGAACGGTGTAGGAAAAACAACAGTTTGCATATGTGCCTCCCACTTGTTAAGGGTCCAATAGTAATCGGACAACTGGCTTTCAAGCTGTTCCCTAAGCCAATTCCTACACGTTCAACATGATTTGGATGTAAATACCCTGAAATTAAAGCTGACAGTCTGCAGTTAAAGCATGTCTTGTTCATTTAATTTCAAATCTATTGTGTTGGTGTATAAAGACAAATGTTAAAATTGTGTTGATTTCCCAATATTTATGGATTTAACTGTATATGCATACATAAATAAACTGTATACTAGGGCTGCACATATATCGTTTCAGCAGATGCCATGTGTGTCCCCGCAATACTCACATCGGATATGCAATGTTGAGTCTGAATTATAGTTGATTATCACAACAGTTGAGAATACATAAGATTTGTGGTGTCATTGCAAAGTATAACTATAACAGAGTGAAGCTTTATTATTTGCATGTGTTTTAAAGGCATTTTACGAGAGTTTAAAGCATTCAGGCACATAAAAAGGTAAGTTTGTACGTTAAGTGAACAATAAATTTACTCAATTATTACAATGAAGATTACACAGTCTTATTTTACATTTCATTATTCAATTACTGTACCTGAATATTGCTTGACTATGGAAAAAAAACAAAGTGCTGTTTATTACACTGTATTTGTTGCTTTGTTTTTATAGTATTTGCTTGCAATTTGTTTATTATTTTATATACATGATGCATACCTTATTTCTTTCTTTCTAAATAGAGCTATTCAAGCTGTCTGGTGAAATTGTATTCATTTTGCAATGTACACTACCTGACAAAAGTCTTTTCAATCCCAGTTTTAAAAGCAACAAATAATAACTTGACTTCTAGTTGATCATTTGGGAAAAGTGGCAGAAGGTCATCAGCTAAAAATCACAAATACTGCAGAAGATCTATTAGAACCTGCATGGACCAAGATTCTTACAAAAATCAATCAAGTTTGGTGAAGAAAAAACCATGGTTTGGGATTACATTCAGCATGGGGGCGTGCGAGAGATCTCCAACATATATCAACATCACCAGACTGAGATATCATGACTTTTGTGCTGCCCATTACTTTACAAACCACAGGAGAGGGCAAATTCCTCAGCAGGATAGCGCTCCCACTCATATTTCAACCTTCACATCAAAGTTCCTGAAAGCAAAGAAGGTCAAGGTGCTCCAGGATAGGCCAGCCCAGCCACCAGACATGAACATTATTTAGCATGTCTGGGGTAAGATGGAAGCATTGAAGATGAATCCAAAGAATCTTGATGAACTCTGAGAGTCCTGCAGGAACGCTTTCTTTGTCATTCCAGATGACTTTATTAATAAGTTATTGGAGTCATTGCAGAGATGTATGGGTGCAGTCCTTCAAGCTCATAGGAGTCATACACAATATTAATTCTTTTTCCACTGCACCATGACTTTATATTCTATACTGTACATTATTTCTGTTAAATGACAAGACTTTTGTCTAAACAAAGTCAGACATTACTGTTCAAATTAAATAATTAAAAATCAAGGCATGATCATATTTTATTTTGGCGTAATCTAGAGGCCACTTCTGACGCTAAATGATCAACTAGAAGTCAAGTTATTATTTGTTTTTCCTAAAACTTGTATCGGCAACAAGACTTTTATCAGGTAGTGTATATCGCAGAGAAACAAAATATCACAGTTTCAGATTTTTTCCAATATCGTGCAGTCCTAATATACACTTTATTTTAGTATATATGAATTTTCACAAAAAAAAGACTATCCAAAATGTGTCATATCATATACTGTGTATAAGAGCACAGAATTACATTAACCAAGGGGTAAATAGACACCGGGCTAACAATTTCAAGTGTGAAAAGCTTTTAAAGTGCTATTAAACCTGCTAATGTCCTGTCCCCTGGCTATGTACTGTATGTAAGTGTTTGCTTAATACCAGGCCCTTGTGCTCTCTCTTCACACTATCTGTTATAGTAGCCCCTCTTGCTTTCTTTGATCTGACAGCAGCAGATTTACAATTCAAACACTCGGGCCAATGCCAACAACTGCTACTTTCACACAGCAGAGGTGGATGAGTACCTGGCAGGACGAGGTGAGGTGGGAATACAGCCGACTTAGAGCAAGGCAGACAGGCTTCGCACAGAGAGAGTAGAAAAGAAAAAAAAAAAGACATGAGTGACACATTCACAACTCAAAAGAAGACAGAAAGGACAGATGAATGGAAGAAACAGAAATCAAAAATAAAAATGGCAGCTTACAGATATGTCAAACTGATTTACTCTTAACCACCAACAAAAAGCAGAACAGTCTGCTGAACAGTGAAGCTAAGCGCTGGCTGAGATTAGCTCAAAATGCAGATCAAAAAGGAGAAATTAGTGAGAAAGAATGCGATTTAGACATTTGCTAATAAGTGCTCGCTGGATCCTCTGTTACAAATACAGTAGTCAACATTAGAAGTGGATCAGTACATTTATCACAAGAAGGGGTTTCATTTAATAGTTTAGGACAGGGGTGCCCAAACTTTTTCCTATAAAGGGCCAAAAACCAAGCTCGACAGAGGTAAATATCAAACTGTATTACAATATTGCCATGGTGATTTCCTACAGAATAAATAGAAAAGATTATTAACTAATGAATTTTACTGTATATATACTTTCATATTATAACAAACCTATTATAATGAAAACGCAAGAAATCCATTTTAGTTTAATGCTTAATACACTAGTCAAGCTGCACCTGCCTTTGCCTTGATTCGCTTACTGAGGACTTCTGAATTGTGGTCTATCCATTAAGCAACAGTCTGTTCAATTTTTATTTATTCATTATTTTTAAATTGGATTCATTTACAACAGTTAAGTTTTGTTGCTTAAAAATAAAACTAACAGTGAAAGGTTATGTTAAATTAGAAATGACAACGTGTATTAAAAGGATATAACCCCAACCCTCCCCCAAATTCACCCTGTCCTCTCAGATGGGATGGCGGGCCAAATCAAAGGTTACCAGGCCCTAGTTTGGGTATCTCTGGTTTAGGACATAGGTCTTAGGGTGCTTTCACACCTGTGAATCGATTCAGTTGTTCCGAAACAGAGATTAAAATTGTTACATTGTTGCTCTTTGCTCTTGGAGCGGTTCGCTTTCACACTGCAAAGCTTCTAATCGCACCAAAAGAGCTAAAACATGTCACGTGCGAGTAAACTCTCCTTAAATTGGTCAGAGTGTCAGGGTTTATTTTGCAGCGTCCCGCTCAGCTGTCAGGAGAGGTGGTGGTTTGGTGGTGATTGACAGGGTGCGCGCGCGTGACGTGTCTGAGGAGAGACACGGTAGGGAGGGGTGAGAAGGGTGCGCGACGATGCCTATTTGAGTACTGGGAGAGAGATGCGAGATTACCGGGAGATCATCACTCGTTTGCGGGCATCCAGAGACTCGCGAAACTTCCCACCCTACTCATAATTCTCTTTTCATATAGCCGTAAGCCTATTACATATCCATAAAACACTGTGATATAACCGCGCTCGGATCGGATCGCTTTCTCACTGCAATCGAACCGCTCCAGGGTTCGTTTCAATCGAGCCGAGACCACCTCATTCAAGCGATCTCGGAGCGATTACTTTGACGCGGAACAGAGTGCGATTGCCCTGTTCACATATGCCAATCGAACCACGCTAACTGGGCAAACGAGATACGTTCCGAAACAAAAGTGTAGGTGTGAAAGCACCCTTAAACTTGAATGCTAAAGGGCTGCAGCTTTGCTCCAACCCTAATCAAACACAGCTGATCCAACTAATCAGGTGTTCAAGACTACTACACTGTACAACCCAACAGTCAACTTTATTAAATGAAATGAGTGTAGTTAACTCAAAATATATTGAAAGTTAATTCTACTCATTTGGAAATAGTTTTTAACTCAGTGTTAATTTAATACCTCATTACTTTAACTTACATAGAGTAAGTTCACTGTACTCATATAGATAAGTTTTTTAACTCAAATGGTTTGTAGCAATCGGTTTCCTCAAAGGGTTTGAGTTGCCTAAACATATTGAGTTTTACAGTACACAGTTGGTTTGAGTTCGATTCATTTATTGGGGTATACTGTGCTCAAATTGCTTTGTTTCCTTAAATGGTTTGAGTAACCTTAACTTTTTGGGAATTACAGTGTAGAGACTTTTAAACAGGTGTGAGTTGGAGCCATGGTCTATGCAGCTCTATGCAGAGCCCTCCAGGAATTGAGTTAGGACCACTTTGATGAAAGTTACTAAGCCACTTCAAATGTTGACTACAGTTTATGCATATGGGTTGTTGACATGACGTTGCATTTTCAGTCACACATGACAAAGATTAATATTAATATTAGTATTGTCAGCATGTAAAATGCAGTAAATGGATAAAAATTTCTTTGTCTTCCATTGACTTCTTGTTATAAAAAAAAAACGCTGTTTTATTACATTTGAACCAAATCACAAAACTGTCCTACACTGTAAAAAATATCCGTAAATGAAGTTTTCCATATTTTGTGACTCATGTTTTTATTTATTTTGTATTATTTATGCTTTTGAATCACATTATAAGACAAATTTTAACCTTGAAAAGTTGGAAAAAGTGACTTTCATGAACATTTTTAACAGTTACAAGTGATATGTAGTCTGGGTTGATGTTGTATTTTATGCTGCAAAAAAACTTTATTTTATGTACATTTTCTGTTATTTACAAATTCATTTATATATATATATATATATATATATATATATATATATATATATATAGAGAGAGAGAGAGAGAGAGAGAGAGAGAGAGAGAGAGAGAGAGAGAGAGAGAGGTTCTTATACATTGTTATTTCAAGCTACTAAAATGTCAAAAAAAAACTCACTTTGTTAAACTGTAGAGTTGAATTTTCAACATCAAAAGTAGACAGAGCAGAGATCAAGCTCTCATTATGAAATTTACAACCGTAAATAGACGTAAAACACTAAATATGGAAACAGTTAATTAACAGATATTATTTACAGCATATGTTGTGATCGTCTTAAGCATAGTTCAATAAATTATAGCTCAAACAAAATTGTAAAATTATTAATAAATACCTCGGGCTTTTTTATTTTAGAAGTAGCTATTTTAGCAAATAATTTCTTTCGTCCATATATTTCTAAAAACACAGGAACTTGATACATTTTTTAACTGAAAACAATGTCCTCTGGTTTGATGCTATACACTAATATATTCTAATTCTGATTGAAAACTTAGGTTTTTTGAAACCACTTTAAAATTCAGTTTTGTTGTCCTTTGGTGTGACGCCTAAATTTATAAAAAAAAAAAGTCCAACAAGCCCTAGAGAAAAACAAATATTAAGCATAATTTCATTGGAAAAAAAATTAGCACTTCATGAAGATACAGTACAGCGGGGAAAATAAGTATTTAACATGTCATGTTTTTTTTTCTGGGAATAATATTTTTAAATTAGCTGTTGACATGGAATTGAACCAGATTTTAGTAAAAACCCAAACAATACAAAAAAAAAAAAAAAAAAAACTGGGAAAACAGTTATGTATAATAACGATGGAATGACACAAGGAGAAAGTACTGAACTACTGAAACATATTTAATACTTTATATAAAAGGCTTTTTTGGTGATGGCAGCTTTAAGATGCCTCTCGTGTGCAGAATGAAGTCACATAAATTGCTCAGGTGTGAGTATTTACACAAACGTCAACAGAGTGTAAAAATCTTGATGCTTCTGTGGGTCTCGTATATCAAATCTATTGAGTGTTTTAGATCATTGTCTTGCTGAAATGTCCACCCTGGTTTCATCTTTATCATCCTGGTAATGTAGATGTTGGACTAAAGCAGCTGATTAATTTACACTGATGAAGGGCAGAGGGTTGCTGAATAATACTGAGAGATTTCAGCTGCTGTCTGGGCTTTCACTGCCCTTCTACACCTCCCTTTCTTCATGTGTTCAATATTTTTTCCGTGTCATTTCATTTTATTACGCATAACTTATTTAGCAAATTTACTTCTTTTTGCATATATGGATTTCTTTGGTTGTTACCAACATCCGGACAAATTTAGAAATATGTTTTCTGAGAAAAAAAGTGACGTGTTCAATGCGTATTTTCAGATAAATTGCTGTCAATCTATTAGTAATTTATTTATTTATAATTTATATATCATTTTTATTTTATTTGTTGTAATATTTTATTTTCTTTGCTGTCAAACCATAGAACATTTTTACTGAAAAATTCAATAAACAAAGAATTGATAAAAGTTAGTGACCCCTTATATTTTTCTTCTAAAATTTGTCAACTACCCATATACAAATACTTGTATTATATAGCCAATTTCAAAACTGAATAGTATCACGCTGCCACCACTGAAGTAAAGTAAAGAAAAGAAATAGGCACTTAAATAAGTTACCACAGTTGGCAAACTATAGAACTGGACATTAATTGCCCCACACGGCTCTATAGTTTAGGTTTGTACCAGCTGTTTTCGGTGGCACCTCCTCTGTAGTTCGTGGATGGGAGAGAGTTGGGGACCGTCTATAAACTATAGGGCCCTCTGAACCAACAGCACATTCCCAATGAAAAGGAGACAGAATGCAGTGAGGTTAATGAAGATACAAACGCAAAGCAAAGGTGTCAAAATGCACAAACAAACCAATGTCAAAGCCCTGAATGCTCTAGTCTTGCACACCTAGCAAAGCTGAAAAGATTGTGAACTGCAACACTAATCGAGATGTGAAAGCAGATAAAAAAAGCACTGACAACCATAAATGCAATGCTTACTGTCTGTTACTTTGTTATTTTGTTTACTGCTAGTGTTTGTCGCACATTAGAGCTATCATTACTGGTGTAATAATGTTTGTGTGAGTAGCTCAGTAGGAGTGTGATTGTGAAATGAAGCGAGCCACTACTGACTCTAGTTTGTGTCTAGATGTGTTTAACACCACCTGGGATTGGAACGGTTTGTTCAAGTTTTTAAAAGAAGCCTGTTTTGCGCACTACAGCTGCACTTATGTGATCAAAAATACTGTAAAAAGATGAACTTTTTGTTACAGTTTTATTGTTCTATTGTTACAGTTTTAACTTCATGTGAAATCAAAATTTACTATATTTATTTTGATAGAGCACATTGTTAATATTTAGGTGAACAATTATTCCGTGAAAGTTAATATACAAACAAAAAAAGTTTTTTGGTAATCTTCAAAGTAAGATCAATTGCTTACGCGTTTGTAGTAGTGGTTCTTCTCCGTTGACATCAGTTTGATGGTTTCAGCCACAACACTCTTGCTTTAGAGTGATGTGCAAAAAAAAAAGCCCCACCCCCCCACTCAATATTCAATTTTAGATGGTAGTGCGTGTCACCATACTGAAATCAAAGTCTCAGCAACTTCCAGTTCACACAAACTAACATTTTTTTATTTATTTTTTAATGAACATGATTTAAAGCTTTCAGATTCCATTATAATGTGCTGTTCTAATTGGATAAACTATGTTTGTTTGTTTATGTATGATTTAAAACCATATCAGCTGCCCTAGCTATACTTACGGCCAGATTAGTAGATAAAATTTAATACATAATTTACAATCATAAACAAAACATTATTAACCTTTTCAATTTGGTGATGTCATTGGCCCACGAACATTTCCTGCTTGTTATCAAACTTTTTCATAACTGTAACAAGAGGCAATTCAATCATAACTTCATGTTAAAAACAGCTCTCATAACATTATTTATCAGTGTGTGTCGTTCATTATAAATGTCTTTACTTTCACTCTGTAATCTAGTTACAATAATTATTAGAATAATAATGCATAAAATTCACATTGAAATCACAAGAATAAATAATAATAAGAAAACCGTTATTGATTCATTCATTCATTTTCTTTTCGGCTTAGTCCCTTTACCAATCCAGGGTCGCCACAGCGGCATGAACCGTCAACTTATGTTTTTTGCAGTGGATGCCCTTCCAGCCACAACCCATCACTGGGAAACACCCAAACACACTAAAACAGTTATTTTAATAGTAATTAATATACAATAATATTTTACAATTTGTATTGTTATTTTTTATCATATAAAAAGACTTGATGAGCAGAATAGGCTTTTAATGATTCTTATAATTATTATTATAGATTTTACTCCTGCTTCATAGATTTGTGGAAACTAATTTTTTGATGGAAACAAAGAACATGTATTTATTTATCTAAGAATATATATTTATCTAAGAATATATATATATATATATATATATATATATATATATATATATATATATATATATATATATATATATATATATATATATACGTAAATATTTTGGTTTTTTATTTCATATATACACACACACACATATTTACACACAGTCAGTAGTACACACATTATGCAAAAACAAACTTGTGTTTTGGATAAAATTAATCGCAATTAATCTTTGCCCAACACTAATATAAATTTCAATGTAAATATTTTTGTTTTGTATTTTTTTATATATCCACAATATTTATGCTCAGTAAGTACACACATTAGGCAAATACATACTTTTATTTTGCATGCGATTAATCGTGATTAATCAATTGAAAGCAGAAACATTTGATCATACAAACAAAGCCTTGGTGAGCAGAATAGGCTTCTTTTACATGTATTTGACAAGTTGTGTATGTATGTATGCATGTATGTGTGTGTGTGTGTGTGTGATAGAGATGTGAGCACTGACCTGGGGAGTGCTGTGATGTGGCAAGTGATGTCATGGAGTTGGACAGGTTGAGATTGGCTGTGATGCTCAGCTGGCTCTGGACGGTTGGTGGATATGGCGAGGTCGGGGTCCGCAGTGACTCTTCTCCTCCTTCCTCCTCAATGCCCGGGAGATACGTGTCAATCAAAGCATCCAAAAATTTAACCACCAGCTCGGCGTAGTCTGGAATTTGGGTTTGCTGTTAGAGAGAGTAAAAGCAGATGTGATTAATATTATGGTAATTGAGCGTATTTAAGCCTCTACAAGTGGGCACATTTATTTCTGAGGGATCATTTTGTCATTGTGATCAAGTTTGTGTACTTAGAAATGTAATACAGCACTTGTTCTCTTTAACCTTTATTCTCCTTCTTTATTATGTCAACATTACACACATTTGAATGTCAGAGTTGAACTATAAGGATATCCGGGTCCAGTGTAAGGAATCTTTGGGCCACATGGCATTAACTAGCACTAGAGTTTTATAAATTGACCAAAATATTGGAGGAAAATGTACTAAATATTTTACATCCTTGATAAAAAGTCAGACGGTATTAAAAACATGATCAAACAGGTATAATTTTCCAGCTAATATACATAATGCATAATTAACATATTTGATTGTATATTAAAAACTGTTTTGTTTTGTGTAAAAAAAAAACACAAAGGATCATGTTATGTTCAAAATGAATATAATATAATATAATATAATATAATATAATATCATATCATATAAATGAATATAATATAAAAAATAATATGATATAAATTAATATATTATAAAAATAATAATATCTGGTGTGGGCAAATCTGAGGCTTAACATTTAATGATATATTATTAAAGTATATATTATTCAGGTAAACTACACAATTATATTACATATTAATAAAGTATAATTTTTAAAAAAAATAAATTTAAAATTGTGTTTTTTATATTAAAATAAATACTTTACTGAAATATAATAGTGTAATTTACCTTTAAATTACAACTTTAACTTTAAATTAACACAGTAATTGAAATATTTTTAGCATAACAGTGTGAAAAGACTTATGTAACTGTATCTTAAACTAGTGTTCTGACAACTCTAGCAAAAACAAAATGGGTTAAGAAAACTTAACATTAAATGAAAATATAAATATATTTAATAAATAACATAATTAAAAGATTTTTTTTAATAAAAATGTAAATACATCACCACAATCAAAATATGTCACCTTTAATAAAAATCTGAACTACTATACTAACAAGGCTAAAAAAAACTTAAATAAAAAGAAAAGTTGACATTTCACAAATAAATAAACTGAATTATCAATTTCATAATTACATAACTCGAATGACATGATAAAATGAAAATATTGCTAGGTGAGTAAAAACCTGAATTACTGGTTTGTAAACTCAAGACAACAAATCATTTTGCTGAGCCATGAAAGAGGGCAAACACATCTTTTCACTCAGATCCATAAGCAATACATTCCAGTCATTTACACCGCCTTAAAGTGCAGAGCAGTAGTGTGGGAGAGTAAAAGGCTGGACACACCGGATGGGCACAGGAGAAGTTTGGAGAAGCCGTTTTGCTCAATAAATCTAGAAGGCTGCAGAAAGTCAGCAGCACACAATTTCTTCACTGCACTCCGCTGGAAAATAAAAAGTGTTTATGTGAACAGTTAATCATACCTTAGAGAACGGCCCGGCAAACCTCCAAAGACCATTGAAACCAAAGCCTGTGTGTGAGAGAGAGAGAGAGAGAGAGAGAGAGAGAAAGAGAGAGAGAGAGATGAAAAAATAATGAGAAAAACAAAACAAAATACAGTCAGATGTGTTATTTAAGTAACACTAACAAGATAAGCATTTTAATTAAAATCATTTTTCAACAATTATACGTATGAATTATGCAGTTTAAGTAAATATTTGGAGGGGGAAAAAGCTGTTTTCTGCAAGTAAAAACAAAAACTAAAAAGGCCAAAGCTGGCCTTTAGTTTACCCAAGCATAAAAATCTGGTATTAATAGTTCACCATCATGTCATTCTAAATACTGAGACCTGTTTCCACCTTCAGAATACAAATGAACATACTTTAGATGTAACCAAAAAGCTCTCTGATCCTCCATAGGCCACAATGGCTCAAAGATCTTCAAAATAAAAACATTGTCAAAACATTCCATGTGACTTCAGTGGTTCAACTGTTATCATATGAAACACAAGAACAAATTTGTCCACCCCAAAAAAAGTGTAAAACCAACTTTGTCTGCCTTTGTTTTCTCTTCCACAAAAGAGCAGGGTGAACATTTACACTTTTTTTGGACACTAGATGTTTTGGTAAAACACTTTTGGTTCCTGTTCTTGACTTTAATATCTTGGAACTGTTGTCGTTTATGGTGGGTCAAAGAGCTCTAAGATTTAATCCAAAACATCTTAATTTGTGTTCCGATTATTTTTGATGAGGTCTCATGGGATTGGAAAGACATGAGGGAGAGTAATACACTTTTTCGCCATTGCTGTCTGAAATCTTCAGTTGTGTGTGTAAATATAACAACAACGAATTCACAGATTCTATGTCTTAGAACTTTTGAAGTAATATCATATAAAATAATATAATATAAAATAAAATAATGTAATATAAAATATTTAATATAATATAATGTAATGTAAAATAATATAATGTAAAATAATTTAAAATAATGTAATGTAAATTAATATAATATAAATTAATATAATAAAATATAATATAATATAAATCTGAGGCTTAACATTTAATCATATATTAAGAATATTATTTAAAAGTAAATGACAATTATTAAATAGAGGTAAAGTATTAATTTTAATATTAAAAACAATATACTTTCTAAACTATTTAATAAAATGATTAAAATAATTAAAGCATGTTAAAGTGAAAAGACTTTATTGAACTATATCCTAATCTAATCAACAGTTTTGACCCAATAATAAATAACTAACATGCATTTCATTACCATCAAACACCGTCATGGCTATAAATGATCTGCAACCTGGCAGCTCTGCATGTGATATAGCCTACTAGAGTCTTTTTTTATGTATACAGACTTAAAGTAACAACACATGAACTAATTATGGCTAGCTGATATTTCCTGTCAAAACCTACAAGTGAAACAAACAACATCATTACAAGTTTACTGTTGTGACTCAGGCTAAGGTACAGTAGTATTAAACACTGGCTGCTGGTTGTGTACGTGCTCAAACATAGATTTTGGATCATTTTCTTTTACAAACTGCAGCTTTAAGGAAGTTTCTGCTTATAAATGTTAAAGTTAATAAGTAACAGGAGAGATCGGCTTTACTCTGCAAGCAGGACGGCTGGTACTGAGGGGGAGACTCCTCATGATAGACCACGTTCTGAATGATGCCATGGACGGGGTTCAGAAGGTTCGGGTCCTGGCACATGGAAAGGACGGTGCTTAACTTGGAGTCCAGCAGGTTGTGCCTAAGATAAAAATGACACAGGCAGAAAGAATGTCAAACTACAGGCCTAATACATGTTTTTAGGAAGGAAACCTATGAAAGTTTAATGGTTCTCAACAGAATAAGGTGTTGGTATCTATAATATGGCAGACACTCACACAACTGGAAAGACCTTGGGGAAGACCACACTGGCCTCAGCCAAATACTCATACAAGATCCGCTGATGAAACTCGTCTGTAGTGTACTTCACCAGTGTTGCCTGCAATTAAAAACAATAGTTTGTAATATAACAGTACATACAGTATAAAATTGGCATTGTAGAAGAAACTAAATGATCTCTCAATTTTTTCAGCTCTACATTAAACATGTAATATACAGTTTATTCAATATAGACTAAAAGGTCATGCGCAGGGGGATTTAAAGCACAAGTATGTTACAAACCAGTACAGTGAGGAGCAACGTCTGGATCTTGGGGTCCGTAAGTACGTTCTCGTCCAGGAGGACATTGGATTCAGACACAGACACTTTGCGTAAATGAGAGTTGGCTATTCGCTGAGTTTCTGGAATGAAAAAGAAGTGTCAGGTTTTCACTCATTCACTTTTTCAACACCACTGGCTATAAAATTATTTTTTCACCTTTTTTTTATTTTAGCTTCAATATTATCAGCAATGAACCAAACCAATCAGCCACAAGGTTAATGTTTAACAAACTTTGCTTTGAAGCAAAAAAAAAAGTGTATGAAATTCAGACAAAAGGACAAAGGTGCAAGATTTGTTAATGGCCTTGATAGAAAGAACTACTACTTGTGCTTTATGGAAGGAGGTAAAGTAAAAAAATAAAAAAAAAAAAATAATAATAATACATTTAGCAACCTTTGATTTAAAGACACTTGTAGAGACTGGCTATATTCAAACACTGTTGCTACACAAGTAAAAATGTTATTTTTTTTTATAATCACCATACCTTTCAACCCTCCTATTTTCCCGGGATTCTCCCGTATTTTACAATGCTATCCCGCTATCATCCTGTAAAAGTATTTCTCCCGTATTTTCAATCTGTCTATAAAGCGTGACAAAAAACATTAAAGAGTCGATCCTCCCTATATGCAACCCATACCACCGATCCACAAGGGGACGCCCCCTGCTCTTAAATGAGAGTCTGTTGTGTGCTTTCATTTGATTTAGACAAGAAAACACTTTGAAATAAATATAAAAATGGTGGGATTTCCCTCCTTTCCACTACGTGTGCCAATGCCCCTATGCAATCCTCAAAACAGTCAGTTCATGTAGTGGTGCATGCTGATAAATAGACGCTGTTTACCAAACAGATTCTGTGCACGCGATTTAAAGCGGAGCGAAAGTGGACACTCTTTGTTTTGGGAGCGTGTTTGAACAGACATTTACACATGGCAATAATATTAACATCTAAACATTTCGATCTTGGTGGGTTTTCTTTTAAACAAGACAAATTTCGACTTAAATGAGCATATAAAGTTAAGAAAAAGCAACCAAGTATAGATCTGTGCATTTTTAAAGTGACAGCACTGTTATTTAATGTAATCAAACGAAAATCTAAATAGATCCATTCATCTCCTTTGATCAGAATGTTTAAACTATACAGTGAAGAAAACGTTAATGATATTTGATGATTTGATTAAATTTGGTTATAATAGCTATTTATTTGAATAGGCTAAACTGTTTGCTAATTTATTTGATTTTTCTAATGTATAATATATATTCTGTCCTTTGTAAATAATAATAATAATAATAATACATATTACTGACTGTTTCAACGGTTTATTTACAATGAAGCGGCTCCAGATGAACATATTTAGTAATTTGGGAAACTGCTGTTCACCTGCTGAAGATAATGTCATTGACTAACAGGCATAATAAATGTGGAGTTTTAAACTGCACAACTGAACACTGCAGCTTCTTTTGACATGTTCAGTCTTACACAGAGATAACATGATAATCTGCTGCTATGCTGATGCATACAAGTTTGTAGCTCCACCCTGCTACAATCTCATTTAAATTTAAAGCGACAGTAACCAAAACAGTAAAATTTTGACCAAAGCATCAAAGGGGGCAGCTTCAATGAGTTATAAAAACAGTATGCGTGTGGTATTTTGGGCTGAAACTTCACATACACTTAAGAGACATTACAGATTTATTTTACATCTTCTAAAAAGAGGCATGATAGGTCCCCTTTAAGGCATGAATTCAAATTTATTAAACTCACGTGTTTTAAAAGTGCGTTCAACAAACTAATTAACAACCTCAAAGTTCACAACAGGTTTTTCTTTAAAAATGTATTAATTAAAATAAACTATTTCTTTATGGAGAAAATGAAGGTGTGTTTACTTCTAAAACCCAACCTCAGCACTGGAATGTTGCACCACACATCTAATCAATAAGTACTCACCGATCTCATAGTCATTTTCAGAAACCCGCCTCATCTTTGGAGGTGTGGTGATGCCCGACTCCATGTCTGGTCTTTTTGGGGCTTTGGATTCTGATATTAAGTGATCGAAACTCTTTCTAGTGCCTAGAATAAAGACAAAAATCCCCAAAACAAATCATAAGTACGAAGCCAAATTAAAGCTACAGCATTTTAAAATATCCACTTTTAGAGAACAAAGTCATCAGACCGCTAATACCCAGTAGTTTCTTCGCATTGGCCTGAGACGGCTGGCCCATGTCTACACTCATGGATTTGCGTGGACGAAGGCTGGTCTGCCCTATTGTGGAGTACGGAGGTGCAAGACTGCGCTCTGACACTTTCGGAGAAGCCCAAGGCTGGTTTTCACGCAGTAGCCTGACACATTAAAAAATAAGTGTGATAATCAACAAAAACAAAAAAGCCATTCAAATAAACAATAGGATATAGTTGGAAATACAAGTGAATGGAGAAAAAAATAAAGTGGAAAAACTTCATACCTGCACCCGGGTTCAGTGTCGTAAACGGTGTATGTGTCCATGGGGAAGTTCTCCATTGTAACTTCTGAAAGCAGCAATGATTTCCTGTGCTTTAAACTGCAGCGGCTCCTAACTTCCTCTGACACTGTGAGCAAAGCTGTAACAGAAACGTTCTTTAGATTTTGCAATGAAAATGAAAGATAACACACTATTTTAGGTCACAATTCAAAACATTAACTATTAACAAACACTACTAGCCTAATAAACTACCAATTAGCTCTATAATAATAATTAGTAAAGTAGAAGATGGGTTTGGTTTTTGGGTAGGATCTGGGATGCAGAATAAGATCATACTTTGTAACTAGTAATAAACAGGTAATATCTTAATAATAGGTAGGTAATAAGCCAGTAGTTAACAGCATGAGTTGTGACAAACTAAAGTATGATCAAATTAGGACAAAAACTGAAATCATAACAGGATTAGAATGTCTGCTTAAAATGTAAATTTCAATTCTATTATCTTTTAGTCACCCTCTAGAAGATATTTTGAAAAATGTTGGCAACCAAACCGTTAATAGTTTCCCTTTGAAAGATGTGAATTAGACTAATGCGTAAAACTGGAATATTACATAAAACATTTGTGGACAAATGCGTTTCCATTGAAGCTTATGCATATTTTGTTTTTATCAGATACGTGATATAAGTATACGTTTCTTTATGCACATTTTCAAAATGTATACACTAATGTATATGCACATATAAGCATTTTTTAAAGTGATATTCCAAAATGTTGCCAGTGCTTCGCACACATAGACTTTACTTGGGTGGACCGGCCAGGTATATTAACGGCCACCTAGGTATATTTGGTGGTGACACATAGGGTTGGGCGATGTTGACTAATTTGACATCGTACGATGTCTAATGCGAAACATCATGATGGAGGATGTTATCGTCGTCGTAGGCGGCAACTAATTAATTATTTCATTACGTAAATTAATTATGTGTTGCCTACTGTTTCAACTACCTGACCAGCATGGTTTTTGTTTTACCCATAACCAAGTTATAAATAAATAAAGATAAGTTACACAAATTACCACCTGTCAATCACTTTTTTTCGCGGGACTCTGGCATGAACAGGCAGAGTGATCTGTGTCGTTATATAGCATCAACAAACTTGGTTGGCAAAACAGGTGCACTACCAAAAGCAACCAACCAACAGTATCTGAAGTTTTCGCTAAAATTTCAAAAAGTACACGCATGAAAGCGAAAGACTGAAGCAGTGTACTGACGCTGTGACACGTTACCTGATAGATTCAAAAGTCGCTAGATAGAGACAAGATGAATTAAATATCACGTTTAACAACTATAGTGAGACGTGATCCAGCGGTACATCCTTATAAACTGTCCTACATGCACTGCTCTCTGGGGTTTTGTGCTTAAAGCACACGCTGACTGCTGAAGCTCAGACGAGCGCATACGCTGCAGCGCATGACAGAGTGTGTGTGTGTGTGTGTGTGTGTTTGTGTGGACATGTGATGTGCGTTTTCAATGGTGAAGTGTGGAAGGGCTTTTCATGAATGCTAGGTGAAGCGCCAGTGTGGACATGGATTGTTTTCGTTCTAAAATGCCATTTTTAAACTGAGACGTATTAGTGAAAACATGGCCTCAGTGTGTATTTTCTATTGACCCAACCCTAGTGACACATGAATTCATAGCATCCCTTTAAATTTTTTTGTATCCGCCCAAACATTCGCAATCAATTAACCAGTGGAAAATGTTTGCTCGCTCTGCACGTTTCCTACTGCTGATTCTGTGTGCGCGCGAGAACCGTCAACACTCACACATACAATCTCACGTGCTTTTCAGACCTATAGTGCTGCACCTTTTGTGCCAAAACGTGTCTGGTTGTAGTTTCTGAATCTCCAAAAATGGTGGGTTTACTTTCGCTTTCTAAAGTTGATGCTATTTGCATGTGTTTTTACATTACCTTTTCGTAGCTGACTGCGCACACACACCAGCATGAAAACAAATTACATGATTAATCATTCATTAAATGATGCAGATAAACTTTACTATATACTCGGAGAACAAAATATGCTGGCTGCAAAGTATTTGTACACCATTAGAATTTGCTAATCAACTAATTTGCCTTATTTAAATAATCTACACTTTTTATTCAAATAAATATTATCATTTTAAGCAAAAATGTATATTTTTATTTCTTTTTCTGTTATTTATTTCTCATTTGCTGTATTTTATTAATTCATGATGTTAATATATTACATCCTTTATACATATCTAAAATGTTTTGGCAGTACTTTACTAAAAGTCGTACTAATAAAGCAACTTTAGTGAGAGAGAGAGAGAGAAAAGATTTTACCTGTCAGTGGGTGCAAATGGAGAGAAATAGTGATTTCAACACCCTTTTTAAAATAACTTTAACCCATTGAAAAGAAAAGGTGTATAACATTGTCATAATAAATAAAAATATAGTTTAAAAAAATCCCTTTTTTTGTTTGTTGCATGTAATTGTCCATTTATGTGCTGTGGGTAAAAGGTGTTTCAGTCCAGCTACCACCACAAGTATATGTCAAACCTGTGGGAAGCACTGTGTGCATAAAAATAGGTGAATGGAAACATAGCTTCTGACTCATTAATTATTTGTTCCCTACTCTGGCTGGAATTTAGGACCATCAACTGCTTGGTTATCTTTTGTGTTTATCAGTAAGAAAATTTTTTTAGAAATTTACTGAGGGTGTGAAAAAATGTGTAAATTTGGATTTTGTGTGAACTATTCCTTTCAATAGAAGATAGTTCACACCAAAAATAAAAATGTACTCACTATTTACTCCCCCTCAAGTGGTTCCAAACCTTCATGAGCTTCTTTCTTTAATTGAACACAAAAGAAGATATTTTGAAGAACGCTGAAAACCATAGACATCCATAGCAGGAAAATAAATACTATGGTTACAGGTTTCCAGCTTTCTTCAAAACATCTTCTTTTGTGTTCAACAGTAGAAAGAAACTGTGAACAAGCGAAGAGTAAATGAAGAGGATTTTCATTTTCTGGTGTGAACTATGCCTTTAAAATTTTGTTGGTTTTAACTTACCTGCCAGATAGGCCACACTCTGCGTGTTCACCTCAAACTTGTCACAGCTGCGGTGTTTTCCCACCAGGCCCAGGAGTGTATGCAGGATACGAACTGTCCTGGCAACTGTTGTTGAAGAGGGATGTCTGTATCCTACAACATGAAAATACAAACATGAGGAACAAGACACATGGAGAACAAGAATTTTAATGATAAACAGCAAATGTACTCACTAAAAACACTCTACTGTCATAATAATCAGACTCAACATGGATTTTAAACCCCAGGTTTTCAGTCAGACATTTAAATCTATTTTGTGACATCAAATAAAAGAAAAAAGAAAAGAAAAAAAAGAAAAGAAAAGGTAGCTATAGTTTGCAGTTGTTAGTTAAAAATACTATTTTCCTTAACAGCTTCGCTTCCAGTGTAGCTATTTGATTAATATTTTACTGTTTGTTGGGTTATATATTTTACAATAAAACAAAATGTAGCATGTCTGACTGTCACTTAAAATATGCAGTGTGCACACTTGCGGGGGTGTTTGTTGATAATAGCGCATGCGGCAACTGTTGCTGATGAAAAAAGAGTGCGAGAGAGCAAATCCAGTATCGATACTAATCAAATTCAAAGTCGTATTGTTTGAAATATCCCAGTATTAATGATACTATGGAAATATCGATATTTTTCACAAAATTAATAAGTAATTATTTTCAGCAGATAATGAATTAGCCCCCCAAAATATTTGAAAATATTTAAAATGGAGCATTCACATGCAAACATAGATTAACAGAGTGTGATCTGCTAATATTTTAATAGTTACCTTTAAGTAAATGGCCCACTAATGCAAAATTGAAGTTGGAGGCAAAGTTGAGTCCCACAAAATGGTCCATTTGTTTACAGTGCCACTCTAGAGGTTTCCGGATCTCCATAAAAACCTCTTCAGGACTCTGTAAAAAAGTGAAAACATTTGCATGAGGAGAGCTTCATTAAGTTCTTACACTCAAATACACCTAACTTGGATTTTTTTTGTTATTAATTTGAACAACCACAGTGTCAAGTAATTTTTTTTTTAGTTTCGTGCTCCATTTAAACCTGGATTTAGGAGTTTTTCCACTGATCCATTCACAAGCAGATGATGCTAAAATACAGGTGTAAATATGAAGACAAAATATTGAGACATACTTTCAACTGCTGCCAGGGTAAAGAGCACGTGCTCACCTGCTGACCAAACAAGATTATTTTGCCGATCAAAGATAAAAAGGAATAAACTCAGAGTCGTTTAACCTGTTTCAGGCCAATAAATCATGAAACGGTCCTAAAAACATGTTTAAGGACATTGAGCGATTTCAGTCTATATGTAGCAGGCTTACTGTTGTAGTTGGTGTTAACAGTGTTCGGCCACATAAGTAATGTAAGGAGGTGTGACTAATAAGACCATTAAAGGAGACACTGCTGGCTGCAGGGCCACTTGGGCTCAAATGAGGGGAGGTTTGAGCTTCAAATCCACCTCCTATAAGCTGTTTTAATGCGTACACCCGCCCCACCCCTAACCCCAACACCCAGTGACATCACTTGTAGAAGAAGTGCAAGGAAGGAGGAGCTGGAGCTTAAGCTCCCCCTTGCTGGAGCTCAGCTCTGCCCAAGTGGCTCTGCAGTGAGTACCACTTGCATTAGGGTGTACTCACACTAGGTACAGTTGCCTCGAACCGGGCCAAAGCATGCTTGTCCCCCCTCCCGTCTCCCCCGACGGCCCGCACTCACACCATATCGGGCCTCGGCACGCTTACGTCATCGCTGCTGCGCTGTTCAGTGAGAAGCACTCTCTATGGCAAGCCTTTTTAGCATTTAAATCTTTGTTCTGACTCCATAAATATATTTAGAGATATCTCTAATTATATTTTGACTAGTCATAATTATAATTCGACCGCTCAGAATGACAATTAGAGATATCTGCAATTACAATTGTACTAGTACCAAATCAGATTGGAGATATCTGCAAATATATTACGACTAGTCATATTCCTCCATTGACTTCCATTGAAAAATATTTGCAGATATCTCTAAATGAGTTTTGACTAGTCACAATTATAATTAGAGATATCTCCAAATGAATTTTGACTAGTAACAATTGTAATTAGAGATATCTCTAACTGAGTTTTTACTAGTCATAATACATTTGGAGATATCTTTAATTCGTCATATTTAGAGATATTTACAAATATATTTGAAGATAATTAATTAATTTACTAAATAATTTACTAATAGTCGAATTACTGTTGTAGATATCTTGAATTGGACTTTTGACTAGTCAAAATTCATTTAGAGATATCTCTAATTACAATTGTGACTAGTCAAAACTCATTTAGAGATATCACACCTCTTCCAACCGGGCCAGGGCCGGCCAAGTGAACTGTGCTTGAGCCCGATTCAGTGCACTCACACTTCTCAAACGATCCGGGAAACGGGCCTGGGCACGGTACGGATGGCAAAGTGTGAGTAGGCCCTAAAGGTATAACCCACCAAAAAAAAGTACATTCTGTCACCATTTACCATCTCTCCATTAGTTTCGAACCTGAGTTTTGTTCTATTTTGATCACACAGAAAGATATACTAAAAGAATTTTGGGAAGAAACAGCCATTGACTTCCATAGATTTTTTTTGCTTCTACTAGGGCTGTAAATAGCAGTTTTTTCTCAACATTTTTTAAAATATCTTGTTTTGAATATATAGTTGACATAGCATCAAAAATTATAGCTATCCAACTCAGTCATGATCCTAGAATCTGGATATTAGGATACACTGAACTACTAGATGCATCTCATCATTAAAAAATACTTCATACTTTTGGCTGGAAAAAAATGTATATTGATTAACAGAATATCATCTCACTCAGCATCCACAAACCATATGATCAACAACATTACCTACTGCTCCCCTGAGAAAATTTTGTTCAATGTCAGAAAATCACCAAACACTTAAAAAATAAACAAATAAATAAATAAATAAATAATTCAGGCCTATTTTCTGAAGTATCTACCATCCATTTCTTAGTTGCATGTTTTTTCTCCCTCTCACATTGAACTTTTGTTGGCTTTTGTAACAAAAAAAAGTAACAAAAAAAAGTACAACCGAAAACAGAAGAAATTCATAAACGTTCAGAACTATCCTTTAAAGTGAAGAAAGATGACTGTTAAAACAATGATAGGAGATACCTTGTAAAATGTGTGGTCAGTAAAAGTGCACATTGAAAGGTATTCATACTTTGCTATTTCGTACTCAACACAACTTTTACTTTTCATAAGGCACAAAGATGAGTTAGATCTTTCAGATTGTAATGCATCTTGGCTGACCATTTCAGATAACCTAAACACGATTAATAATAGCTAGAAGCAGGCCTTAAATGATTTCAGTCGCCCACCTTATCATTAAACACTCGGAGGCTGTCCAGTGTGTGCAGGTTCTGCTCCAGTAAGGCAGTGCCGGCGGAGTACAGATTCACTTCATCCAACTGAAGCACGGCCACGGCCACCCAGAACAGAGCTTTATGCATAGGAGAATCCTAAAGGGTCAGACAAACACACATATGGGCCTTGTAATTTCACTACAAATATCTGTTTTAGGCCTTGTTTTCTGATAATTGTGACTAGTAATAAAATTATTTTTTTTAAATTAATTAGTAACTAAAGCAAGAAAAATAGATACAATTAAACATCGATAAATAAACTTTATACATTTGTAAGAACTTAATTTAAATGTAATCTCCTTTGATTTAATTAAATGAGTTACAAACAGAAAACCATTTTAGCTGTGAATTTCAGAAGATCTGTCATTATTTTCTCCCTCTATTTGGTTTCATGCTTAAAGTATTAAAAAAGCACTTAAATTACAAAGAATTTTTAAATTAATTAATCATTAAAGCCCCCTTTTGGATATAATTAAGAAATTCTGCATTTTTCATTAGAAATTATAAGAGTCCAAACAGGAGTTTCAGTGCCTCTGTTTTCAGAATATTTTATCAATAAGGATCATAAATTGAGTGTTTCTTGCATGTGTCATAAACATTAGTAGATTATCAACTGTGTAATTTATAGATAGACAGAAAGATAGACAGACAGACAGATGGATAGATGGATACATGGATAGATGGATGGATGGATAGATGGAGCAGAATTTTATTTTAATTAGGATTAAATCATTTTGGATATAATTAAGAAATTCTGCATTTTTTTCATTATAAATTCCAAACTAAAATAATCCATACAGCAGTTTTAGTTCCAGAAATATTTGATCAACACATCGATGAATTTGCTCTTCAGTGTTTGGACTCTCAGTAATGAGATAACCAAATAACCATTTATGTGAAGCTGCTTTGACACAATCTACATTGTAAAAGCGCTATACAAATAAAGCTGAATTGAATTGAAAACAAGGATCACAAATTGAGCATTTCTTACATGTGTCATAAACATTAGTAGATTACCACGCGTGTAATTTCTGCACCACCAAACTGAATTACAAAACCATTTCCCTAAACACTCAAACATGCACAGAGCGAGAGAAGTAAATGGAAACAATGCTGCAGAGGTAATAACGGCTGATGTTTTGATAATTGAATGGTGCACCTGATCGAGGAGAGGCTGTAGTTTGGTGAGAGCGATGACTGTGGCTTCGATGAGAACCTGGCTGTTGTAATTATCTGGGCCCTTTAAGCAGCTCTCCAGCCCCTGTGCAGGAACAGCATTAATCAGACGGTGCGGCGGAGCGAGACAGAGCCAGCAAACAGACAGAGAGAATGACACTACAGCAGTTAGACTAGCACACTGCATTCTGCACACAGTCACTATCTACAGGCAGCATATAGCCATACTTCTACAATGAGGATATAGGACAATTGTTTCTCAGTTAATATGGACAACATACAGGGATCAGCATAAATGAGTACAGCCCATTTTGAAAATTAATATTTGTATCTATTTCTTAGTGCATTTAGACAATCAATTTTGGTGCATTTAAAGAAAACAGTTTTATTATATCCATTAAAATAAAAGTTTAGTTATCTAACATCTTTAGGAATAATAATATAATATATTAAAATGAGTTATTGCAAAAAAAAAAAAAAAAAAAAAGACAAACTACTAAATCTCAACTAAATTTGACCCTTTTTTTTTTTTTACATTTTCTTTTGTTGAACACGTAATAAGATGTTTTGAAAAATGTTGAAAATCTAACTATTTACTTTCATAGTATTTGTTTTTCTTACTATGGAAGTCACTGCTTACATACTTTCAGCTTTCTTCAAAATATCTTCTTTAGTGTTCAACAAGAGAATGAAACTTATAAAGATTTGCAACAGAGTATGAGTAAATAGTGAATAAATTTTCATTTTTGGATGAACTATCCCTTTAATGCTAAGACTGTAATGCTAATGGCTATGAAAGTCTATTAACTGGAATCTTAAGTTCTGAGTAGTGCAAAGATATGGTATTTAAAAGCATTATCAATGAAGTAAAAGTCAGCAGACCACATTACAACATAAATATCAGTTGAGTCATTTTCCAAAAACGATCAATGCCACCAAACTAGAATCAAATCTAAAATGAGGCAGTCTAAGAGAGAGAATCTGAGACAGAGCTTACCCGATCAATGCTGAGTAGAGGACTGGCTTTACTGAGAATACGAATGATCTGCTTTAGCTGTCCGTGAGTCACTCGTTTACTGATGCAGCCGAACACCACCAGCGCCCGAGGCTGAAGAGAGGGGTTATACTGGAACGCAAACCTATCCAACAGTGGAGATGACAGTTAGTTATTTAAATATGATTGAAATGTGGTTTACAGTTTCACAAAACACTCATAAAATGTTTTCAACTCACTTTTGCGCCAATTCAGTCCACTGATCTAGCCATTTGCATCCAGGAATGTCCCTCATGCAGGCCTGAGTAAAAATAAATACATTAAATAAGTTGTAAATTTAATAAAGTGTACATTAGACTTAAAGAGGATCCTATTATTCCATTTTACAATACGTGTCCTCCAAGTCTGAAGTGTCCAAGAAAAGGCCTGTGTAATTTCAGCTTGAAATATTTAACAAATCAATTGTTATACTATCCTGTGCATGACTGTTTTAGGTAAAATATGTCTTTAAATGGGCGACGAAGTGGTGCAGTAGGTAGTGCTGTCGTCTCATAGCAAGAAGGTCGCTGGTTCGAGCCTCGGCTGGGTCAGTTGGCGTTTCTGTGTGGAGTTTGCATGTTCTCCCCGTGATCGCATGGGTTTCCCCGGGTGCTCTGGTTTCCCCCACAGTCCAAAGACATGTGGTACAGGTGAATTAGGTAGGATAAATTGTCCGTAGTGTGAGAGTGTGAATGAGTGTGTGTGAATGTTTCCCAGACATGGGTTGCGGCTGGAAGGGTATCCGCTGCTTAGAAATGTGCTGGATAAGTTGGCGGTTCATTCCGCTGTGGCAACCCCGGATTAATAAAGGGACCAAGCCGAAAAAAAAATGAATGTCTTTAAATGCAAATGTGCTGCTGCACCCCGCCCCCTATCCAGATCAGGGTGGAGTCTTGATCTTTTTTCTATAGTGCTTTAAAATAACATAGATTGTTTACAGCTTGTGCCTCAGACAAAACAAACTGCAAAACAAACTGAATGTTTATGTATTATGAAAATATGTAACAAACTAAATATGTAAACAGCTTCAGCTATTTAGACTCTGATATATGGTTTTATATATATTCTATATTTATTTTATATAGTTACTTAAGTTTAACGTCACAAAGATTGTTGTGCAAGTATTAAATTAAGTTCACTTTTTCATAGCTATCAAGTAAACTCAAAAGTCCACAAAACATATATTGGAATTATTGAAATATTACAAGTGTCTAAATCCCAATGTTTTGCAATAAATGGGTGATTTAAACAGGGCTGCATGATTTTGGCTAAAATGAGAATCACATGTTTTTTTTTAGCTTAAAATCAAGATCACGATTTTCTCACAATTTTGTAGATGTAAAATAAAGGTTAATCTGAGAAGGATAATATTATTGCTATTTCTCAAACATATGGTTAAACACTAAAGTAAAGTAAAATGTTCATTTAAGTAGACATCTTTGGGGATACGCGCACGCCCACTTGATAGTAAACAAACAGTGCTTCAGCTCATGTGTGATTTCACAGCCGCGAATATGTCATTACATTAAGACAGAAATTACATTTTTGGGTGAATTATACCTTAAAAATACAGTATGTGTCACTTAACACCATTTGGAAGAGCCCATGTTGCTGAGCAATGTATATAAAACAATGTGAAGACTTGTGCGACTGCCTTTACGCTTCTCTCCTGACCTCGAAAATTTAATAGGCTGAATCGTAGAAAAGTAAAATTAAGATCGTGTGTAGGGTCGAGTCCCCAATCTTTTTTTCGATTAATTGTGCAGTCCTAGATTTGATACAAAAGTATCTTTGTGCGCCTGTCCTTAGCACACCCTCTGAAAATCTTCCAGCACATCAGGTAACGTAGTTAGATGTCAATGCTCATCTTTGAAACAGTTTTTTTTTTTATCCAAAAATCTGTTATAATTTTAGTATGGATGCTGAAATATGACTAAGCAATTAGGAAAGCAATAAAACAACAAGAGGTCAATCTACCCTGTTTGAAATATTTGGTCCCACTTTATATTAAGTCTTGCTTACATGTTACTTACTGGACTTACTTGTTAACTAGATGTGTAAGTAGTATGTAACTACAGTGTACATACACACAGGTAGATAGTATTTACTTGTGTAATACTGGTGTAACCACACACATGTAACAACGCAATGAATAGTATGTGTTGTAAACATTGTAAACAAACCTCCATGATCTCCAAAAGAGCCTCCGTGACTGTTTCCAGGGAAGACAGAGCAAATGTCTCTCTCTCATAAGAGCCTGGAGAGAATGAGCGGTCTCTGTAGCTGGAACGGAAAGCGATGACCGCCGCAGATTTGACCTTACTGATGCCGAACAGCAGGTAGAACTTGGGCAGGGAGAACTCAGTCAGACTCAGGCGCAGCACCTGTTTAGTCTCCTCTACAGAAGCAAAACAGCAAAAATCAGAGAGATCATGTCATGCTAAAACACTCGGATGTCAAGCAAATGATAAATCAGCATTGCATAATATAAGAGTGGCAGTTCTGTGTAAGATATAGAAGCAGACAAAAAAAGTGTAATCCAGATTTGAATAGTGTTTTGCTTAACTTGGTTTTGGTATTAAACATTTTAGAATGACTTACAGAAGACACTCTCAAAAAGAGTCATTTAATGTTTATATGCCAAAAATCTTGCCAGGCATATCTATCACAAGATCATGGTGCAGTCCCAAAATATATTTTTAAATCTTAAAAAATAAAAGTCTTTATTGCAGATTTGAATAATGAAATTACTTTGGAAAGCTCATTTATTCATTCATTCATTTTTTTGTCGGCTTAGTCCCTTTATTAATCCGGGGTTGCCACTGCGGAATGAACCGCCAATTTATCCAGCATGTTTTTACACCGCGGATGCCCTTCCAGCCGCAACCCCAGCTCTGTGAAAACTTTGGAAAGCTTTTTAATATTAATAATTAATAATTACTTTCGAGAGGATCACTTGCTTGTCCACGGCTGATCTGACATTAGCGAACACGATTCACGAATCAGATGATTCCTAGCTCACTATAAATAACCAGAGTTTCTTATCTCAGTGTCTTCGTCTTGAAGAATGCCCCCTCCCACCCCTACTCCCCCTCCTTTCTAGATTGGGTGACATGGCGGCCCAGCAATTAGCACTGTTGCCTCACAGCAAGAATGTCACAGGTCAAAGTCCCTACTGAACCAGTTGACATTTGTGTCTACATGTTCTCCATGTGCTGGCGTGGGTTACCCTCGGCTTCCTCCCACATCCAAATACAAATTAGCCATTCCTATATCTGTCGTTAGCCAGAAATAAGTCAGGGGAGTTCATAGAGATCTACCTGAGCTCAAACTCATCACTCGCCCTGCTACCGTGAGGGAGCCCAGGGCTTGAGGATCTTATAAGCTCAGGGCTCTCTCCCTGGACAGCATGCCAAACAAGCTCTGATATCAATCCTCAGCTAAGTGTGAACTCTTGAAATACTGTTATTTAGTTGATGTGGTTGTTTTTGTGGTTTTTTTTATTCTGTTTTGTTCTCTTTAATTAGGTGGAAGTGGAACAAATTGTAGTTTAAAAAGTACCTTATGTATACTATAGAGATTGAATATACGTACATAGATATGTATATTATATGTTACCTACTGTTTTTAATGTATTTATGATTCATAGAGTTTTCAATTAATTAATATATGAAAAAATATTCATAAAATACTATGCAAATATTTTATACTTTTATGCCAAGGCCATGTTATTGCGTTTGACATAAGTTCTCATAAAGCATATGCTAAAAAAACATGGACTGTGATCATTCCTTACATGCTTGTTAAACTTGTTTTATGGATCTACCATTATTATAAAAGCAATGTTATGAATAGACTTGACTTGAGGATAGAAGACTTTAGAGGCTTTAATGGATGAATTGCAATAATAAGTGAACTATGTGATTCAGCCATATCAACCTGCAGCCCAAGACTGGTTACTCACTGAAGCCAAGCAGGGCTGAGCCTGGTCAGTACCTGGATGGGAGACTACATGGGAAGACCAGGTTGCTGTCGGAAGTGGTGTTAGTGAGGCCAGCAGGGGGCGATAAACCTGTGTAAGTCTTAATGCCCCAGTACAGTGAAGGGGACACTATACTGTCAGTGAGCTCCACCTTCGGATGAGACGTTAAACAGAGGTCCTGACTCTATGGTCATTAAAAATCCATAGCACTTCTCATAAAGAGTAGGGGTGTAACTCCAGTGTCTTGGTCAAATTCTCCCCATCATGGCCTCCCAAATCATCTCCATCTATCACTTAGATAGAATTGCCTCAATCACTGTCTCTTTAACTCCATTAATAGCTGGTGTGTGGCGAGCGCACTGGCGCTGATGTCCTGTGGCTGCCATCCAAGTGGATGCTGCACACTGGCGATGGTGAGGAGAGGCTGCCTGCCATCATGATCGTGAAGCGCTTAGGGTGTATGGCTATACACGTTACATGCTCTATATAAATACACATTACAATATTATGCTGATGTTTTAATCAAAAGTATAAACTCTCGATCGCTGTAAAAGACTTACCATTTACCAAGTGATGCAATCAGAATCAAATTGAATCACAATGAACACAATCACATTCAAGTGGTTATAAACATGTATGAAGTTCTTTCTTCAATATAATACAAAGAAAGATATCCTGAAGAATGTTGGAAACCAGCAGTCATTGACATTGATTGTAAGAACAAAATAAAAAAAAATCTTCAAAATACCTTATTTTTGTTTAACAGAAGAAAAACTATTATATTTCATCTTTGAGTGAACTAACCCTTTAACTATTCCAAATATGAGACCGTTTTAATTTTGATCTATTTCTTTAAATAATGCTTTTTTTTGTGGCTCCTTACCACTGAAGTTGAGTTGTGAGCATGTGCAGAGCGAGTGAATGATGTTGATGACCAGGCCGTGTGTTGATGCACGCAGCGAGAGAGGGCCCGTGGCCACCAGCAGGGTGACGACGTGGAACAGGTATGGCAGATGAGCGGCCACGTCCAGAGAGTTGTTGAAGGACAGCATGAGCATGTACCGGGCCAGGATGGCGATGTCGTCCCACATGAGGTGCTGCTCAAGGGTCGGAGTGGGAGACAGACACGTCTTGTCGATGATCTTACACATTCGGCCAATCACCTGAGACACAAATTTAGCAAAGCAAGTACTGTTACATTAAACACTCTGACTTTACTTGACATTTTAGCTTCAATGAGACGAATATGCAGTTAAAAGGCATCAACCACCACTTTTTCATCATCAACTCATCCTCAAGTGGATCCAAACCTTTTAGGGACTTTTCTTTGATGAACACACACACACACACACACACACACACACACACACACACACACAAAGTAATAGGGTACTGGTAGTCAGTTGCAGGTAAACAAATACCATTAAAGTCAGGCACTGTGACAGGAACACAGGTACTTTAAACACAACAGTTTTTTGTACACAGTTTTGTGGTTTGTCCACACAAAAACAGAAGCATTTTCTTCTTTCTGACTGGACAACACTACTGGGTTCACATCATATGCAAAAGATGCAAATGAGACAGATTCCACATGATCACGGCAAACGCATTGCATATTTTGCATTGTTTGCATCCCCACAATCTGTCTCTGTTCACACATATGCATTGACATGTATGCAATTTAATTGCTAAAATACATGGTTATAAAAGTGTCATTATTGCCATCTGTTGATGCAGCATGTCCTAAACATGCATCACAGTGCATTTTTGTGTTTTCATGTTGACAGATAAAAAAAAAAATTTTTTTAAATTAAAAACAGAAACAGGAAAAGCGGTTTATAAAAATACCCATATACATGCAGACATGGCCCAAATAACAACCAGTTTTCTTCACGACACCTTTTTGTTGTTGTTTTACTTAATAGAATAAAGAAACCCAAACACATTTGGAACAAGTTAAGGGTGAGTAAATGATGACAGAATTTTCATTTTTGGATGAACTATCCCTTTAAGAGCGACAGACGCTCCAGAAGTAAAAACTCCATTCTTTTTTTCTGTAAGGACAATTACTGGTGTGCTTTATAGTAAGACCTGTTGTGAGTCTAAGAGTGTTAACTGGCATTAAGAAATATTTAATAGCGATATTTGTGCAGGAAATCTACATTTCAGGAAATCTGCATTTCAGTTTCACAGAGTTGCAGTGAGAAAAGCACGCCAAAATGGATCTTTAGCTATATAGAATCAAAATACCTAAACAGGTGTTTATATGCATATTTTGCCAATATATAGTTTCTATGTATAAACAAATAAGAACTTTAAATAAATTAGACATTTTTCATAGGGCTGGGCCGGTATCATATAAACAATATCATATCGAATCACATTAATAATCGATAACAATGATAAGCTCTGGACACTCAATATTGATACTAAGAGATAATCACATAGCAGAAATATGAAACAACAGGAATCTGTAATTGTGTTATTACTAAAGATTCACTGGATATTTGGTCGCCGAAGATTATTGGCCAAAATTAGATCATGCTGCATCACCCAGTATTGTTTAGCATGCTCATTTCACTTTCCCGCCAGCAGTATCTGCCTTCAGTCATGCTTGGGATACTCTTTTAAAAGTGGAAGCATTAACAACTAATATGGAGATATATATATATATATATATATATATATATATATATATATATATATATATATATATATATATATATATATATATATATATATATATATATCATTATCATTTAATATAGAAAATAATTATCGAGACCGCATTTTTGCCATATTGCCCAGCACTAATTTATCACAAATGTTCAATTAAATTGTTTAAATTTGATTGTATAATTTTGCAATGCTTTATTATGGGATTGTAGTTCCTTTCCATCAGCAAAGCTGTTCAGTTCACAGTTTTGTTCCATTGTACTTTTCATATTCATACTAAATGTCATGCTCTTATTTTCTTGCTTCAAATCAATTAGTGTAATGCTGAAGTTCATCCTATTGCTCATTGCTTTGACTATGCTTTTTAACATTTTAACAAGCACTATTTATTTTAATCATTAGGAAAAAGCAATATGGGGCAACAAGTTTATTTTGCAAAAAAGTTATCAAAATACTGACAAGGCTCTTTCCAAAACGGCACAATTTACCATTTCAAACAAAACTCAAATGCTTAAGTACACCAATACAAAACAGAATCCAGACAATGTGTCTTTACAGTGACATGCATTATAGCATCATTTGCTCTGTCAGTTAGACTATACTTGGTCCCTCATTTAACCTCAGAGTCCTGCTGCTAGGAGTCTTAGAAAAGCAGACGCAACAACTGGACAAAGCCTGCTCTTGTGTTGCCTGCTGTGACATCAGCAGTGGCTGGCACATGTCAACCAAACAATATTTGACTTTTTAGCAGAGCTGATCATTTAGGAAAAGAGCTAAAACTGCTCAACTAGTTAAAAAACAGCCAGTTAAAGTAACTTCATCCATTAAAAACCATAAAGATCAAAACCGTTAAGTTATCAGAGTCACAAATATGGCTCTCCTTCCAGCCAAGTGTCTGACAATGACGTCCATTGAGCGTAATGACTAACAGTTGCCCATATAATAGGAGCAACTGCCCTGCTGGCTAAACTATTGTCTGTCTGTGCACAAACGTACAAATTGGGCATTTGTGCACAACACTTAGGATAATAGATGTTGGGTAGAAGAGCTAGTCAGCCTGGATAAGATCACAAGAGGAATGATTGAGGAACACAAGAGCCAGAAACACTTTAAGCGGTAAGTCGAAGTCTGTTTAAAACTGTGTAAGTGGACTACAAGTTTATTTAGAATCTTTGTCTTAGCAACAGGCATGGCAATAAAAAAAAAACAGGTTTGATGTATGGTTAATATTGAAATATTAAGTTTAATTGTAAAAGAATTTACTATTTTAATTGTAATACATTTCAACCAAACTATTAGATCAAATTATATTTAAAATGCACATTTAATATAAATTACAAGTGGTTTTAGGGTGATTTTAATCTGCATATTTAGATGCAAAATTAGATAAATATCTAATATTTTAATGTTATATTAAATAGCTGTGGACAAAAATAGATCATCTGGAAATTCTGTGTAACAAATTAATTGTGATATTTATTTTACCAATTTTTAATAGAATTTTGACCAAAAAAGATCAATTGATAAAAAAACCAAAATGTTATATTCACAGTCATTTATATACTAGTTTATATTTATGTTTAGACAACACAATACCATGAATGTTTCAAATTCAGAAGAGATAATAACAGTAACTAATATTTGGTGGAAGCACAAAATTATTTTCATGCATATTTTCTGTTACTACAGTGCAAAGAAAACGAACAGTATGCTTTATGGTTTTGGTTCTGCTGCATTTTCAATGCTCAAGTCTAAATCATTCATTGCAAGTCAGCAATGCAGCAACTTAATATTTCAGTACAATCGAACTGAGATGCTTCTATTACTGTGGTAATGTCAAACACAGCATCAAGTTAAAACATATATTAGAGCTGTACAATATATAGTTTCTGCATCAATATTACAATGTATGCATTCGCAAAAATCACATCGCAGGATCTGCAATGTCAAGTAGGTATTATAGCTGACCAGCAGCCACAGTAAAAAAATTTTAAAAAATAAATAAATAAAAAAACCTATGTACAAACTTCAAGTTTATCATCAGCATGTGTTTATAAGGCCTTTGACTGTGAGCATTTCATGTCGGTTTAAAGCAATCAGACATTCTCTGTATTTATGTATACAGTTAAAATTAAAATTATTAGCCCTCCTCTGAATTTCCTTTTCTTTTTCAAATATTTCCTAAATGATTTTTAATTGAGAAAGGAATTTTCCACAGTATTTTTACTACTTTTGTCCAGTTTTAAAGTATAAAAGCAGCTTTTAAATTTTTTCAAAACCATTTTAAAGGGCCATGAAACCCCCTCGTTTCAGCAGGGTGTTTTCACACCTCTTCTTTGGAAAAAGTCAGAAAAGTGGGGGTGTCCAGCTCTGTTTAGGGGGGAGTGTCGGAGAAACTAAAGTGGGAGGGTGTGGGAGTGTCTATTTGGGCACGCGCGAGTTTGTCAAAATACACAGGAGAAAGCGATGGTGTTTAACCTACATGGACATCTGTAGTCGAATTATTTGCCAAATTATTAAATGTTGGACTTTAACTGCAGTTTGGCTCTTTCATTCAGGGAATTCATTCATGCCCCTCGCGACAAATGAGATATTTGATTCGAAGGTCTGCTCTATGAGTTTATTTTTCATGCAATGTTTGATACCGCACGGCGAATGACAGAAAAAAAAACTCAGCATTTCCCGGAAACTTAGATGCACACGGCAGGTAGCGTCCGAAAGCCGCGTGTGTTATTCCGGTCACAAAATGCGGTGCTAACATGTTTGCACTCAATGCAATAGTTAACTTATTTGATACGAACAAACTGAATATACAAAGAGCACTGGTCGCTCACTTACCAAATCTGTGGAGACAGGACAATCACCAGCAACTAGAGCCGCGTCTTTATGAAGAGAAGACTACATCCGGAATCCGGATTTTAGCGTTTGCAGATGAGAACAGCTCTCAGGTAAACAATAATCCTCCTTAGACACGTAAATTATTGTTGTTGAGCGTCGCGTACACTGTAATCCACACGTGATCCAGATAAGCTCTCACAGAGAGAAAATGAAAACGAAACTTAATGGCAGCAAACTGTAAAAGCAACACTTCACGCTTGTTTTGCCAACACAACGTGGCGTCTCTGTGGTGTAAAGACGGTGACACTAATGAATATTAATGAAGTTGCACAATAGAGCGCGCTGATTGGTTTGAACCAACCCTTACTCATGCATTAATGCATCACACTGTAAGACGTAATAAGGCACACTCTGGCACAGACGCCCAGTCTGCACGCTGGAATACAACGCTATTATGTCATGACCGTGACGCAGCTTCAAAAATTCGTTTCAAACAGGAAGTACGAATTTGCTTGAAATAACGCAAAAACAACCAATTTACACTTTTTAGTGAAATATAGGTGTCCTAATAGTGTTTTTAGCAGTGTGGGACACATATATGACTGTCAACAGCTCAAAAAATGTGTTTTGGTGTTTCGTGACCCTTTAAGGTCAAAATGTTATATTCACATTCACTTATATACTAGTTTATATTCATGTTTAGACAACACAATACCATGAATGTTTCAAATTCAGAAGACATAATAACAGTAAATAATATTGTGGAAGCACAAAATTATTTTCATAGCATATTTTCTGTTACTATAATGCAAAGAAAACTAACAGTTTGCTTTATGGCTTTGGTTCAGCTGCATTTTCAATGCTCTAGTCTAAATCATTCATTGCAAGTCAGCATAATATTGCAAGTCAATATTATTGCATTAGAGCACAATATTGCAAGTCAATATTATGTCAAACTGATTACTAGCAGAAAACTATGAAATACGGTTTATTTTATTTGTATTTTTGCTCTACTTCATTTATCAATGCTTGTGATTGGTTTATTTTATACAGGTGCAGATGCACTTTCCTACAAAAATCATCCTAAACAATGTAAAATAATAAATTATTTCTAAATAGAGCTAGTCATTTCATCTGGTTAAAGTATCCTCAATATTGCAGAAAAATAAAAGATCCCAATCTCAGTTTTTTCCCAATATCGCGCAACTTTATCTGCAAAATCACTATTTAAAGGTTTTTTTGAACATAATAGAGTGACTAAAGAGCTCATACCTTGCTGGAGACCAGTTTGACATTTCCTGACGCCAAAGCTACAGCAGTGTCAGCCATCACTTCAGCTTTGATGGATCCTAAACCGCCAGTAGCGCTGGTCTTTATAAAGCTGTCCAACACCACATCAAGCAGGTCTGTGATCTAGGAACACAAAATGGTGCACTCTTTAACTGCTGACTAAAGAGATTCTGAAGAATTACTGTGGAAAAATAGAGGGGTGGTGAAGGCATCAATCATTGCAATGTCGGTTTCAAACTTTGGAACAAGCTCTTAAAATTAGATTCATTTAATGAAGTTGGTGAAAACTTTAAAGGGCCTACCTGACCCAAGCTGCCCCATATCTTGGCCTGTATGGAGGGGTACATCTGCTTCTCGTTGATGGTCATAGTAATAAGCTTGTCCAGGATGGCCGTGACACGCTGCCGTTTGGCGTCATCATTGTGTTTGCAAAAGCGCACCAAATTACGGAGCCAAGGAGTCATATATTCTAGACACAGATGCTTCAGCTCTATACCTAAAAAGAGAATATGGAGCATGTTTGTAATGCATGACAAACAGTTGGTTTGAAAATGCCATCATCTTTATCTAAATAAATAATACTATTACACAATTGTACAAAGTCTGAGGTTTGTGTGATATGTTAAGTCTTATATGTTTGCTAGGGCTATATGCATTTGATCAAAAACAAACACAAAACATATGTACAACAGTAAAATATTATTAGAATATCGAATAACTTTTGTATTTTTACATATTTCAAAATGTAATTGGTATAGCTGAATTTTCAGGAGTCCTAACTCCAAAATCTCCTGTTTTTTTTTTTTTTTTTAAAGTATAAAAATGTTGAGTTTCTTGATTTTTTTTTTTTTAACTGTGATACATTTTTTTTAGTCATACATTTCTTGTATTCTTTAAATATAAATAGAAAACAGTAAAAAAAGTATTTAATTGACATTGAAATTGACAACATATTAAAGTCTATAAAATTATATGAAAGTTTTCACTGTCACTTTTAATTAATTGAATGCATCCCTTGATTTAGGGCCTTGCTTTATTTATTTCAGGATTTCTGCATGTTTCACCAAGTCAAATGTAAGATTTTTTAAGGCCTTTATGAATAAAACGTCAGACTTATACAGGGCTAAACTCTAAAGATGCGAATAGAAACACTTTTTCTAATGGAAAATATTTGTAATTGTCACACTGAACAAAAATCTAGTTTAGTTACTTCTAAGCCACATTTTTATATAATGTGTCAAAACCACTAAACTCTAGTTACATGCATACAAGTACAAAAAAAACTAAATGTATCCACAACAGTCTGTCAGGGTAAGTGTTCTCACCAGGTAGCAATAAATGGTAACACTTTAGAATAGCGGTCCATTAGTTAATGTATTTACTAGCAATAACTAAAGTATGAATAATCTTGTAAAGCATTTAATAGTCATAGTTCAACATTAACTAATGTATTATTAAAATACAAAGTTGTGCTTGTTAACATTAGTTAATGCACCTTGATTTACAATGAACTGACATGAACTAAGGTTATTTAACTAAAATAATATTAACATCTAATTTTCCCAGTGATGGGTTGCAGCTGGAAAAGCATCCACAGCATAAAACATATGCTGGATAAGTTGGCGGTTCATCCTGCTGTGGCGACCCCTAATTAATAAAGGGACTAAGCTAAAAAGAAAACGAATGAATAAATGAATAAACATTAAGTAACATTAATAAAGTTAAATAAATACCATATTAAATGTATTACTAATTTATTACTAACGTATTTACTAATAGTTTTTCATGTTAGTAAATGGATTACCCAACATTAACTAATGGACCATTATTTTAAAGTGTTTCCCAATCAAAAAATGTATGTTTTAAGCAAATGTTATTGTAAGGAAGACAATTAGATAGAATTAATGAATAAAACTTATGGTAAATGATTATTGGATTTTTGGCAATTGCTTTACATGACACAAAGGAAAACTTCAGACCTGTTTAAGCTACAACCTACAATATTTTAGTGAATTTAGCTACAACCTACAATATTTCAGTGAATTTAAGACGCAAGGCCTTAGGAATTACTTTTTAATATTGTAAGACATTAAGACTTCTTAAGACCCTGCAGACAACCTGTATTTCGCAAATTCTGCTTCATTTTTTACTAATAAAATATTTCTGGCTCCTTTTCATTTTTTCCTCTGGATCTGGACTCTATTTTTAAGGTTAGTATACATTTTAGTAATTAAGAAGAATGTTATTTAATCAAAATCAGCTATTCATTAAAAACCCAGCAAAATGTAATTATTGGGAACATATTTATATATGTCCGTATTATCACTAAAACTCTTGTTTTGTGACTTTTAAAACTATCAAGGATAACTGCTTAATAGATGCACTGAAATATATTTAAAATTTATTAATATAAAATAAAAGTCTAGCATACTTTTGTAACATACTTCTATCACAATTTTTTATTTTAAGAGTTTAACACACTATTACACATCATTTTGCTTGGGTGTACAGTTTTCATCCAAAAGTTGCCAGTTATTCAGCTAATTCCATAATTATGTCCATTAAGGAAGTCTCTGAAGAGAAGTATGAATTGCTTCTAAATGAAGGAAAAACTATTTTACAGACATCAGACTTTCAAACAACATTACATATGCACAGACTGATGTAGATTTGTTTGTATGCCTCACTCACTTGATTTACTGAATCCTGAGATGCACTCTTCCAGGAACTCCAGAGTGAGGTGGGGTTCATTAGCTGCTAGCGTTTTGCTAATGGACACAATAAAAAGCGTGTTGTTGGCTGGGATGCACAAGCCAGACGTTTCCAGAAGCTGGCCTTCAATCTTCAGGTTGAAGGTGCAGGTTAAGGCACAAAGGAGATTGTAGGCCGCAGACCTGTGAAAAAAGTTCATAGTTAAGTACTAGCCTTTTTTTTTTTTTAAGTTAATTTTAAAGTTATTTTCCTTTTTTTGTAGGAATTAATTTTACAATTTACTTTTACAAGACAGATTTGTGATTTTAACTGCAGGGTGGCAAGTTTAAGAGCCGCTGCAGTTGAACTAAAAGACACAAAGCATCAGTATTAGCATTTCTAATCAGTTCACCAAAACAAAGACAGAAGCCGGCAAATAAAAGGCTCATTGTCAAAACAACAACAGCGGGATGCATCGGACCATTCACCCAAAACTATCAAGTTTTTAGGTTGAAAAACAGCATGAGTGCTGTCTAAAACTCAAGACAGCCTAATGACTCTAACTGCAGACTACGGCTGATTGATTTGTAATCAATAATAATCGAATGGCGTTTTTTTTTTTTTTTTTATTAAACCAGCAATAACGATTTAACTAGCAATTTTCTTAATCACAAGCTCAAACTATAAACTATAAAAAAGCCTCTTTTAAAAACTACATCTATTAACTGATCTGTCTATAAGCATTTATGAGTGATCTACTGACAGATCAGCTCATAAACGCAGCTCTCAAATGCAAAAAGCAGTAAATCGATGAACATTAAAGCCAATCACAGTCATTTCGGTTGAGCAAGTGAACGCTTGCTGGCCAATCAAGAAGAACATGCTCAACAATAGCACTCAAACTTAAGTGGCAAATTGACGCTTTTAAAACTCAAGTACCAAGTTAGTTATTTATACATTCATGTTTTAATGCCATTTCAGCAGCATTGGTTATATATACGGCAACATTTGTAGAAAATATTCAATATATCATTTACAAACATAGCTGTTTCGTAATCATTCATTGTAAAAACAATTACAAGCACACTGATAAAAACTCATATAGGTTGTTCCAATTTAATCAGTGATAAATACTCTAAAATTTCCCCTTTTAAACATTTCCCTTAAAATATTTAGTAAATAAAAGCATTCTCTAATATCATTTAAAAATATACATTCCATTAAAATATGATTTATCATCAAAATATTCTTACATAATTCAATTCAATAGTTTTTTCTTCCCCTTTCAATAATTATGCATGTGTAAGTCTTGAGCGGCCAGTTCTACATCACGTTTGTATTTTCCAAATGATAATTATTACTTTTATTTTAAAATTGTATTTACTTTATACAATTTGTTGTTTATTGACCTTATTCTTTGTGAACGAGCAGGCGCAGCCATTTCAATCTTTTTAGCTTGAGACTTCTGGTCTTACTCGCTTCCATTCATTTTTAGACTTTAAAAACACTTTGTTATGCTGCTTGATGTTGCAAACGGACATTTTCTCATTCGATTATTCTGCTTTGTCTGTATAGTCATGCAGACACTTGTTTGTAGAACAAGTAGTTTGATTGTTTTATACTGTTTACTATTCATTTCTTCCATAGGCAACTGAATCAGAAGTTCTAAAACAGCCGCTAAAACGAGCACATTTCCGGATCGAAGAATAAGGTCACTACATTCATTCCATTCCATTTGCAATTTATCCTTAATGTACCAATTCAGAGCAGGTTTGACACTAATTTTGTTACCGAAGTTGGTACTTTTGACAACCCTAGAATCCGTACCCTGATGCATTAATTTTTTACATTGCTTTCCTTTTGCGCGTCAAGAAACCAGTGTAATCACAGCATTTTCAGATAACGAATTGTTTTAGATTTAAATTTTTTTATGGATGTTATCAGAAATGCAATAATCGTTCAGCCTTACCTCAGACTGGGGTCGGAGCTTCCCAGGTTGAGAAGAGCGATGTTGAGCAGGGTGCCAGGAACATCCTTAGGCCTGATTTTGGTGTGTTGGGGAATGGAGTCTGGTTGGGAAAGTTCCCAGCGCGTGCGGATGTGGATGATGGACTGAACGATGGCTTCACACTCCTGGTGCATGAAAGTGAGTGGGGTGCCCTGGTTAGCGATGGTTAGCGTGAACTGGTTCTCGTCCACCAGGCATATCTCCTCGATCTCTGAAGCGTAGTAGATGTCATTTAGGAACACAGGCTGTCCTAGGACACGCGTTCTTTCGGCCGAGGTCACCTGTACAGCTGTGGATCCCACCTTAATACATGCAACAAAAAAAGAATAGATCTTAATTATCATTGTCACAAGTACAACAAAATAAAAAAGGGGTCTCCAGTCAGTTCAACAATCATTTTGTCTTAAAAAAAAAGTGCTAAAATGACTCACATGAATTGTAAAAAATGTATATATCTATGACAGAATAAGATTATAAATGCGCTCAAGATGCACATACATAAAAACTACATAATACACATGCATAAAAAAAGATTGTACCATGTAACTTCTTTTCGGCTTAGTCTCTTCATTAATCAGAGGTTGCAGGGGAATGAACCGCCAACTTATCAAGAATATGTTTTATGCAGTGGAATGCCCTTTCAGCCGCAACCCAAGACCGGGAAACACCCATACACTCTTGCATTCACGCAAATACACTACAGCCAGTTTAGCTTAATCAATTCACTTAAAGCGCATGTCTTTGGGCTGTGGGGGAAACCGGATGTAACTTACTTAAACAGCAATAATTTAAGACTATTAAATGATGATCTTTAGCTAATCTCAGAATGAATATCCATTGGTCAAACTGTAATGTTCAAAGATGAAAAATACATTTGATGTACATACATACATTCATGATTCATACACACAAGAGTACATTCGGTGTGCTCTCTAATGTACATACTTTTACAATGACTAACAGAAGACTTGGGCTCATTCAATAACTCAATAGTTCAATAGTGTAACAATAGTTTAAATACCACAAAATCTTGTCCTGTCACATAGTTAAAACAAAAGTCATTTGATAGTATCGTAACGCATTTATGAATCAAAGAGCAACGCCACAATAGGTTTAGAATTACTTGAATTTTTAAATAAAAATTGGCTGCTAAATTTTTGTATTATATCATTTTAATAAACAGAGGTCAGATAAACAAATATTCTTACATTAACATATAGGTAATACTAAAACTGATTCAAACTTTCGCTTAAAACAAAATAATAATAATAAAAAAATTAATTCCATCTACATGACTCCTGCATATTTAATTTAATGCCGACCCCAAAAAGCATCACATCTTTGACCAATATATAATTACATCAAAATTAGTAAATATTTTAGTACAGTGTTTCTCAACCACGATCCTGGAGGACCACCAACACTGCATTTTTTGGGTGTCTCCTTTGTCAGTCACACACATTACACGTCTTTTAGTCTATGCTAATGAGCTGATGATCTGGATTAGGTGTGTTTGGTTAAGGAGACATGAACGTGGTTGAGAAACACTGAATTAGTACATGTCAACAATTTTTATTAAATGAACAAATTTCTTATTTATAGCCACAGTTCAACAAAAATGGGGGAACAAATTAATGAACAAGAAAAGTTTTTGTTAATTATAATGATTTTTTTAAATCACACAATTCAAAGAAAAGGTCAGAATTGCAAGTAGTAAACAACCAACTGAAAGAAAGTTACAATTATTACTTTTTTATTAAATGGAAGAAACTATGTTCAATAGTGCTATATTAATGTCCAGCAGTAAAAATAATGAACAAAAATTTACTAACATGGCCAATATCAGTACCTAAACTAACACTAAAATTGAGTTAATTGAGTTAATAAAATTGATCTAAAAACTCTTACCTTAATTGACACTTTTGTGTCTCTGTGTGCAAGCTTTAGGGCGTTGTGGAACACTTTGAGGTCTTCTTCCAGTGCTAAAGTAGCTGCGGGCAGCTTCTGCTGTTCGGGTTCGATGTGTTCAGCTAGACGTGCAGGCGAATCGATAAACACCAGCTTCTTGCTCCCCTTGAGGCCAGTCAGCAGTCGCTCGTGGTATTTGGTGTACTCGCGTACCCAGGTGTTGCAGTTGTAGATGTACACAGCAGCCACGTTCTCATAGGCGAAGTTTGGAAAGACCACAAACCATTTGGATAAGAAGTCCGTCTTGAAACGGTTACTGGGGCCCACATGAGTAAGGTCAACTACGATCTCATAATGCTTGGCATAGTAGGGCTTGAGCGTCAGCAGGACGTGGTAGATCAGAAGATCACCATTGATTTGTCCAGTTTTGAACCTATGAATGATACAACAATGACAGATTTATAAATATCAGATACAAGTTTTGAATTTTAGAATGGTTTTTGCATCTTAGAGAAGCCTATTTCGGCAATAGAAACACATAGTGAATTTTCAAGGATATGTGCCAAAACTATAGCTGGTTTGAATGCTAATGTGATGTGAATCTTTAAAAAAAAAAAAAAAGAAAGAAAAGAAAAAAAAATGCCAAATGTGAATTAGGTGTGTTTCCATCAAGTTGTTAAAGCTTCTGACTGTAGTATTGGTAACCTAGTTGTGTAATGGAGATAGCTGATTGGTCACATGGTTGTAATGTTCACTACATCAAAGTTAATTCGGCAAATGCATTTCTATTTCCCATTATTTGCATTCAACCCTTTTTCATAAAGTTTAAAACTTTAAAAACTTTAATTTAAAAAGTTTAAGGGTTTTTTTTATTAGAAATTTGACATTTCCATCAGTCGTTTTTCATGGAATACTTTAAAATACACAAGCTGATGGAGACCCAGTTAATTAAAGCTCTTAACCACGTCAAACATTAGCAGCACATTTCAATAACTCCCTTAAATGGTGAACATCTGACTGTCTACACTGAATGGAAACCCATAACTCAAATATAACCCTGTTTTCTACTCTTGTAACCACAGGTCAAGATTATCTCAGCTAAAGAACGCCTAAATATCTTCAAGCGTGGGGAACAGGAAACAATTGTGTTCGGTTTTGCAATACATCAAGTCTCGTCAGTTCAGGTGGTCGTTCTTCATTTTCCAGCGCTCCAGAGCAGTCCCTAAGAAAGGCTATATATCATTTTAGTAAGTACACATCGGTTATCGAATTATCTTTGTACCTAATATGTAATTGAGAGTTTAGTAAACAGACGTGAGTGAAAACTAATTACTTAATTATTTTTATAATACTGTTAAAATTGTTTAAATTATTTCAAAAGGAAACTGGGTGCGTTTGAAAAAGCTTTAAACATGTTATTTATGTCAAGTTAAGTACAAGATTGTCTGGGGTCAGCAACATTAGATGTTTTTTTTTTTCCAAAAGCAGTGTCCTAATTTAAAGGTGATTTGATTTAATGCATTTTATTATATTCTCTTTTGTATTTTTATACCTTATTTTGTGTCTGACTGTAAAGCTGAATTTTATATCATCTTATCTTAATTTACTACACAAGACACATTTCAATTGCTAAAAAAGTTGATAATTATTTTATATACAACTTTTTTCTTTTATTACTAAGATTGGTATTCATTTTAATGTTGCCATTGTGATTATTATTTATGTGTATTGCATTGCTGCTATTATTATTATTTATTTTTAAAAGCCTACAGTGGACAGGTGCTGCAAATTAGCTTACGTGCTAAAACACTCAAATTTACAAACCCCAAACTTTTGAACCATAGTGTGACTTTTTACCCATAAGCTATGGAATTGAACACGACATATAATATGTACTGTGAAAGTTGAATATATTGATACTATGCTGAAATGTTAAACTACTTAACTACTACGCAAAAAACTACACATTTAAAAAGAGCTGAAACAACACAATTTTTGGGATTTTTTGGGAAAACGTAATTGTTTTATGTCAAATCCATTTGAATTTGTTAAGTTAACTTAATTTGTGTTGGGACACCAAATGAATTGAGTGGAACCCTGCATTTTTTACAGTGCACATTTGAAAAATGGCGATTGTTGTTTGTTCAAACTAACTATTTAAAATGAGCTGAAACACAATTCTTAAGTTTTTGGGGACAAGTTAATTGTTTTATGTTCAATCCACTTAACTTTGTAAAACAATAAGTTAACTTAATTCCTTGATGTTGTCCCGACAAAAAAATCAATTGTGTGGAACCCAGTTTTTTTAACAGTGTACCAATTCTACTATTCAACGTGCTCAACTGATTTAAAATAATAATTTCTTACACAGATCTCAAAAGAGGGTGACAATGCAGACCACAGAAAATCTGACGTACAACTCCACCACTTCCCAATATGCCGACCTCAACATTTCTTTTATGACCACTAGTTTTCCACCAACTGGTGCCTCCGAGATCAACTGTTTTATTGATGCCCAGCTAGCATTTATAGCAACTGCCACAGCTGGCGGCATCATCCTGATCCTCCTAACCTCCACCATAGCACTGGCATGTACCGTCTCAAGTCAGAAACGCCACCAGCGGACGCCCCGTCCATCCAGAAGCAACGCAGACCTTGTGAGTGGAACAGGCTATTGGGGGACAGAGAACAGTGAGGGCGGCATCGTGGGTCCATGTGAAACCAGCGTTTTACTGGAGGAAGTAAAAACCGATGGCGAGGAAGAAGAGGGCAATGATGGCGCGGCAGGTTCGAGCCAGTATATCCACCCTTCTAACACATCCAGAGAGACAGAGAGCATCCCAACAACAATGCAAAGCTCACCATCCAGGGATTCCTGCATAGATCCCATCGGTTTGGAGAATATGCCTCTGATGGTGTGAATTTTAAAAGCTTTTTTGTATGCTAGCCACTGAAGGCAGGTTTGATTATTATAATTTTTTTTTTTTTTTTTTTTTAATAAACGGCTTCAACAGAATATAAAAAAGTAAGCTAACAGAAGAGCACATTTAAAAGTGGCCTTACATGATTTTTGGGAATTGTTTAACCAACTACAATTATCTGTTCATTAGGATAAAAAGAACAATTATGAAATTGATTAATTTGTTAATTTGTCATGAAATGAGGGCAGTTTTCACATCTCAATCAGCTCAAAATATCTTAGTGAAGATGACAACGACAATACAAAAATGAAATTTCTGTGTATGATTGTAATTGCGATCAAAAGGGAGTCTAACATTAGCATCGTCTCAAATGTTTGCTTTTTTTTTTTTGTGAAAAACTGATTATGCCTCGAAACTGAAAAAAAGTATGTTCATTTGCTCTAGATCACAAATACAAGCCCTATTTATCTCATTTTTAATGTCATAAGCTGTAGAAGACTTCCGAATCTTTGGCCGCTGAATGAACATGATGAGAAAAATCAAGCACAATAAATGGTAAAACTGTTTGTTCTACAACCCAGTGTGTTAATTTTCAAGACGATACATTAAAATAACAATGTATATTCTTGCATTAACAAGAGCATAACAAGTGGTTTCACGCAGCTAAAAGTTACTGGAAGCGAATGATAAAGGATGAGAGACGAATACATTTAGAAATATGCCACACACACACACACTCGAAACACAAAATATGGTGAATATAGAACTGTGTAAAAATGTGCTTAAAGCTGCAGTGTGTAATTTCTACTGCTATTTCCACATTATCATTCACCCAACTGCCATGAAAAACTATTTCTTGTTGTTCAAACAGTTTAAACGAAACAACCTACGATTAGCTTTCATATAGTTGATTATCTATTAAACAGGATAAAAAGAAATCACACACTTAAGCTTTAAGTTCAGCAAATTGAGCATACCTTCATTTTTTTATTGCAGAACTCTGACATGTCAATCTAAAATAAAAAGCTAATGTTAAAATGCTTGTTCTGTTTCTTATTTACCCTTTCTGTGATGTTACTGTTATGGTAGTTGCCAAGAAGAATTGCTTAAGTTTTGAGAAATAAGTACTGATGTTGGTCTTAGAAGGAACATAGCGAGAAAAAGAAGATATGAGATCATTTCCTTTTTAGATGCCTTTGCTCTGCAGAAAAGTTTTTTTTTTATGCTTCTAGATATTTTTGAAGATAACCAAAGGCTGTTTCTTTCTTAAAGACACCTCAAAACAAGCCTAATATCCTAGAACATAAGAGATAAAGCAGCTTCTGCTTTCGGTTACGACAGCTTCTTTCCTCTGGAAAAAAGGCTATTAGCAAAAACGAATGCAGCCATTTCACAGCTCCATTTCCTGTCAAGTGAAGTGACAGTTCCGTATTATCAGAATGTTCTTCAGTCTGTCTCAAATGCCTCAAGAAGATGCCTCGGTAAGTACATTTCTACCCTTTTGTCTAGCATAAGCCACAAATTGCATTAAAATCTAAAGAAACTACATAACTACAAGTAAAATAAAGTGTGGGTGGGTGGGGGGTGCTTTTTTCTTGTCACTGGGTCTTCAATTTCAATGCGTGACATTTGTATACAACAAACATTTGTTGCTTTCTGTTTTAGAAGTTGTTTTAAAAAGATAAATGAAAAAGTTTTTTATGTTGCCTCTAGAAATTCGCAGGTACATTAAATGCTCAGTTGAATCTTATGTGCAAATGTCTCTTTTGGCAAGGTTCTCTAAGGACACCATGAGGGCTACTCTTTGCACAATCGCTTTCCTCTACTTTCTTCCATGGAGTCTAAATGGCCATTTAACTACCAGCCATAAGAACACCGTGGTACCAAACACAGCAGATAAAGCATCAGGGCAAAGGGAGTACACTATTGATTCTGGAATAGACAACGTGGTTTCAGTTTCAAAAAGCATTCAGATGCTTCACCTCAGAAGCCACTCAGAACAGCAAGGCATCCGCTCGAAGACACCCTACGCTGATGATAAGCTATCAAACCAGAGGACGAGTAAAAATGCAGAGAATGACCAATACAACTTGACTACTTTGCTGGCACAACCTAAAACCAAATTATCACAGGAAGTAGCAAGCACACCACAAAAGGAACAACGAAAGATGACAGAAAGCTGGTACAGAGAGAAATCTACATCTCCTTTGCAGAAAGTGCTTACACACCATGCCTTAACTAAAAGGCCCAATACCACAAATGCCAATGTTTCGCCAAAGGAACCAAGAAGCATGGGACCTTTAGACACACTGGAAGCCACTCAGATTTCAGTTTCAAGAAGCGTGCAGACGAAAGACTTCACAAGTCACTCAGACCAGCAAGGAGTCCACTCACGGTTTACGTTAAAAGGTGAAGAAGAGACATCATATCGTAGCAGGAAAACGCATGATGATCAAGGCTTGACTACTATGCTGGCACAACCAAATAACAAAATACTGCAAAATGTTAAAACAACTGTACAAAAGGAAGATAAACAAACCAACAGCTCCCACAGACCACATACTACATTTCCTTTGCAGATAGAAAATACTACAGAATTGTTTGCATCCACTAAAACACCCAATACCACAAGGACAGATGTTTTGCCAGAGAAAGCCAAGTATGTTTTAGTTTCAAGAAGCAAACAGATGCAAAAGCTCACAAGTCACTCAGGCCAGCGAATTGTCCATCCTAGGACACTGAACGGTGAGACACCTAATCGGAGAACAAAGAGGAATGAAGGTGATGGTGAGTACACATTCGGACCAACTGAAAACCATTTAACGCAAAGAGCAGCAACAACTGCACAAAAAGAACAAGCAAATATGTCTGAAACATCCAACATACCAGATTCAACATTTTTAACAAGGACTGAAAATGCTGCAGAATCGATTAAAATCCCCTACATTACAAAGGTGGATACTTTAAGAACAAGCATGGGACCTTCAGAGACACGAGAAGTCATTCAGGTTTCACAGTCAAGAAGTGTGCAGACGCAGGACTTCACAAGCCATTCAAAGCAGCCCGACTTGTTGCAGACGTTCAGAAATGAAGATGAAACATCAAATTGGAGGACGAAGAGGAATGCAGATGATAGCCAGCAAAACTTGACTCCTACACTCACGCAGCCTATTAAGCTAATAACACAAGAGGTCACAACCACTCCAAATAAAAAACGAAAACCAACAGAAATCCACCACAGGCTACATAACTCATCTTTGCAGATTGAGAATGCTACAGAATTTAACATCTCAACCCAACCACCCATTGCCACAACGACAAATTTTTCACAGATAGGAACAACTAAGAGGGATCATTCAGAGACACAAGAAACCACTCTGGAAACACTTTCTACTACTGATTTCTCTGGACTCTACGGAGTGGAAAAAAATGAAACAGACGCCAACAAAAACAATACATATAAAGATGTTCATACAAGCCATACTACAATGGGGACTTCAAAAGAACCAAGCCCAATGACTCACGCCCACACTTCCGCAATAATAGCTGAAACAAATGTCAGTGGGGCTGCAACCGTTGGTTTGAAAACCACAGAGGGAAAAGTTACAATCAAATGGACTCAAGGACCAGAGGTTAAGACTCAACCTGTGACTAAAACAAAGAAATCATCAACCACTAAAAAGACCACTCCTAAACAAAGTACCACTCTATCAATCAAAAAAGACAGCCAAAAAGCGAACCCAGGTCCTGCTGTGGCAGGAGTGATTGTCACCACATTTTTGCTGATGTTCATAGCAATCATCATTATTTTGGTGAGAAAACGCAAAATGCAGAAAAGACAGCTAGAAAATCCTGTGTGGGCAGGACCCTCTCCATTTTTAGATGGTGACGTTCATCCAAACTTGCCAACTATGGATGAGTCCGAAGCCATCAACAGACATAGCTTCAACCAAATGTCCATTTCCAACCACTTGGCGTTTGGTAGGAACACAAGTGAGGACGTTTTTATGGAAGATATCCCGCAAGGCAGCACATTTGGAGTACAGAATCCAGATGAGACCAACGCCACCAATGGGAACTCAACAGCTGTTCAAGATCCAATTCAGGCAGAGGAAAACAAAATCCAGGATGGTCAAGCTCCCGTAGACTCTTCTTCTGACACAAAAACACCTTCAGCAGAAACTGCACAAGGGCCTGTAATAGACAATGGAGAATCAGAGCAGGCTGATGACCTTACTCCATCTTCTTTCAAAGACATTGCTATTAAACCTCCGCCGTTGGTCTCTATAGATCTGGACTCCCTTTCAGAAGAAGCAGCTCCTTTTCAAACATCAGATAGTGTTGATGCACCTGCACCACCACAGCCCTAGTATTGTGTGAATATCAATTCTCTCTTCCAGAACCAATTACACCAAGATGATTTCTGGCAGAGGACTTAAAATGTACTGTAATGGTTAAAGACCTTTGAAGACTTTATGAAATTGCTATAATAGTATCTAAATAATAGGTGTTGTTTTCTTCCCAGCACTGGTGTTTTCAACACATTTAAGAGTCTATGTCTTGACTAATCATTAGGTTTTAGTTATAATATGATCATTTACTATGATTTTTGTACTTGATAGTCAATGGGGACTCAATCTGAGAAGAATATGATTTAGTACATGATGAATCATCAATGTGCTTTGTCCTTTTTGTCCAGAAGACAAAAATTGTATATTTTAAATGTGTGTATTTGTTAAAGTTTAGTCTAAGTACACCACAATATAGCCACTCCAACAACGCTAATAAGTAAAATGTCAGAAATCATCTCGGTCACACTTTATTTAAAGGTACATTTCTCGATATTAATAAGCCATTGACTACCACATTTGCCTCAGCAAACTCCTAAATTGGTGCTTATTATTAGTTATTAAGGTAGTAGTTAGGTTTAGGTATTGGGTAGATTTAGGGGATACAATAAGATCAAGCAGAAAATGTATTTTACATGTACAAATAAACAGACAATATCTTTATAATAGACAGGTAATAAACAGGTACCATTAATCAATAGAGAGAATTGGACATTAAACTAAAGTGTAACCAAAATCTCTCGCTTGGATTTCATGAAGTTTTTAAAATGTCAATGTTTTTATCATTTTAATACCTTAAAAGCATCCATATTTTAACCGGGTCTCATTAGCTAGCATATCATAATCATAAACCAGCTTGTCATTACATTTTGCGCTTAGGGTCTGAGAAAAATGCACTATAAATACATTATTATTATTAGTATTATTTTCTGCTTAGAATGTTAATAAGGCTTCATTTATAGAAAAACAAGAGTTAGTTATACGTTAAACTGCTTTAAGACTGTACTAGTCCTGGGTTATATGCAGAGCCAGACAGAAACTGCAGACATTTTTTGCTATTTCTGGACAGAATTTTTTTAAAAATCTGCAGATTTATGTGGAACAATTTTGGGAGTGTCATAAATAAAAAGTAAAAGAAAAAAAAACCTTTTTAACTTATTTAATCTTTACAAAGCAAATCCAATTAGATTCACTTAACTGGTAAATAAAACAATTCTCTTATATGATATATCTACTAAAATATAGAAAATCCTACTTTACAAACAGTATTGTAAATAAATCATAAGTGCATTTTCATATTTGCCAATATTACTGAAATTAATTTAAAAACTGAATAAATCTAAATTTACACACATTTACAAAAGTAAATAAATAAACTTATTGATGGGCTAAAAATCTGCGAATTTCTGCATGCGCAGATTCCTAGTGGCCCTAGTTATATAGTGTGTATTTATAAGTCAGTTACAAGCTTACAGCATGTATGTTTAACATGGACATTAAAAACAAAGAATGTCCAATCTGTGTGTTATCTGTATCATCCACTTAATAATGTATAAACAAAGGAGGTAATACGGCCACAAAAGCCTGTGAATGAATTACTGCATTTCTGCTGCCACCATGTGCATCTCCGATCTTTAAGCCAAGAGAAACGGTCAAAGGGAACCTGACAAGGTCCAACAGCAGCTCACTCTAAATATACAAAGTGTTTCAACATCGTGGTCTTGTGTCTTTTTTCCACTTTAGCTATAAAAACGAAATGGGTAAAAGTTAGCTGCAGGAAATAATCACATTTCTGAAGCATTTACTATATATAAGAATAGACTGTTATATCTGTATTGGATGATCCATTTATTGTCTGAAGCATATTTCTTAAAGGTCAAATCTATAAGTATCTTCCATCAGTATATGTTACAATCAGCTTCTTTAATTATAAGAATGTAAACATATCTCTTTGTGAGTGCTAAAAATCAGTGATTCAGTGGACATTGACAATGTCACACTACATTAAAATGTCGCGACTGTACCTTGAGATTCAGCAATTTAAAACCTCTCACTAATCCAAACATCAGAAAATCCTTCCACAAACAGTTCTCAGTTTCCAACCCAAACAAACTCAATCTAGGGCCAAAAAAACTGAAGCACTACTATTAAGCAAGGTAGGAAGTTATTGCAACTAACAGAGTGTGTCTTGTGCAGTGATGAATACAGAGAGCGTGTGCACCTCATGTAGCAGAAGCGAGAGGGGAAATAACACAGGAAAATCTAAATTGGAAAACAAACCACAAGACTATTTTCTGCCGAATGATTAATTTAAGCAAACTCTCTTCATCTGGTTTGATACAGCGAGAGGTCTGTGGTTATATGAGCCATGATCTTTAAAATGACTTGCTTTGGGACGTCAATGACAATGTAATGTGAATAAAAAATCAACACTATTGCATTACATTGTATTGCAGTTTGGTCACAAAACCCATAGTACTTAATGTAATAGTTATGACAAAGATTGAAATGCATAGCAACATCAAGATCTTACTGGTACTTTATATCACTGCAGGTTTTCTGCTTTAACAGCTCCAAAACTCCCAAAACTTCAATGTGCTGCTATGCAGGTGTTCACACATTTGATTGGTGTTGCTATGCTGCTTCGCTGCACGGCTCAATCACACCTCATTGGTGCGCTTAAAAGATCCACATGCACATTCAGAACACTGGATGGAAATGGATGGGAGACAAACAGAGCACGACAGACCACGGACACGCAGATCATCCAGTATCAATTAATCTAAAATAACAATTTTCGAAAACTAAAAAGACTCTAGACTCATTAGACATCAGTGCACCCAACAAACATTTATGAAAACTAAGTGTGTTGAATGTAATCTACCCTAAACTAACTAAACTAAAGGCGTAAATTACACAGACTATACAAAATAAACATTATGCGGCCTAAAAAGTAGCTGTGCTACATACTGAGTAAAATAAAAATAGATCTTAAAATATTCTCAAGAACCATTTCTAAAATATTATAATATATACTATACAATCTAGAGCACATCGATAAAAACAGTTTCACCTAAACGAGGACATGGCCATAGAGGGATATCAAACCATGTCGCCCTGTCTTCTAGATTTAGCTGCGTCACACAGATTACTTCAGCACTGAACGGTACCGTCGCAACGGAGCCAGGTTCATTAATCAAAGCAGCATGCTTTATGAGTAATAGGATGTCTAAATATTACATCATACATGCTAAACAGGAATAAAACATATGAATGAGAGAGACTGAGAGAGGGAAAAAAAGCAGGGAGATGATTTGGTGGCGTGTGCAGATCCTGAATATAAAACACTGAAGTCAGCATCCCCCCTCCTCATCAGCAGCAGCAGTATACTGTAGGTTGAGTCTGTGCTGCATTTCTCCACCTACCCCTCCCCACCATCCCATGATCCTTCATCTCGCTCTTTTTGGGTTCCTCCTTTCTCTCTCTACCTCCTCTCACAGAAAACCCTAAAAGCAAGGGATGTGAGCGGATTGCCAGCAGCAGCAGAGTCTGTGCAAAAATAATCAGAGTATGATCATGCCTGGAAGAACGGAAAAGCATGGAAATGGCTAAGAGAGGCTGGAAAGCAAAGTAACTCACGGCTGCAAATGAGAGAAAGAGAACGGGGGTAGGTAGAAGAGCGAAAACTGGCATGATGAGGACGAAACATGGACCTTGCCGACACAAAACACTGGAAAACATATAAGACAGCAAGAGCTCAAAATCCTCTACTGCTGCTTTAGAAGACTTAAGACCAGGAAGAGTGATCAGAACGGATAGGGACATGTTCAGAAAGTAATGAAAAGGTAAGTGACACATCAAATGAAAGGCAACTTGAGCAATTAGGTTTATTAAGAAGGATCACTATCAAAATGCACAGTTATGCTAGGTCATTGCATGCCTGCAGTAGCCTTTTTATATGTTGAAAACGAAGATATCTTATTTATAGCGCACGATACTTTCCCCTATAGCAACCTAAAGCATGTGCACACATCCTTTTTTTTCTCAAGGGTAACAACAGACTGTGCAGGCAAATGATCGACTTGAGATTTCTCTAATGGACTTACTAATGGATTCACTGAGGCAATGCTAATGATTTGTGCTTTAATAACACAACAGGTTTCTGTATACTAACATAGCAACTTTTAAAAAGAGCAACTTTTTATAACAAAGCATGACATGACCACATGCACAGACATACAGTGCAAACGCTGTCCCCAAATGCACCACAAATGAGGGGGCGGGAGGGTTCAGGATGCATGCAGCGCTACAAAAGCTAAATGCTAACGTCTCGGTGCTGCAGCATGGCAGGGTAGCTTCTGGCAGAGGGTCAAACTATTAGCACAGAAACATCGAGCGAGAGAGAGAACTGAGCAGCACTGTATGTGTGGTAACAGCGAGACCTGTTGTTAACAGTGTAATGGACAAACAATGCTCAATGAATGAAAATGTCCTTGCGGTAGGATTTTATACCTTGTTAATCTGTACTATAGCAGGTGATTCAGGAGGGTAGGAAGAATAATAAAAAGAAAGGGACAAATCAGTATTGGAAAAGTGCTGCTTAGCTGTCCCCCAATAGTTTCCATGTACTTTCAATTCAGCACTTAAGCTATAAAGCTAAAAAAAAAAAAAAACAGAGAGAAGCTAGAAAAAAAAGAAAGAAAAACACTTAGCATGTATGGTACACATAATTAAAAGTAGAACTCTACTTTACAGTCTTGTCTAACATCTACATTCCATGTATGTATAGCGATTACATAAACTGGGTAATGACTAGGCACTATACTTAAACCTATCCCTGAACTAACTTCAACCCTTTTAACCCACAGTAAGTACACAATGCAGGGATAACAATTTACCAAATACAGCAGCAATTGTAAGAGGAACTTACTCATTTTATGTGCTCATTACTTGAAGGGTTGTGATTCAACTCATACTGGGATACCCCACTATGAACTGTGTCTCTTTCCGTTTCACTAAAGTAAAGGGTAAAAGAACTAAATACATTTGGTCACACTTTATTTTTAACCTGCTTGTTGAATTCAAGTTACATTGCATCTACATGCCAACTAATTCTCATTAGATTATAAGTAGACTGTTAGGTTGGGGTTAGAGTTGGGGATAGGGTTAGTGTAAGTTGACATGTACTTGCAAAGTTTCTTATAGTCAGTTATATAGTTTCTTATAGTCAAATGTGTTGAAGGAGCAGTAACAACAGATATTAAGCCGACAGTCAACTAATACTCAAAAGGACGATCAAAATAAAGTTTAACCTTTCATTTTTTAACTAGTAAGCCTGATGCGAATACAGTTTTTTTGGGGGAAAAAAAGACCTTAAAAATTTGTTTTGTGACAAGTATCCCTTTGTTTTGTTTTTTTACAGGAAAGCCCAAATTGCACCTGCCTCAATGCCGGCTAACCTGTTGCTCCTCCTCCTTTTTGGGGTGCGTGTTCTGGCCATTTGCCCACCAATGTGCACCTGTAGCAGAGGCCATAGAGTGGTAGACTGCTCTGCGCGAGGGTTGGCAATACTTCCCGAAAGCTTGCAGCACAACATTCATTTCCTCAACTTGTCTTATAACAGGATCCAAAATCTTGATGGGCTCCTCAAACATTTCGACCACTTAAGAACTCTGGACATCTCCTATAACCATCTGCACCACCTTCCTGTCGGTCTGCCAAGAGCTCTTTGGGATATACGTGCCTCAGGAAACTACATCCGCCAACTGGAGAAGAACGATACAGCCTACCACTGGAACCTTCAAAATCTGGATTTGTCATTCAACTTGCTGGAACGTGCAGTTTTGATTAACAACACACTGTCCAATCTACAATCTCTTAATCTTAGTCATAACAAATTCTGGACTGTCCCGACGAACATGCCCTACAATTTGGAAATGGTGGACCTTTCTCACAACTACTTGCTGCAGATCCTGCCAGGTTCTCTTGATCGCCTTCCTAGATTGAAGAGATTTTACCTGCATGCCAATCGCTTCACATCATTAAGCAAAGATATTTTTAATCAACTGGATGATCTGCAGCTCCTCACACTCGGAGACAACCCTTGGGCTTGTGAAGATGAGGAGAATATAAACCACCTGCTGACTTGGATGCAAAAAACCCCTGCAAAGGTTTTGGGCTGCCCCTGCTACACTAGACCTACATGTGGCGAGGTCCACCTGGCCACCAGGAGAACCTGGCACTCAGCCGCATTCACAGAACAACCGTTAGGTGCTGATGCTCGCCATCCTGGCCACAGAGTCCCACTGCATGCAGTTACTTCTGGGTACTTGTCCAAGTCAGCCCAGTTGAATGTGGCTCTCAATGCAAATGCAATGAATACTTCTGAGGCAGGCGAGCAGGTACTGATCTTGGGTGGAGGATTTCGTACATCAACTCCACATAGCCTGTCCACACAGTCAAGCACAACAATTCGAACACGTAGCACCAAGAAGGCCCATCCAGGCAAAGCTCAGAGCACAAGCCATCAAATCCACAAACGCAGCTTTGAAACCACCATCTGGAGCCTTTTATGTACTGTTGTCATTCTCCGTGCTTTGTGATTCTGCATAATCTCTTTAACTAAACCTGCTGGTTTGAGTCTTGAAAACAAACAACAACAAAAAAGCAAAACTAAAGACATCCACAACATTCTGGCTGTCTTCTTGAGCATTCATCCATGTATGTAATCTCTGCCTGCTTCGAATTACCACCGTTTACATAGTGTGACCAAGAGCTGCATTACACAAACTACCAACATTTAGACACAGATACAAGTGCACCACAGTTTCCTGATGTGGAAAAGTGAATGCTCTTTCCAGTGTTATGCTTGAGCATCGACAGAGATTTATGCCTTTCACTGTTTATAATATGTACTAGACTGAAACACTTAAGATGCTGTGTTCTATGATTACAGACATGGAGACTTTAAATGTTGAAATAAAAATAAAACGTGAAAATCCATTTTGTTTTACTATGATTATATACAGTATATGAACACATAGTCAACATGGCCTTGCAGCAGACTGGAAAAGGGCAAATCCTTAAACACAATGAAGCAGAGCTGATAGTCCATGTCAAGAGAGGTTTAAACTAAGTGGAACCTTTATACACGCTGGCTTCCTCAGCTCCCAGAGCAATCCCATGGTGCATCTTTGTACTATACGAGAACCATCAAGCTTGGCCAGCCATTTTACACTCCAGTACAGAATGGTAAATTGATCAAATTAATGCCAGCACTCCATAGAGAGGTGTTTAACAAAAACAGAAGGGGGGCGGGTGTACAAAGCTGGTAAGGAAACAGTCAGCACAACCTTTCCTATGGAAGAGCAGAGTTTGCTATAAAATAAAGTCAATAATTGCCTTGGCTATATCGTCACACAAGATTAAAATTGTCAGCGGTTTGTTTACATACGTGCCAGTAGAATGAAGAAGGGATTTTCCAAGGCAAATTTAGTTTTTTCCTCATTCACTGTTATACCTTTGGTGGTTTTACATGACACTAATAGAGTTTATATATTAATTTTTAGCACTGTATTTGTCCTCACAATAATAGCAGGCTAATAGATAAACTTTTATTTTACTTGAGGCCTTCAATGACCTGATAAGCACATGATCTTGTTTGTAAGATTAATTACTTTAAAGGGAATAATCTGGATTAGTTAGCAACTTATGATTGACCTGATACCCACTTTACTACTGAGGTAAAGCATTCTACCTTAGGTCACATGAAAAAAGAGAAGAAATCTTTAAAATCTTAGTTAATTTTCACTGAAAACGTAGAGAGTTCCTTTAGCTTGATGAAGCTTCAAACTAATATTAAAGCATACATTTTCATTAAAGATTATTTGATATATAACCATTACTCTATATTCTACACTGCTTATATCAAAATAAAGATACAAAACAGACAGTGTTCGTTCCCTAATATTCCCTGAGAATATTTCAACAGCTCCACATTAAGGCATGAGAACAGTTCCTATATATTGCATTACTTAATGGTTCCCTGAAGTACCTGTGAATGTGCAGCTTTTTTGATATATGATGAAATTTCACTGGAACGCATAGTGTAGCTCCTCCCTGTTTTCAAAAATAGCCAAAAGCATTTTGTTTATATCACAGAGTTGCTGAGCTTAAGTACATCTGACTCATAACAGCCAGGGCAATGATGATTCTGTCAACTTTGTTTAACGCATCAAGTTAATAACTGTTTCCCTACTTTAAAACACACTATTCAATGTATAATTCTAAGCAGTCCACAAATCTTTGTGCACCCATTTGTTTTGCGCATATGATCTGTTACGGGCAATCACATCTCTGGACCAAAGCAGACCAAGTGTGTGTTGGGTAAAAAAAAAAATCTGACTTCCCAAATGGAAAGCATGCCAGAATCATCATCTACGTGCCATTCACCATATAGAAAAGCAGCTGAATTCCTTTAGATTTTCTTAGTTGCCTGTATGGTGACTGTTTATGTCCAATGTATTTTCCCCTTTGCAAAGCAAAGATCAACCTTGACCAAGCGCACCTAAACCAGTTCATCAAGATTTTCAGGAAAACTTAAGAACCACAGGTGCGTTGGATAATGGATAAAGCTCTAAAGGTAGGTAGATTTCCAGGAAAAGGACTGGACATGCCAACTTAAAGGAATATCTTACTCAAAACTGTCTGTCTGCACTGAAAGTCAAAGGGGGCCACAGTTTCTTGGACACTGAAATACTTTAAAATATACAATTTTGTGTAACAGAAGATGTTAATCAAGTTTGGGATGAAAACAGAGTAAACATTTGCTCCTTTAAGTAGAGGGAAAAAAAAACTCCTTCAGCAGTAACATACCTCCGCCTCCTGCAAGGGTGTTGCTTTAACACGTGATACTCAAATAAAAGCATCACATCGCTCAGAGACCCATCCTTTCAACCTTCACGAGAACTGAGAGACACAACGATCAGCCATGGCGGAAGGTAAATATAAAAGATTTTTTATGCTTATGATTTTTCAAATAAGTTACACTTCCAAGTTGATGTTGGTAAATGCAATGATGAAAAACACCTGGATTTTGTTACTACTCAGAATATTATTTTAATACCAAAATAGAAACATCATGTAATTGTGTTGTTTGCTCCATCTACATAGCGAAAGCCCTGAATATGGCTTCCAAAACTCAATTTCTACTGCTGCTAGTGGCTGTGATGATTACAAGCTACAATGCTGTTGGTGGCATCGACACGGCTACATACGAACCACTCAACTGCACAACCAAATGCATAACCAATGGAACATTCAACTGCACAAACAACTGCACAGCAAATGGAACATTCAACTGCACAAACAACTGCACAGACAATGGAATAGCCGCCTGCTTAGCCAACTGCATGGTCAATGTAACAGTCAACTGCACAAACAACTGCACAGCCAATGGAACAATCACCTGCACAGTCAATGGCTTAAATTTAATATACAACTGCACTCCTGGCATCAACAACATGACCAGCAGCAACATCACCATCAACAGCACAACCAACAACGGCACAACCAACAACAGCACAACCAACAACAGCACAACCAACAACAGCACAACCAACAACAGCACAAGCTGGACAACTCCGAGCTCAAACCATGGCAACTCTATTGCTCCTTCCTTTTCACTTGTGGGAATCATGGGTCTGTCTGGACTACTACTTTTCTATGCAACCGACATAAATGATATTTTCACTAATCTACACATGCTAGTGGCTAGGGACAAGTATTCGTATGTAATTATTAAATGAGGCATGCATGACTCCTATGAAATGAACCGCATATTACCATTTATTGACATTCTACAGTGACTCATGAAAGAAACTCACTGCTGCTATGTTGTCGCTTGCGGTGATCATGGGACTGTCTGGACTACTTTTCTGCTCAATTTGACATTGGTGATATTATTACTAATCTACAGATGTTAATGGTTAAAAACTGGTATTTTTATGTAATTAATAAATGAGGCATGTATGGGCCATCTTAAATGACCTTCACCATATCATATATTGACATTCTACAGTGACTCATGAATAAACAATAATGAAAGAAACTCGCTGCTGCCATGTTGTTCATTTATGCAAAGCTGCTTAAAGACTACTTGATTCTCCAAATACACAAAGCCGAAAGTAAGAGAATAAACAATGAACAGGATAGAGGAGGAGTGAAACAGTCTGGCTAAATCCAAACCAACGCCCGGTGTCAGTTAGAATAAGCATGACTCAAAAATCAAATTTACCTGCGTGCGATGTAATAAAACACAGGGTTGCCGTTCTTAGATGTGCCAGCTTGGTAAAATATGTTGAGGGTTTTTAATGCTTTAAATTCCTCCTTCTCATGGACTTGATGCCTGGAAAAAAGTTAAAAAACAGAAATTCATATGTAATACATTAATAAATAGGCCAGCCGAACAACAATATAAGGTTAGACTGGGCCAAAATAGGTAAGCTGAATTACGTTTCACAATTTATTATTAATATTATCTTATTTGTGAAATACTAGTAGATAAAGTAAAATATTAACAAATATTAAATACTTTAAATGTGTTTTTTTACACGTCACACCACAAACATAATTGAAATCTGATAGTATCAAGCACAAGAATGCAAATAGGATAATAAAATAATTTAGCAGCACTAATCATAAATATGTTTGTTATAAACAGCAAGGTTTCATGTACTTAAAGTGAAACTGAAGTCATTTCAGGACATTAGTTGTACAAATAGACTCTCTGTGCCTTACCTTGGCAAACAAGAACAAATTGTTCAATAATGAAATAGAGAAAGCCAAAATTCGAAAGAAAAGAAAAACATACAACTATGCAGTTTATATCCATTTATAAACAGACCTGTATTTTCTTGGAAGCAAAAAAAGTGCTTGATATACTTGAGATCCAGTTAGTCCTTAGTCTTAACTGTTCAATAGCTCTAACATGAATACAATATACATGTCTCTTGAAGAAAAATGATATCAGGTGTTAAAGACTTTAAATGTGCAAACACTTTGCCATGTTTTATCAGGAGCCCCATTCCCCTTACATTCTATAAAAATAACATTACATTTAGTTTTTTCTGACAATCAATAATATAACAATCAGACAGAAAACATTAGGAAACAGAACTGTATTTTCTAATATGGTAACATCTTGAGATATTATAACAATATTTACCACCATTTATGATCTGTTATTTTGAGTAAAATGGACTGTCTGATCTACAACATTTTGCTATTTTACCACCTTAAATGATCACGTGATCGGAAATCGGGCCAGATAACGCTGTTTCAGACAGAGGAATTGGATGTTACCTCCTGATCAGGACTTAAATATGTATATTACATTTATTCTCATTATTTTTTTTACACATCTATATATATGAAGTGGTACAGAGTTAAACCTCTTTCTTGACTTCACACAGAAACAGCAACGTGTCCGGCATGACATCACTTTGTTGCAGAGACGCTATTGGGTAAATGCCGGCAAAGTAGAACACGAAAGCAGCTTGAAGTGGAAAGTGCAAGTACGTCAGCGGTCTGGAGGTATTATAAGTTGATGACGCCAACATTGTTAAAGCAAACCATGAGATATGTAAACTTAAGATTGGCTGCCAGGTGTTTTAAATTTATGTGCTATTTGTTTATATTAGATATGTTTTATATTTACTGTCCCACTAAACTCCAAAAGTGAAGAATTTATGTTATTTATTACTTGATTGTTCAAGCTACCTCACAGAAGTGCTCTGTTTGTTAACTGAGTAGTTGAATGTTTAAATAAGGTGAATTAAAGCAAAAATTAGGAACAGAATCTGTTTCTTCACTCTTCATTATTCTTTTTTATGTATTGTAGAAGTATCGGATCGGGTTAAGTATTGGTAGATACTCAAAATGAAATGTTGGACTCAAGGGAAAAAAAACTTGATCGGGACATCCCTAATCAGAATTTAATTTAAGTTGGAACATGGGCAATTTTTTATAGTTTATATAAAAACTATTTAAAAACTATTTAAAGAGCCCATATTATGGGTTTTTGAAAATTCCCCTCCATGTAGTGTGTAACACAGCTCTAAGTGAAGTGAAGTATCCAGCTAAGGCTTAAATCTGTAAGAATACAGTGTTTAAAACTGTTGATTCATCTATAAAAGAGTCGAATCATAGTGCTTCAAACGAGTCGCCTTGATACCGACTCATTAGGTGTTTCGCCATGACGTACGAACGAAACAAAGTTTTTCACGTGCACGCGCAAACCCGGGAGATTTCAAACCTGAGGCCCCGCCCTCTGACGCAGTAACCCAGACACACACACACACACACCCACAAACACACGCACACCCACAAACACACGCACACAAACATGCCGGTCGATTGAAGTCACACAGCAGATGGATATATTGAGTCTCTACCCAAAGATGAAACCTCAGCATTATAACCAAGCAGTTGGAAACTTCTGGAAGCTACATGCTACAAAGAATACTTCATCTGAGTTTGTTAAAGGAAGGATCAGTAAAGAGTAACTGATGGACGTCAGGATGGGTTTCTTCCTACATTTCTCAAGTGTAAGTACGTGCGGTTAAAGTTGTTGCCTCGTTTACTCTAGCTTGCAAATGTATTTAGTTGTGATTTGTTACTTGTAACCGCGTGTACTGTATCAGGTTAACTGGATATATTACGTTATCTTATCGCGTGCAAAGTCACGTTAAAAACGCGACGCGTGCTGTTTGTTTATGGAGCTCCGTGCTAGAGTTCTGCTCCCGCGATTTATTCGGACATGTATTCCCGCGCCGCAGAAATCTGGCGCGGGGAGAGAGAGAGAGAGAGAGAGAGAGCGAGAGAGCGAGAGAGAAAGCGAACGAACGAACGAGCTTTGTGTACTTTGTGCTGTGTGTGTGTTTTTATCCAGACAGCTTGGCTGTCTGGACTGTATACTGGGTGATATTTGGTTGTGTTCTCCGCTCTAGCGGGACCGGGCGCGGCGGGCAGAAAACGGAGCGGGTTCTCAGGCTAAAACCTGGCGGGTGCGGGCTGAAGCGGGAGCGTTGTCATCCGGAGTTGTGTGTGTGTTTTTGTGTGTGTGTGGTATGGCGAGTACACGACTGTCTCCTTCGTTCGGTTATCCGTGGCACTATCCACTGGCCATAGTGTGGCAGCTAAAGTCCACGCCTACACTATCGAGCGTGTATGAACTGTGATTACTTTTTAAATTGCTGATTAGCTATTGGCCATTTCCCTCTCTGACTGAAGGCAGTCGACCAATCGCGACAGACTGTCATCGGTCCAATCAGCGCAGATTAGCTCCGCGCTAAGGAGGGGTTTGGGAACAAATGAATCACTGGACGATTCATACAGGAGTCGCTGGGATAATTAGGTAAAAATAAATGCAGATTATAAGACCATGAAAGTGTTTTTTGACCTTGCATGCATATTAGACTGTTGTTGGAGACCCTTACAACCAAGATATGACCTTATTTCATGTATAATATGGGCTCTTTAAAACTATACTAAACCAATACATAAACAGAATTTGTACTTCACTTATGTCCGGAAATACATAGTATATTAACTGTTACACTATTTATTTATTGATAAGGTCAATTCACTTTTGCTATTTCAGGCTAAAAACTAAAAAGAACGAAAGTCAAGAATTGAGATAAAGCAAGAACAGTCACCTTGTCATGAACTCCTCAAACTTTGAGCTGGTGAGGTTGAGGCTGGACCAGTGTGTGTCTGCTACTGGCTTATGTTCAGGAGGACCCAGGTACGCCAGAAGAGTGGCCATCTTGTCAAATGGTCTACGGCCCACTGCCTTGTGGTCCCTATGGTTTTGAAACGCAATTATATTTGTATTATATGCGACATTTCGTCCATATACTAAACTTTTTGCTTTCCAATCGTATAAATGAAAAGGATTTTAAAAAGTAATGACTATGGAAAGGATTTTTTAAAATTCAAGTAGCATAGAACCTTTGTTTATCTTGAATCTGACCAGTGTTTGTATATCTAAAAACTGTGTTACCTGTTGCTGGACAGGTATTGGCCAATTCTTTCCTGGTTGTTCCATAATAGCCGGTGCAGAGCGAGCACATTACCGTCACTGATGAAAGACAGACTATGGTTCACAGAATCACTTGGTGGAGAATCAGATGCGATATCCAAGAAGAACCTGACAAAACAAAATTAGACATGTCAGAGTTTCGGAAGAGCCATTTGTATAAAAGGGACATATTACGCCCCTTTTTACCAAGTCTCTGATGTCACTAGTGTGTGTATGTGAAGTTTTAGTTCAAAATAACCCACAAATACTTCTTGTTATAACTCTCTGAAACTGCCCGTTTTAGGCTTTGATCCAAATTGTGCTGTTTGTTGGCTTTAAATTAAAATTAAAATAAGAAGTGGCTCAGAAGAAGTAGAAGTGTTTATGCTAATGAGAGGGAGATCATCACTAATGTGTGGGACTTTACCCCTCCAATGACATACAAAGGGAGAATGTCAATCAAAGTGTTCATGCAGACTGTTTTTATCAAGTGTGATAATAAAAAATAGAATAAATACGTTTTTATTATAAGAGGCTGGCTACTTTCACACGTGTTGAAATCCTTTATAAAAGTGTTTTTTTTCAATGTGGTAAAAGTGCCCTTTAAACCAATCACTACATTTGCATGCTTCCTCGTACTGAATTGTGCAGATAACTGGATTTTGATATTGTGATTAAACTTCACCTAATGAAAACTTAATACAGCAATCAAACTCATAGTGACCATGACTGCAATAAATGATGCGGAACAAAATATAGTCCCATTCAACATTTCTCTTATTTTGGAGGCCATTGACTATAAATTACAATTGCTAAGATAAGACACAACAGCCTTGCCTTCAAAGTAATAACTAGGGCCAGAGGGAACCTGCGGACGTTTTTTGCCATTTCTGCTGAGAATTTTGGTAAAAATTTGCGGACTTCTGCGGAATTATTTTGGGAGTATCCAGCGGAGTATCAAAACTTACACTTTAATATATTAAATAAAAAGTAATAAATTACTGAATAAAAACTGAATAAATTCCGATTTACACATTTACTTAAGTAAATAAACAGAATTTATAATGAGCTAAAAAACTGCAGAAATCTGCGGAAAATCTGCAGAATTCTGCGCGCGCAGATTCCATGTGGGCCTAGTAATAACAACTTATTAAGGCTCAGAACAATGTTTTTTGTCTACTTCTTACATTTTGTGGCAAGCAGCCATGTAATAAGCAGGATAAATCACATACAGGCTGTTGTTTTCACAGAATAAGAACCTTCAGAGCTCCTCTTCTTGTTGGGGTGCCAATAAGCCTGTCAGGTTTTATTCTGCAATAACCGTCTGGATGTACTTTATCCCTTACATTTTTTTTCTATCAATCCTTTTTCTTTTCAATGCTGCTACAAAGGAGCTTCCAGGGGGTCCTTGTGCCTCCCCACATTATACATTTAATCAGGGTTATCAATTGGAGTCATAAAAATCACAAGTCTGGTTGCAATTTATTGTGAGAAGTTTACACTTGTGGGGAATAAAATTCTCAAACCTGAGATTAACATCAGCTTAGCCAAAAGAAGTTTGAAAATATTAGCAAATGTTGTGCATCCCTACTATATCCAAAAATACTATGGTCAAAAAAAAAAAAAAAATTACATTTAATTATTAGAACCCTTTTTCTTTATTTTCTGGAATAGGTACCAATTTAAATAACTATATTGTTACTGTGTAATAAAATTGACTCATAAATAAAACTTAAAACTTTGGTCATATCGCCCACAACTAGATGAATTTATAGCAAAAAAAAAAATGGTCCCATCAATTGAATTCTAGAAAAAAAGTTTACAACTTAAGCCTCTAGCTAGTAATTGAAAGCATAATGTTCAATAGACCTTTTCTTGGCTGTCAGCTGATCCAATAAGAATATCCACCAGATGATAAACCTACAGGTTATATAATAAATGAGAGTCAAACAATTACAAACATACCTTCTGGCTGCATCGAAGTTGCTTTTGACAAAATCATTAAAGGGCCTCATATGCTCCTCTTTTGTGAAGAGAACATGATTAGCAATGCTCTGCAGAATCTGGGGAAATATACATTATGGATGAAACATTATATGTAGCAATACCAATTTCTGTATTAACATTCATCCAAATGTTCTGTATGAACAAAGTAAGATTCACTCACCTTAGACATGAGTTTAAGGCCACGCTCGATGCGAGGTGGGGGTTTCTTGTCTAGGATTCCAGCCTCATATGGGGACACGATAGCTGGGTTAATAAAGCGCAGGAACATGGCACTTCCTACAGCACCAATGCTGTTCTGAGGAAACCGCTGACTGACCACCTGCACAAATGGATGAGAAGAAACAGTTGAACGGTAAAGATGCCAAACATGCCATTACATTACAGTCAAAAACATTGCAATATATCATTGCCATCATGCTCTTAATAATAAAAATAGCTCCAAGTATTGGCAATTTTTATGAGTTTAGAAATGTTTGATTTATTTCTAAAAAAAAAAGGGATCATATGAATAATGAAAATAAGTGAAAGGCAAAAAATTTTTTTAAAATTGATAAATGTGATTTCATGTAAGTCATGTCATGTAAAACAGGTTGTACAAGATAAAACAGTCATGAGACTTTAAACACATCACAGTGTTTGCACAGAAAGTAATGGTTAAATATATACTTGCATGATGGCAAAAATATATTTTAATACTAGCTTACTAATCTTTAGCTTTTTTAAAATATATCAAGTGTACATGCATAGATTAATTTATTAATTAAACATCTAACATTATCTATTATTAATCTTAAGTAGACGTTTTGTAAAACAATGTGGCAAACACACCCAATGAATACTATCCTTGGCAATATGTAGCCACAATTCAATCACATCCATAATAATTAATAACTTCTGTCCTGATAACAAAGTTATTTGCATCTCAACTGACTACAAGTTAATCTAATTAGACTGAGACTTAAAATAGGTTATGGAGAGGTCCAGCTAGAAGTAGTAGACAAGTTAAACGTATATATGAGAATATCCTTCTTTAATGTAAATTTGAATTAAGACAATAAAAACAATGAAATAAACAGGAACTACTTATTTCTTTCTGTATTACCATTATTAAAATAACAACTGTTTAATGTGTTTACATACAACATTCACTGCAAATGTCATGTAAACATATACAGTTGAAGACTTATTAGTCCCCCTGTTTATTTTTTCCCCATTTTCTGTTTAACGGAGAGAATATTTTGTCAACGCATTTCTAAACATAACAGTTTTAATAACTTATTTCAAATAACTGATTTATTATATCTTTTCCATGATGACAGTAAACAATAGTTTACTATATATATTTTTAAGACATTTCTATTCAGCTTAAAGTGACATTTAAAGGCTAAACTAGGTTAATTAGGTCAGCTAGGCAGGTTAGGGTAATTAGGCAAGTCATTGTATAATGATGGTTTGTTCTGTAGACTATAAAAAAAAATAGCTTAAAGGGGCTAATAATTTTGTCCCAAAAATGTTTTTTTTTTTTTAACTGCTTTTATTCTAGTTGAAATAAAACAAATGAGACTTTCTCCAGAAGAAAAAATATCATCAAACATACTGTGAAAATGTTCTTGCTCTGTTAAACGTCATTTGGAAAATAAAAATAAAAAAATAAAGGGAGGCTAATAAGTCTGACTTCAACTGTAGATATAATAGTTTATGATAAACAGCATGTTATTGTACTTGAATGTAAATTAAAAAGACACCATGCTTTATAACATCATGTCATGTGAAGATGGTCCAGGCAATTGCCAGAGAGAAAGAAAACAAGAAAAAAAAACAGACAGAAAATGAAAGATGTGAATAATTACACATTTTACATAATCACAAACATCGTCATTCATGCAAATGCACCAATGGTTTGTCAAAGTGAAATCATGCATAACCATTGATTTAAAGACAATCCATAGAGCAGATGACAGAAGCCAGAGTAGTGCCAACATGTTCATTATGTCACAGCTAAAACATGCAATTCACTTCATTAAAAAGTCTCCCAAGAAAAACAAGATGGAGCCAAGAAGAGAAGTGTTTTCTAATTCTAGACGCATTTAAGGTTAATACACTCGGGTTAATCAAGCTTCCAGATTTCTGCGAAAATTTTGTCCTCATGTTAGAATAGATCTAAAACCCAGACAAAGAAAGAGTCTTCTGCTTTACCGCAAGACACAGAGAAGCTGAACTGATCCAAACTTTCCACCACCACTGACGCAGTCACCGACCACAGGGGTTAAAATTCAAAACAGTGATGCAAAGCAGAACAATTATAGCTAATCTGCTAATATCCCTTCCATGTTGCATTGAAAACAGAGGCGTCTTCATAAGAAAAACAGTACAACACTGCAAACAATTCTATTTACACTGGTGTTTCTGAACATGTTCTGGCAAAAGAAACAAATGGAAAAACAAATTCATAAAACAAACAAACAAAAAAAAAGAAAGAAAAAAAATCTGCATTTATGGTATGAATAAACTCAAACTCAAACTAAAAATGGCAGCTAAGGAAAAATTAAAATGCTAAAAACACTTACGGATTTTTTGTTTTCCTTTTTTTCTTTAACAGTGGCTTTATTCAGAAGGGAGTGGCAAGTAGCCTACAGGGCAGAGATGAGCACAGAGAGGTCACAGCAGCTACACAACTGCACTCAGCACAGGGCAGCCACAGTGCATACAAACACAATGAAGGAGCAGACAACACAACCACCGCCTTGCCCTCAGAGCTGATCTAGGAACAGTTCATTTCAGTGATTAACAAACACTGGCTGAAGCTCTCCAAGCAGAACGTGAAGCAAAAGCTGCAAAGATGCTACTACTGTGGAAAAGAGAGATAGAGAAAGAGAGAGAGAGAGCTCTCAGCCCAAGCAAACAAAGGGTGAATATATTAAGAGATAAGTGATAAGTTAAGGCTAGCCGCAGGACATTAAAGAAGACCAGAATAGGTGCGTCGCATATAAAAGAGACGTGCAGAAGACACAAGGAAAAGGCTGATGCTTGTAGCTGATTTGGTTGGATGAGTCATCAGTATTTTCTGTCTGTTTTCCCAGAAAGAAAAGACTTGTGTATGTACTACAAAGAAACGTTCGGTAGCATAGAGATGACCTCTAAGCGGACTCCAAAACTACTGTTTTGATTTCACAAGGACTTAAATACATCACAACAAGGATCCTCATGGTTACAATCAAGACAAGAAAAGGCCATGAAACAAAAACAAAACATACTCGAGAGGAAAAGAAAATAGCCAGTCATTGAAATTTACTGTATTTTTCCAGAAAATAGGTTGATCCTGACAATTAGGTCTTAATTAAATAATAATATCTAACTCTCAATGGTGTTTGTAAACTTGGCAAGTTTGATTAAATTCAAATGAACTGTACTAAAACATGAACAAAAAGACATTAAATCCTTTTACACGCACAAGTATTTTGATGCAACTTATTATGTTGATTCATGGATATGATTCTTTTTTTTTTTTCTGCCAATATTGCAGAACGTACCAATTATATTGCGAAATGTCCAATATTTCCATTCTCAAATATGTGTAAAACATGTGTTTCATCACTTAAACAGCTTCATAATAATCATATTACTTAAACTATGATAAGTAATGGGTGCGGTCATGTTAATCTGTGCTTCAATGAAGACATTAGTGCTGCTGGATTTACAACAAGTTAACTTCTACCAAAATACATGAACTTAAGTGCTGTTCAAATAACCTATACAGTGTGTATCTTATATAAATAAATTAGAATTATTAATAAGAAATAATTATTATTATTGATGGGCGTCACGGTGGTGCAGTGGGTAGCACAATCACCTCACACCAAGGAGGTCGCTGGTTAGAGCCCCGGCTGAGTCAGTTGGCATATCTATATGGAGTTTGCATGTTCTCCCCGTGTTTGTGTGAGTATCCTTCGGGTACTCCGGTTTCCCCCACAAGTCTAAAAACATGTTGTACTGGTGAATTGGGTAAGCTAAAATAGTACATATATTATATATACCATAGTGTATATGTGTGATTGGGTGTTTATGGGTGTTTCCCAATAAAGGGTTGCAGCTGGAAGGGCATCCGCTGCGTAAAACATATGCTGGAAAAGTTGGTGGTTTATTGCGTTATGGGGATCCCAGATTAATAAAGGGACAAAGTCGAAACAAAAATGAATGAATGAATATTATTATTGACGTCTCTATTGAAATCAGTGTGTCTTGTACAAAGCATAAACGATGTTTTGCGAGTTCTCATGTGAATTTAAATGGCTGAAAGCTAAAACAAACATCTGTTCAAAAACACTGATGAATTGATTTATGATAGCTCAGCATGAGCCATTGCATAAAAGACGATTTGATTTTAGAAGCTGATCTTTATAAACCACAGATAAATGAAGGGACTAAGCCGAAAAGAAAATGAACAAATGATTCCTTCGTGTACACTCCCTTCCCTATTCACTACTCACTGACCAATTAAAATTAGTTTGACCTTGGATCATGATTTGATTGTTTGACATTAACTGTCTTATATTAATGAAAAATCAAACGCAAAAAAAATTTAAACTAATTTTAAAAATAAGCGTGACGTACATTCTGGAAAATACAGTACTTTAAAATTTGACCATAAAAAATAAATGTACAAGATGATACCCATGACAAAGTATAGTCACATGAGAGATATGAGAAAGTATTGGTACTTTCAAATCAAAGGAAAATAATCAATACTACCTGTTGTTGTTAGCTCAAGTTGAAGTCACTTCAACTGTAGGCTAAATCAATTTTTTAAAGCCAGCATCAATTGCATCGTGAGTAATGTAATCGTTTTTTTTTTTGAGATGGGGAAAATGTGATTTGTCCCCTGCTTATGAAATTTGACCTTTGTACAGCAGCAAGCAATGCAAAGACTGTTTGCTTACTAAACTGAACCAGTGATGTCAAAATGTTGTACAGTATGTAGAAGAGCAAATACTTTGCAATGTCCTCTGTTCCCTTTTTCAAGATTATCTGTGTCATCTTTAAAGTTTAAGCTTTAATGCATATACCAGAAGAACTAAGAAGCCTAATACAACAAAAATCATTTCCTCCTCCTCAAATTCTTTAAAATTTATGTAATTTAATTTGACTTATCAATAGATATTCATGGATTTGCTCTTCAGTGTTCGGACTTTCAACAGTGAAACTTAAACCACACTCAACTGAAATAAACTGAAATTCAACTATGGGAACTGGACTGACAACGTTTCAATTTACTAGAACTTCTATGTTAAACTGCTTAGGCAATCTACATTGCAAAAGCACTTAAAAATAAAGATGAATGGAATTGAACTTTTATGCCGCACCCCCATTTCCCATTCAAATAGGGATTTTTTTGCCAAAAGTTAAATATATAAAACATTCCTAAGCATCCCTTTTGTCTTCATTAAAAAAAAGTGTAAATAATAAAGAAAAAAAAAACGTGTTAATAATAGCAATGGCAACATTGCAGGAAAATAACTGTGAAATGTCAACTATATGGCGTTAGCTGTTTTTTTAAACTACTTATTCAAAATTAGATGAAACACCACAACAGTTTGAGTACTTGTTTTACGTTCAATCCACTTAAATTTGTAAAAAATGTTAAGTTAACTTAATTCCTTCATGTTCCTTCTTGAACATATCGCTTGTGTGGAACCCATCATTTTTTTCAGTGTATTGTTTGGGGTATTTTGTAAGATTTATTTAGGCTTTATTATGACAGGACAGTATTTAGACTGACAGTAGAGATACAGATTTTTTTTTATTTTAAATTTATTTTATTATATTAAGGACTAGGGGTGTAACGATACACTCAGCTCACGATACGATGTGTATCACGATATAATGTTCACGATTCGATATGTATCACGATATTTGGAATAAAAATTGAAAATTAAACTGAAATGCAAATTTTACCAAGTAAACTATTTTTTATGCATTTCTTTTGTTTTAACTTGTTAAACTGAACCTTCTTTAAGAAAATAAATTAAACAGGCCTGTCTCTGGAAAATAAAACAATTTAAAAACTTCTTAAAAATATTATTGAAATGACAGAGACAAAAATAAGGAACAAATTAAGTAAAGGTGCAAAAAATAAGCTTTCTATTCAATTGAATTTAACAGTAAGAGCTTAAGGCTTTGCTTGGTCACTTGCGTTTTTTGTGTGTGCAAAAAAAAATCCACATTTCCAAGTATTTAATTCATATTTAATTAAATTAATTTAGAGATATCTCTAATTACAATTGTGACTAGTCAAAACTCATTTAGAGATATCTGAAAATATTTTTCAATGGAAGTCAATGGAGGAATATGACTTGTCATAATATATTTGCAGATATCTCCAATCTGATTTTGTACTAGTACAATTGTAATTGCAGATATCTCTAATTGTCATTCTGACTAGTCGAATTATAATTATGACTAGTCAAAATATTATTAGAGATTTCTCTAAATATATTTATGGATAGTCAGAACAAAGGTTTAAATGCTAAAACGGCTTGCCATACAGGCGCGTCTATCATCCGCCCTCTGTAGTAACAGCTCACGGTCAGCTCACGTCATGTGTGATTTTGCGGCGGGAACATTATATGAAGACAGAATGATATTTTAGGCTGAATTGTACCTTATAAATACAGTATGTGACTCTTTCAACACCATTAGGAGGTATCCCTGTAGCTGTGCAAAGTATGTAAATCACTGTGAAGACTTTAAAACTTAGGATGTTTGACCCAGTATGCGTGTCAAAAAGCAGACGAGTCTAAAGCAATGACTGTACAACCGAAATGTTGCCAGACGTCTGATTTTGAGAGGATGGGCCATCCTCTATTTCAGCTCCACTCATCTTGGTTTGCTAACATTACTGCTGCTGCAATCTGAACTCACGTGCGACAGCAGGTGGAACGTAGCTCACGTGCAAACAGCTCAACTAATAAGAGAAAACGGACATCATATCGTAATCAAATCGTCATAACGCCACGATGCATATTGTGACATTTTTGCATCGCAATAAATCGTACAACGATAAATCGTTACACCCCTATTAAGGACCCATTAAACTGACCAAAAATGCCATAACTGTATAGACCACTTTATTTGACGCTGACCTATTACCTAGGGGTGTCAAAATAAATTGATTCATAGATGCACCGCAATGCAGACTCAAACAATTCAGTTTTGGTCCAGTAATAATCATAACGGTTATTATGTACTGACGTCATTCATCACATATGCGTTATATGGCAGTAGCTTACTATGGCGAGGGAGGAGACTGTGAGTAAATAAAACGCTCCAACTACTTAAAAACTACAACTGAAAAAGCAGATAACCGTGACTCACTGCTTGCTTGTGAGTTTGCTGGACAGCCTTTCACTGACAGGGAAGTAGGTACATCATAACCCAGCTTCCTCTCACTCTCTGTTGCCCCTTTGACCTGCTGGCATGTTCGTGATGTAATGTTTTATTCTTCTCTCTCTGATCTAACAATAACATTAATTGTGATGAGCGAGTTTTCTCCACCACATCATGTCTGTAATGGATTAGCTGATCACCGCGGCCGTTTAAAATCAGTGTCCATATCACTGTTTGCTGAACAGCACCAGAGCCGCGTTGACCTTCATAGCCAACCGCATCCCTTTCTGTTAAGCGCCTGATCAATAATAGGCATTTAAAAACTCACTCAACAAAGCCCAAAAAGCAAGTGGGATTATATTTATATTGGTTTATTTGCTTTAAATGCTCATGTTGTCTTCTGTGGATGCCCTTCCGTTTTGTTTGATACATTCAAAAAGAGTGTTTTCTTTGAGCAGGTCAAACTAAAGGTACAGTACATATATTTGAATGCTTGTATTAAAGGACAAAATTGTATTACAAATAATATATAAATGTAAATATATTCATTAATGAGAAATTTTATTACTAGAGTTACTGTGTTGCTAAGTAAAATGTCAAATTATTTGTGGAAAGCATCGTCAATGCACCGGGATGCACAGATATTGAATTGAACCAATATTGAATTGAACCGAATCGATGGCATGATAATCGTTGCAAACGGTGAGACCAGTGTACAGATGTTACTACTTCAATGTGTTCCTTATGCCGCCATTCATACCGCGGCGACGGCGGTACTTGATGCGCCAGCAGCTTTTGACCACTGGGTGGCAGTTTAACCACAGATATTCAGCTTTGCCTTTTCACAAAACTAAACATACTTTTCTGTGCGTACCTTATGTGATCAGATGTGTTCAATTAAAATATAATTTTGATTTAGTGTTCTTAGTGACAAACATGATCTTACCAGGGCTTAAAGTATTCCGGCACCATGCCGGATCTCCGGCGTGCGGCCGTGAGAGAAAAAAAATAGAGCTTGCACATGCGGTTTAGTTGGGGATGCTCAAAATAACTGATTAAGCAACAAAAACTGAACTGAAACTAAATTATTAAAAATAAACCTGCAAGACTTAATTTATGTTATGTCCCGCAGCAAAATTTGTTTTATTATACTTTCAGTGATCTCCTTAAGGTAGGTCAATTTATTTATTTATTTATTTGCTTTTGATGAATCAGCATTCAACTTAAGCTCTTTAGACCATGCCCCTGACCGTTTCTCAGTGTTTCGCCGCAATATCTTTAAATAAATTATTTATTTAGGCCTAATTTCATTATTAATTAGTTTTCATTATTCGTTTATTATTATGTACAATTGTTGAGACATAAAATAAGATAGTAAAATATACTCAACAACGAAAATTAAAACAAAAACAGAAATAAAAACATAAATGAAAATGTCTTGTCTTAGTCCTATCAAAATAGCAAACACTGAACATCTCTCTATATTTAGGCTAAAAGACTGCTTTATTTATTTATTTAAGACTACTTATTTGTACTGAATGTTTGTGCTTTCATGTTAGTTGTCTTTTATTTCTTCAATTCTATTTTCCAAAACTAGTCCTCTTTGCACTTAAAAAGTTTACATAAAGTGTGTTAACAAATTTTAAATGATTAATGAAGGAATTATAATGTTTTGACTTATTGTTTAATCTCATTTACAAGCACAGTAGCATATTTAAAGCTGCTGTGAAGGCTATTTCTGTCCGTTCGCATCCCGTCCCTTTGTGCCCCCTGGCGGCTCATTCACAAGCTGCGGTCATATACTAAAACCAGAGCGGCAGTTATTTCAAACGGCGGCGGTATAAGGCGCGGCGGTAATAGTCACTTTGAACTCTCACCTACTGTAGGTTCACAACCCTGATATTATTACTCACCAAATAATCTACAAAAAAACATTTTCAACATAAATAATGAAAAACTAATCAGCATATCGGAAAGACTTCTGAAAGACCAATTGCACTAAAAACTGAAAAAATGGCTTAATAAAAATCAACCTTGCCATAACAAGAATAAATAAATAATTGTAATATTGAAAAATATTATTTCACACTAACACTGCATCACAATTTTACTGTATTTTCAACAAATAAATGCAGCCTTAATTGTATTAAGGATTTTTTTAACGCATTAAAAAAGGTGGTGGTAATTTTAACTGTAATATTGAGTTTTTTTCCACACAAACTCGAACGGGAAAAGGTGAGCAGTGGTGCAAGAGAGTATAAGAGCAGGTTCTCCTGTTAAAAGTGACTGGAAGACTGATCAGTGGATGCCCAAGCATGAAAGACAGACTCAATGCAGTCAGTCAGAGGATGCAGAAACAGTGGTCAAAAAGCAGACTGGCATTAGGCAGGGAGTGTACCTGATACAGACAGTGGCACACACTGCGCAGCTGTGGAGGAAACTCGCTCGAGGAGTTGATGATGGCCAGGAAGAAGCGGTCAGTGATCTGAAGCAGGTTCTTCTGGTTCTCCTCCAGGTTCTCTGCCTGTTCAAGTCTACAGAGAAGACAGAAGAAATGTCCAATCAGAAGAATGACAATAACAGAAAGCTCTCTGGATGTCAGGCAGTTGTCATCTTTGATGTCTGTAAATAGAGATTGTTTTGAGAAAAGCCACAGTGACTACATAAACATCAATAAGAAAGGAAAGTACGCGACAAAGAATTACAGAGAAAAATTGTACACGATGTTTGTAACCATGATAGATAGTTTGTGTTTCTGGTTAAGTGTCAAACTTTTTCTTAAAAGGACAGTTCACCCAAAACTAAAAGGGCTGTCACAAACTAGTTTAGATTTCTTTCTATTATTAACCACAAATGAAGATATTTTGAAAAATGTTTCAAACCGGTAGCCTGTGACTTTCAAAGCATTTCTTTATACTACAATTGAAGTCAATGGTTACCGGTTTCCAGCTTTTTTTAAATGATCTTCTTGGTTATCAGTTTATAGCATTTCTCAAAATGGCACCTTTTATTTAAAAAAAAAAAATAAATAAAAAAAAAATAAAAAGATTTAAAACAAAATAAGGGTAAGTAAATTGTGAGAGAATTTTAATTTTTTTGGGTGAACTAACCCTTTATTTAACCGTTATATAGATTTCAGTGTATGTGGTAAAAGCTGAATGGAAATTTTGAACGGGCAGCTAAATATATGCATAATAATAAAAAAATGTCAGCATAAGCATCATAATGGGCAAGCATCCAAAAAACAAGCATTACTGAGGTCAGGGTATCTCATGTGCAGACATGAATCTGCTCTAGGCAAACCATTTCTTCCGTGTGAAAGTTTGTTTTGATTTTGTTGCATCACGCTCAGTATGAGGATGATTTTGGAGAGATAATTCAAGCAAAATACCAAACTTTAGTGTTATTTTACTTGCCCTAATGATGACCAGGGTATAGGTGACTTTTTCAAGATGTGCAAAATATTTAGCTGAAAGTTTGAGAACCAATAAAAACTGTTCTAAACACATTCACAACAGTCTGGAAAGCTTTATGACATCTGATGCATGCAGGGAGAAAACTCAGACCTGAGCTTGTGAACCAAACTGTAAAATGTGATATGATGACCGTACGAAAAAGTGTGTAAACCTTACTTTTAAAGTAATTATTTGACTGTACTGTAAAAAAGTGATTTATCCCATTGTCTTAAAATTATTATTTATTTAAACAAACTTCTTGCATAATAAAAAAATCTAATTAAAAGTTCCATGCTACAGCAAGTTACCTCACTGTTTTTAAGCAAAGTCAATGGGCTTACACAAGTCAACTTGTTGCTAGGCAATGACTTTACTTACTAGAGTTGAGTTTTTTATAGAAGCTAGAAGCTTTTTATTATGCAGACGGTAAATGTAGATTTATTCACACTAGAAGAATTATTTCACACAATAAGACCTCAGGATATTGCCTGTTTTGTCTTGTGAAACTCATGTGTCAACAAGCGCTGACCTGAAGTTGAATCACCAAGGCCACCCGGGGTTCATACACAATTTTCTTGTAAAATTCCCTAACTTTAAGTAATTATTCATGACCTACTGTTTCACATAATGTTGATGGATACATATTAAATAATAATCTTTTTAATACAAAATAAAACAGTGTTTAGATAAAGCTTACACAATGCTGTTAGCTAAAATTATGTGGAAGCATATGTGATTGGCCAAGGACAGTAAAGAAGTAATAACAAGGCTGCAACAACTAACCCTACACTCAAGCACCATTTATACACAAAGTATTAAAATAATAATGATGGAAAATAATTGAAAACATAATGTTACAACTAAATGCCTTGTAGAATTGCAATTCTTTTAGTTTACATTGAAAAATATTCATAGATATATATTCTATAGTAGATAAAGTATAGATATTCTTAATCAAATTCCCATGACTCTTCCAAACTTTTATTCGTTTTCCCAAATATTTCCCAAGCCTGGAAAATGCTATGTAAAAACGCAATGGCTTTTCCAGGTTTTTCATGACTGTATGAATCCTGACCACTACTTTTTCACCTCAGTCTAATTATGATGTGAATTAGGAAAGGATGGATGGATGGAGAGACAGGACGATAGAAAGATAGGACGATGGATAGACAGACAGACAGATAGATAGATATATAGATAGACAGATGGATGGATAGATGGATAGATAGATGAAATGACAGACAGGACGACAGACAAATAGATAGATAAATAGATAGATAGATAGATAGATAGATAGACAGACAGACAGACAGACAGACGGACAGACGGACAGACGGACAGACGGACAGACGGACAGACGGACAGACGGACAGACGGACAGACGGACAGACGGACAGACAGACGGACAGACGGACAGACGGACGGACGGACGGACGGACGGACGGAAGGACAGATAGAAAGATGGACGGACGGATAGACAATAGACAGATAGGACAATAGAAGGATAGAAAGATAGGACAATAGCTCCACAGATAAATAGATAGATAGATAGATAGATAGATAGATAGATAGATAGATAGATAGATAGATAGATAGATAGATAGATAGATAGATAGATAGACAGATTAAAGCATTTGAAAAAGGATGGATGGACAGACGAATAGATGGATGGACAGACGAATAGATGGACGGTTGGACGGACGGTTGGACGGACGGACGGACAGACAGACATATAGATAGAAGAATAAGACGATAGACAGATGGACAGACAGATAGACATATAGATAGATGATAGATAGATAGATAGATAGATAGATAGATAGATAGATAGATAGATAGATAGATAGATAGATAGATAGATAGATAGATAGATAGATAGATAGATAGATAGATAGGCAAACAGACAGAAAGATAGAACAATAGACAGACAGACAGACAAGTCTTAAATGGCCTGAGTGGTAATAAATTAATATCAAATTTTAATTTTAGGGGTGAAATATTCCTTTAAGTAGGTAAACGTGCCTAGTAGGGTCCACTTCAAAACTGATCTGCTGCCACTCTGGTGTAGTGATGATTCCTCTCAACAGCGGCTCCAGAAGCTTCTGTAGATACGCAGCTCCGTACACCTGCGAACACAGTGCCAGATTTGAAGGGAATTTGCATTGGAGTGCGGTAACTCATGCAAAACAATGAAGGCTGAACTCATGGAATGACTGTCACCGCTTCACGTCACCTTGAAGCAGAAGGTCATAATCTTGCTGGCTAGGCTATTTCCTCTAAAGAGCGTCTGCATTGAGTCTGCCAGCTCCACCTCTTTGGAGAACATATTCCACAACAGCTGATACAGCAGATGGCGAGAGTCGAAGAGAGTCACTAACACTCTGGCCAGCTCATCCTGAAAACCAGCACAACATTAAGCACAACAGCACTCCGATGACCAACAATACTTACCATGCATTGTGAGCTAAACATGAGATATAAAAAAAGAAATCTGTCAGCATTTATTTGCCATTAAGCTGTTACAAACATGTAAGACTGATATATTATATATAGTTTAAGGTACCCACAGACTTCTATAGACAAGAACAAAAACACTGCAAAATAAAGAAATTAATACATATTCTGAACAACTTTAGCACGAGTAAATGACAGGAATTTCACTTTTGGTTGAACTATTCTTTCAAAAACCAATATGACTTCCTTGCTTTCTGTGAAACAAATAAAACACATTTTGAAGGTACCAAAAACCAATCACTATTAGATCTCTTTGGCAAACGTTTTCAGGGAAAGAGATGTTTTTTTTCTAAATATGCTTATTATTAGTGCACAGACAAAAATAATGTGGGTCAAATTTGTAAATGACTATTTCAATTTTGGAGTAAATTAACCTCTTATTATTCCGTATTTTTACAACATATTGTAATATTTTAGGACAAATTGCTCAACATCCAAATCTAACATTTCAGGAAAGATATTTCTATTAAAAAAAAGTCAACGTGAAAGATTCATAGAGATCCTGATGATAAATACAACAAGAAAATTTCAAGGATCAAAATAGAATGCATTGTAGATTTTCAATGTTTAATGAAAATCTAAAAAAAATGTTAAACTAATTGTTAAGAATCTAAACCCAGCTTCTGAGTAAAAACAAATAGATCTAAAAATATAATCAGTTGAATTCAGAATTATTAGCCCCCCTTTGAATTTTATTTTCTTTTTTAAATATTTCCCAAATGATGTTTAACAGGGCAAGGAAATTTTCACAGTACGTCTGATAATATTTTTTCTTCTGGAGAAAGTCTTATTTGTTTCATTTTGGCTAGAATAAAAGCAGTTAATAATTTTTTAAACACCATTTTAAGGACAAAATTATAAGCCCCTTTAAGCTATATTATTTTCTATAGTTGCTATAGTAACCATCGTTATACATTAACTTGCCTAATTACCCTAACCTGCCTAGTTAACCTCATTAACCTAGTTAAGCCTTTAAATGTCACTTTAAGCTGCATAGAAATGCGTTTAAAAATATTGAGTAAAATATTGTTTACTGTCATCATGGCAAAGATAAAATAAATCAGTTATTAGAAATAACTATTATGTTTAGAAATGCGCTGAAAAAAATCTTCTCACCTGTTAAACAGAAACTGGGAAAAAAATTACCCGGGGCTAATTATTCAGGGGGGGCTAATAATTCTGACTTCAACTGTACAACAAATCAAAAATCTGTACAAAAAACAAATCATTGTTGTCTAAAATAAATAGAATAATAATATTAAATAATAAATATTTCTAGTTTGACAACTTATGTAGAAGTGTTATTTACGCATGTTTTTTTATTAATAGGTGAATTTAAAGCTGCTTCTATAATTCTTCTTGTTCTTAATATTATTAACTGTAAAATTAAGCTGTAATAAATCTTACCCATTGAGAGCATGGGACCACATTGGCCAGAGCCATGGCTATGGGCAGCTCTCCCTGATCTCCCATCATGGTGACCAGCTCGACCAGTCTCTCAAAGCGATCTGCAAGCACAGTCTCTGCAAGCGTGTCGAACTCCGTCCCTTGCTGAAGGATCTTAGTGAGCACTTCCATAAATGTAGCCCGTGTCTGCAGGTCCTTATGGTATCCCAGACCTGCTCATAGATATCAAGAGTCACTTCCTCAAATCAAAACAACTCCAATACATGTCCAACTGCACGATTCCAGATCAACTAAGAATCACAATTTCTCGATTCAAAAGATCTTGATTGCTCACAACTCTGAATAGAGAGATAAACATAATAATACCTATTTTACTAGAGTATCTAAAATACTGTGGATATCAGTCAAAATGTACATTATACATTAACATTATTACATTATACAGGGTTCCCACTCTTCGCCAAATGTCAAATTCCCTGATTTTACGGACTAAAAAGCTAAATTTCTATCACCTACAATGAAGAGAAAAATAAGGTGACGTGGTGGCGCAGTAGGTGGTGCTTCACAGCAAGAAGGTAGCTGGTTCGAGCCTCGGCTGGGTCAGTTGGCGTTTCTGTGTGGAGTTTGCATGTTCTCCCCACGTTCGCGTGGGTTTCCTCAGGGTGCCCCGGTTTACCCCATAAGTCCAAAGACATGCGGTACAGGTGAATTGGGTAAGCTAAATTGTTCTTAGTGTATGTGTGTGAATGAGTGTGTATGGATGTTTCCCAGGGATGGGTTACGGCTGGAAGGGCATCCACTGCTTATCCGTGCTGGATAAGTTGGTGGTTCACTCCGCTGTGGCTACCCTGGATTAATAAAGGGACTAAGCCGAAAAGAAAATGAATGAATGAATAAACAGAAAAATGACGTGTTTTTGTGTTTATATAATATTAATATTGCTTGAGCTTGAATATAGTTTTGAATATTATCATGAATTTAACATTCTTTATGAGAGCAACAGTGGATAATTTACCTTTATAACAGAAAAAAACATTTGAAACATTGTGAAAAATAACATTCAGTATGAAAAATTAATTTTGATGATTGGAAACTATTAATGCAAAGGGACAAACAAAACATTCTTTGACAAAAAAAAATATATAATAATATAATATAACATAAATAAATACACACACACACACACGTTTGTTTTTGTGAAAAGTGGGGACATTACATAGGTTTCCATTCATTTTATACTGTCCAAACCGTATATTATATTGCTCTCACCCCACCCATAAACCCAACCATCACAGGAGACTGTGTGCAGCTTTACTCTCTGATTAAACTCATTTTGTGGTATTTATAAGCATTTGGAGAAATGAGGACGTCACCAATGTCCTCATATTTCACCTCCTTTTTGTAATACCTGTGTCTTACCCATGTCATTATTCAGATTTGTGTCCTGATATGTCACAAAAACACGTACACACACACACACGTACACACACACACACACACACACACACACACACACACACACACACACACACACACACACACACTATTCACAAACTTTCTATGTCTGGAATAGATTTATAAAATTCCAAGATATGCCAAAAATTACATGACTTATGGAAACCCTGCTTATACAACTAATTATTATAAAATTTAAATATATATTTTAAAATGATGACTGAATTTAATACATCACTCATAAAACTATGTTTCATTACCGGATGGAGCAGCCTTTTTGAAGAATCATTTATAAACACAGCCTGACACCACCTATTGGTGTAACAGTGTAACTGCTACAACTGTCATCTGATATAGCAAGTTACTTTCAAATGGTGATTTTGATCTTTACAATAGACATCAGTGTTTATTTAACTGAATTCATCTAATATTTTATATATAGTATTTGAAATATACCTTTTCACAGTACGTCTGAGACAGCTTAAATGTTTGTAACAGAAATAGCACTTCTGGCTGAAAGACTAAAAACTGAAGCATTTCACAACTATACATGATAACTGCTCTATTTGGGCTAACCACAGATGTACCACTGTGTTTATTAAATGTCTAATAAACTTACGCAACTAAGATTGCGTAGGTGTATGAACAGAGACTGCAATCTTTAACTGATTAAGCATACAGATCTAAATTCATGATAAGCAATTCTCACCGATTGAGTGCATGAGGCCGCTATCCACATTAGCATTGAGCAAGTTAGACATAGCCAATACTGTGCAGTGCCGCAGAGATGCCAGTCGTCTAGACATGCCACGTTTCCTCCCTGCGACCTGCTGGCCATCTTCCTCAACCTCGCTGCAGTCATTCAACAGGTTCATGAACAGTGTGAAGTACCTAAAGAAGGAAAAGAGAAATGGATAAATCTGAGCTTAAAGGAGACATTCTTTGCAAAAATAATAAGGGATAAGGGATTTAAACACAGTTGTGAGGCAGGTGTGTGTGAATATTGCCATCCTCTATGGATAAAAAAATGAATAATTGCATTTTTTATAATGAAACTTTATAAAAACTGCCAATTCAATTGACATTCTCACTTCATACAGGTCATCGAAGGCCCATTATTAATGACCATCTCTAGCATAGACAGCCCTGAGCGAGAAGCAGCCATCCACCATTAGAGTTTTAAATCTTCTGCTATAGTGACACATGGGCGTTTATAACTCCACCCTCTTTTGAAAAGAGGGCCGGGAGCACATTCTCAATTGAATTTTAAGTTATTCACAAAAATGGTAAAATTTGGATCAAAGCCTAAAAGGAGCTGTTTCAAAGAGTTCTACAACATTATTTGTTGGGTATTTATGCTGAAACTTCAGATACACAATCTAGGGACACCATGGATTTATTTTACATCTTGTAAAAAGGGGTATAATAGGGAAGTATGTTCTGGCTTGAAGCAACAGTTCACCCAAAAATGAAAATTCTGTCATCATTAACTCATCTTCTACTTAATAAACACAAAAGAAGATATTTGGGGGAACGTTTGACACCAGTAACCATTGACTTTCATAGTATTTGCTTTTCATACAATGGATGTCAATGGTTACTGATCACCAAAATTTTCAATATATAGTTTTTTGTAAAAACAATTTACTTGAGGATAAGCAAATTGAGAGAACATTATCATAAAAGGTGCAGTGTGTAAGTTTGATACCCAGTGGTTGAACTAGGTATTGCATTCCTGGATCAAAACCAACTCAAGTGCAGGTTGCCAGATTGAAGACACCAACAGTGAGGCTAATTTAAGTTATATTCTAAATAAAATTAACGGCAATCGATAGAAAGAGTATTTTCCATATTAAAAGGAGTTTTTGACCTAACTAACACCTTGGATTGATATATTAGAAACGGCTTCTATTTCTCACAGATGAACAGGATAAACTGATCACCCCAGGCACTCGTGTGCTTTTTTTTCAGTGTTAAATGCTAATAATGTGAGTTTGAATGCCATTTTACATGACATTTATTGCCATACTACTGAAAGCAGTGACAGATAGTTCATCTCAGATCTTAAAAATAAACAGTTTGAAATTGAACTCTAGAACGGTAACTCTGTGATTCAGCATGTTAGAGGTTTATTATGTATTAATTAGATTATAAACCTTACCATTTCATTAGTAAGTGCATATTTCGTGCTTCTGAAAGGTGTGTTTTGTCTGGTGAAAACAGTTAAATTGCTTATTACTACAAATCTCGTCACGCAGCATGTTGTTAGGACATGCAGTTAAAATTTAACCTGCTCACCTAACGTTTAAGTTCGTAATACTTATTTCCTAATTAATAACCTCAAGTAGAACTTTAAGTCGGTGTCTCATTTCGTAGTCTGCTAACGTTACTTTCCACCGGAGGTTGCATTTCAGTCATGCACGCATGCTTTGAGAGTCTTCATGACTGAATGAGTGAAATATGTGGTTTTACAACAAGGCAACCCGGGGTGCTGAAATTTAATTGGGTAAGCTGGCATTGAACATGTAAAAAAAACAAACAAACAAACAAACAAGACAGCCGATCCCGGCACGGAAAACACATTTTCAAAGCAGAGTATCTGACCTCAGCATTGTTTTTCAGATAAACAGGAATGTTCACTTGGCATGTTTCTTAAATATCTGTAAACATATTATGGTATTTTTATGCTTTAGAAGAGTCAAAAACTTACATACAGCACCTTTAATCTGCTTTTTTGATTTTTATGGGTTAAAATGGCCTGTATTGTGTTTGCACTAAATTTTAAACTTACTACAAAGGTTAACTAAATGCAGCTTTGACCATTTGATTTTGCAGAATTTACTGACTTCAGCCAGAATATAAATGCAAAAATCAGCTTTCTGTCTGTTTAATAAAGGTTGCATGTGTAATGCCACACAAATACTGTATTTAAGCACATGCAGAAAGAGAAAACGATTTGCATAAAGGGAGGACATAAAGCACAAACTTTAGAATCTATTTTGACACAAATAATTGCAAAGTGTTCTCATATCGTGGAGCAAACGTAGAAGTACTACAATCAAAATACTGCATCTTGAGAAGAAAATATATTAGCGGTAAGTTTCCAGCTGACTCCTTCTCAACTCATTATTTATGATTTATTGAACATGACAACCAACATAAAAGAATTACTTAAAGGGACAGTTCACCCAAAAAAAGCACTAATTCCTCATTTACTCACACTCAAGCGGTTCTAAAACTTTATAAATGTTTTTCTTCTGTTGAACACAAAACAAGGTATTGTAAAGAATGTTGAAAAAAGCTGCCATTGATTGAATTGCAGATTTTTACTTTACTTTAGTATATTCTTTAGTATATTTCCCTTGGGACAGGAACAAGTGGAGTAAATGATGATTCACAAGATTATGCTTTGATTTCATTACTGGGAAGAAAACAAATTTATAAATAAAGTCTTGCAGCAGGTTAATTTGATATGTCGATGTTTAGAGTAATCAGAGTGTATTGGTGTGTATGTAAATGGGCTCAATGTTCATACTTCAGGAAGAGCTGTGATTTGGCCTCCATGAGCTCAACACCGTCACCCTCCTCAGGCTGTAGAGGAAGACCAGCCAACAGAGACACGACAGCCTCCATACTGGCCTGGTCCAGATCGCTGCAGAGAACAGAAACACAGCATCAGTAAGGAACATATAAACAGAAGAAATGTCAGGTTTTATGGAAACTGTAAAAGACAATACCGGGTCAGGCATTTGACATCATCGTCCGCAGCTTGATTGGAGGTTCCCATCACCCAGTCTGTGAGGTACTCCACCATTTTATTCCTATGAAATGCAGGAAAGTTAGACTGCATCTTATAAGGTCTTGATTCATAAATGATCACAAAAAAAACAGTATTACTGTAAAAAATATATGTGGAGAGACAAACTGAAAAATATTAAGTTTGGGGGAGAAAAAGCAATTAATGATTTTTTTCAAAAAGGATCAATCAAATGAGTAAGAAACAAATGTGTGTTTTTTAGTTATATGAAGTATATATATTTACATACGTGATGTGCACAGCCCAATTTTTACCAACAGGACAAACTTTTTTTTTTATTTATACTTGCACTTATGCATTTTGCAGATGCTTTTAACTCAAAAGTTGTTTGTTGTGCAACAGTTCTTACGCTAATTTAAATTGTTTATTTTTTTTTTCAAACTTTGATCTCAACCCTTTAACTACCCTTTAACTATCAGCCTCTACCAAATGGTTTATATGTCGGTTAATGGCAAAAGTACCAGACTTAATATATATAAAATATGAAAAATTAGAAAATATGAAGTGCAAGACAAATTGTTTTTATATAATTACACATATATATATATATATATATATATATATATATATATATATATATATATATATATATATATATATATATATATATTCAAAACAAAACATTTTTCATAAAATATTTCAGATTCTTATTTAACATGACTTTGTTTTTATTGTAAAAAAAAATAAAAAATAAAAAAAAACAAGAAACCAAGTGTAGTAGTGCAACAGGATGTTTGTTTGATTTTATTTTAGTTTTTTTGTAAACCAACAATGCTGTGTCATTATATATAAATTATTATATAAAGTCATTATTTAAAACAGTCATTCTTTAAATGACTTTAAAATTCATTATTTAACACAGTCAAAACATGGTCAACCGTTTTATAGGGGTGAAGTCAAGAGGAACACAAGTTAATTTTAACAAATGTTGGAAACCTGTAACCATTCACTTCCATAGTAGATAAATAAAATGCTATTGGTGTCAATACTTACAATTTTCCAACATTCTTAAAAATATCTTCTTTTGCAAAAAAAAGAAAAAACCTGTACCAAAGAAACTCACACAGTTATGGAACCACGAGGTAAATGATGAATAAGTTTTCATTTTTGTGTGAATTATCGCTTTAACATTGTTACTCTAATTTGTTGTGTGAGAACTATTAACTAAATATTAATAATTTACTGTTCAGATTTTTATGTGATTTACATCCATTAAAATTTGTACAAAATTATGAACATAATACAGCATAACTTAACTTTAATAAGCACATAAGACCCAAATATATCTTACCACCCCCAAACCAAAGTACAGCACTGCAAGTTTACCTGAATTTCATCTCCTGGCAGAAGGAGAGGTCATCCCTGCGCTCCATCATCACCTCCACTAACTGACACAACTTGGTTTTGATCTGAATGGCATGAACAATGTTCCCTAAAATACGCACATACCTGAGGATAAAAGAAGAAATGAGTTGGAGAAAGAGGTTAATTCAAAAATAAATGATACAAAAAACACATTAAAATCTAATTTTTATCAAAACACCAACCATCAATATAATATCATGTGTTAATGTTAAAATGACCATCAGTCTGTGTGACAAAGAATAGTAACACCTTACCTAACTAGATTGAGCATCATGGTCTCAATGCTGGCTTGACCAAGGTGCTCTGAGCTTCCTTCAGTGTGACTGTCCAGCAAGTTCTTCATGATAGCAATGGTCTGCTCTACAAACAGAGTGTTTGCATCTGTAATAGGAACCTGGCGGCGAAAATAAGATTGTTGTTTTTATTTACAAAACCACTTGTTCAATGACAGAACATTCTAAAAATAAATAGGGTACTAAAACTGAGTTGGCACCACGGAAAAAGACTGCACAGTACAGATTGATCAGAAAACAATAGTTTCCTGCCACCTTGTGTCCAAAACCACACATTGCAGCTTTGCAGTGAAATTGAGTTTAGAGTTTTTAATGCGAGTTGTCAAAACAGTAAAAAAGGATTTGGTTAAAAATACACATAAAATTTCCACTTTCTTTTTTTGTCAAATTTCATTTCCAAAGCCATTTGCATTAAATGATAGATAAATAAATACATTAAAAACATTTAAATATTTAACAAAATTAAATACTAGTTTACTCTTAAGAAAAGATAATTTGATTGTACTGATTTATTAAGTGTTAACTGTTATGACAATATAGAAAATAAATACTTAAACATTGATCTCATAAAACAATAATATAAGAGTAAACTGTATTAGAATTAAGCAAAACTAGGAGCAAATTTACAGTTTGCATTTTAAACGATTTTGATTATATGTTAATTTAAATACACATAAATATTGATTAAGTAATATGATAGTACACTGTATTAAATTTATTGAAATATTTTTGATACATGACAATAATTATTTTTAAAAGTCAATTGTTTTTATTTGTTTTTTTTTTTTATAATTTTTTTGTAAAAAAAAAATATAGTATACAGCTATATTTAGCTTGTTTTGACTCATTTAAAATTTGTGGCTAAAAAACAATTATTGTTTGGAGTGGTCAGAGATAAGTTTGTATCCTCCATTTTGAGTTCTGAAAAGTCATGTGAAATAAAAACTAATTGCAGTATAACACTATGAAACCATGACCCATTTGCTCATACACGACAAAACGTGAAATAAGGCATGTGGACAAACACAAAATCTAAATCAAGTAATTTTAGCATGTCAAAGTCATATTTATGCATATAAAATGTATTTTCCCAACAACAAAATTGTGGCTAGTGAAAATGCTGAGTGGCTAGTAATGTTGGAAAACTACTAGCCACTGTGGCCGGGGATCAAAAAAGTTCATGTCAAGCCCTGCTAGCATCTCTTACCGGCCCCTGGGTGTCAAAGAAGCGTCCGATGCTGTTGCGCAGCTTAGTGAAGAGCATTGAATAGAGAGCCGGACTGAGCTCCAGTCCCACCAGGTCTTTGACGTTGGTGCGAATTTGCACTCCCACTTTCTCATGTGTGCAGACCATCAGAGCCAGCAGACGCTCCAGAAAGCGATTCAGGGATGTTTCGCTGTTTACCTCGCAGGAGCTCATGGAAATCATGGACCCCTTGCGTTCGGTCAGGGGGCCCATTGGAGGACTGTAGGTGCCCAGACTCGGCGTGCTGCGCTGTTGGAGACAAACACCTCCCAGAGCGCACAAGAAACCAGTCATGTTGATCCACTCCTGAGGACGAACAGAAAATAGATGACCATGAATGGAAAAAAAGATGAAATAATTGACCAATCTTATGTTAACTACCTGTCCATCTTCCACTTTGTTTTTTGGGTGGTTGAGTATCTGTTTTGTAGCTTGCTCCCACTTTGCATATGTGTCTTCCCATGCCTAAAATTAAAAAAAGGTAAAGTTTGAGTCAACTCTTTAGTGTCCTTACACACACTCTCAGCTTCGGACGAGGAAACACCGAAATGAATTAGCTCATTAGAGAAAGGGAATGTCCCAGAAAGAGTGTGAAAAGACTTGCTTGTGTCTGCAAAACATTATTCACTGACTGCTTTATGACCTTGAGCGGGTAAATAAGGACTAACATCAGAGTTGAATTTAAAGGATGTTGCTGTACTTCCAATTTGTTGTAAAAATAGCAAGTGATTTCATATATTTATATAATTAATTAATTAATTAATTAATTAATTAATTAATTACTAATTAATGCTTGTTTTCATTTGATTATTGTTAGCAAACACCAATTTTAGTTCATTTGTATTAACTTGATGGTTTTCACATTGACCAGCAAAGATTGTGAAGCTGAGCATTTGTTCTATCCAGCAGTGTCACTTTTAAAATGCATAGATGTTTGTTTGAACACATTTACATTGACAATGATGGGCTGCAATGTCAAGCAAAGGAAAATTTGACGATTATACGGTTCACCAGCCATGACATCCATTCATTCATTTTCCTTCTGCGAAGTCTCTATTTCAGAGGTCGCCACAGCAGAATGAACCACCAGCTATTCCAGCATATGTTTTATGTAGCAGATGCCATTCCAGCCACAACCCAGAAATGGGAAACACCCATACACACTCATTCACGTACATATACTACAGACAATTTAGTTTATTCAATTCACTTATAGAGCATGTCTTTGGACTGTGGGGGGAAACACGAGGAGAACATAAAAACTTCACACAGAAATGCTAACTGGCCCAGCCGGGACTCAAACCAGCAGCCTTCTTGCTGTGAGGTGACAGTGCTAACCACTGAGCCACGTAAAACCTGCATGATATCAAAAATTCTTCAAAATATATTATTTTGTGTTGATCACTGGGTCACTTTAATAAAAAATTGTGAATTCTGAATATTTAGAAACAATAATATCCTCACCTCTACATTTCCAGCTGTAGGGTGCTTTATTCTTCTTAAAAGTGCCATCACTCTTTTTTGTAGTGTGTTGCGACCTGAATGGAAAAATGTTCATATAGTTTATCATATACAAAGATAGATCTATAAAAATAACATTTAAATAATTAAGTTAATCTACTAATGACAACAAATAAACAAACAAAAAGTCTGACAGACATATTTAGACGCAGGTGTATATTCATTTGGCAAAAAATGTCTTAAATGTTCCATTTAAAAATACCTAAATATCTATCACATATTTACAATTTTCCAGGTGAGACTTCTTAGGCCGGATTTACACTGCACTGTTCAAGTGACTAAATTCTGATTTTTTTTCTCCCATGTGGCACAGATCGGATGTGGCCCATGTATGTGTAAGCAGGAACAAATCACATGGATTACGATTTAATCAATTCAGATTCAGGCCTTGTTCATATGTGGCAATTTATCCGATATGAATCAGATCTGTGCCCTCATGTCTGCAGTGTAAGCAAGTAGATCGGAAAAATCTGACCATCAAAAAAATCGGATGCAGTCACAAAATCGGAATTGACCAACAAGATCTGCAGTGTAAATGCAGCCTTACAAAACCTCAGATCACTGATCGTTCCATATTTATTTCCAAAAAATAAATAAAAATGACAGTGTCTGGCAATAATAAATCCAGCATTCACTGACCTGTGGCCATCATATTGCTGACGGATGCAAGCTCAATGAAGGTGTTGTAATTGGGTAGGACTGTGTGAACAGGCAGCTCATCGACACTGCAGCGAATATCGGCCTCCTCACAGAGATGCCTGAAACAGGACATGGCCACCAAAACAGCCTCTGCATCAGGACTCCACAGGAACGTGTACAGACACACCTCCAGCTTGGTCTGAGCCTGTCTGCTGATGGGGATCAGACTGCCCTGTGTAGCACACTCCTGTGTGGAGGAAATGAGCTTGTTTTATCTGGACGGGCAATTGTTATTTTGTTCAGACTTCTATTTTGAATTATGATTTTAAAAAGAACTGATACAGGCATATGGTTAATTTATAAATAATTATGCATAACAATTTGATTTGAGAATATCATTGTAAAAGTCTGATCCTACAATAAGGTGATTTTTTTTTAAATGAAAAACTATTTGAACCACACATTTTATATCTGGATGTTCAACATTTAAGAGACATTTTCAGAAATATATTTTAAATTTATAATTTTAATGATTTAAATTACAAAACTAAATATGATTGCCTAAAATTTATCTTACAAAATAATTTAGCAAACGCATGCACATTAATTTCAACTGGGTACTAAAAAAATGTATACGTAAATTTTTATGTAAAAATTATAAATATGATGATAAAATGATTGTTGAATGTTTAAAAATTAATTTTTAGAAAGATACATTTTGAAGGCATCTTTGGGCAAATATATACAGTATATGAAAAGGAAAGGGTGAAAACATCAAAAGCTCAAAAAGTTTCAAATTTATTCTCAAGGTTTTTTAAAGTGAATAAATTTGATACTTTTGGAGCTTTTGGTGTTGTTGCCCTTTCATAAACATATGCCCAAATAGTCCTTCAAAATGTATCTTCCTAAAAAGGCTGGACGAGTTGGCCTAAAATCTAAATCTTGATTAACTGAATATTCAAACTCTATTACGATTAATAAACTATTTTATTTATTTATTTTTGCCCTAATAGTTTACAGACAGGTGTTATACAGTAACAAATAAAATGCTCACATATTACAAGTGAGAGATATTTGAATGTAGGGTTACTTACTTGATTTACACATTATCTACTATCTATGATTATTTATTGAACATCAATGTTGAACAACTAAAATTAATACACAAATTGCCTAAAAAGAACAGTCACTTTTTTCTTATTTAAAAGTAGAAATAAATAACTTGTACTTTTGGAAAAAAAATATTTTCAATGTTTTTGAAAGTAAAGGTGGGGAGAGTATTAAAAAGAAATCAACCTGGAAAAAAGTGTAAAACAAATGATATCCAAATAATATCATTTTATCGTCATATTTATCAGTTTTACACATAAAGAGAAATAATAAATTTAATTATTAAGATGGATTTTTTTATTATGAATTTAAAAAAATAATTATACCAAAACAAAAATACTGTTTAAACAACACATTTAACAGATAAAGAGGCAAAAGAGAAAAAGAACTGGATAAATTCTAATTCTCAGTTTTTTATTTTGAAATTGATTTGCACAATGAATCTTTTCAATAATATATTTTTTGCATATGAAAAAAAAAGTGTAATTTTATCTGTATGGAGCTGATGATTTCTTAAAACAGGTGGATTTACATTTTATTCATTTAATTTTTTTTTTACCTACAGATTTATACTGTTAAAATACATAGAATTTAAATAACAAAACCAATAACGACTGCCCAGTTTTATTGACAAAAAACCGGAAACAGCCATGATTTGCTTGTCTTTACCTTGTTCTTTAATAGAAACTTGTTCCTGCATATGAGAATCTCCCTGAGCCACTTGAGTATCTCTGTACTGTTGATCATCTGGTGTCCAATCAGCTTCTTACAAATTAGAAATAACACCTGAGAGCTGAGAACACAAAAAGATGAACACAGTCAGACAATTATTCCCATAAACAACATAACAACTTCCATCAATCCTTTCATGTATACCTGATGTCCCAGAAGGTCTCAATGGGAGCGTCCGGGTTCCATAGCTCAATGGTTTCTGGCTGATGTAAAACAAGCAATGCCTAAAAGGGAGTACAAGAATGAGTAGATCAGTTATGTTAAGAAAAAATGCCAATATGTAACCGAACATCAAAGTAAAATCCTTGTACATTTCTCTCATTTTATTTCTTAAGGATTTTATATAATTACATTCATAAACCTTATTTAATTTTAACATTTTTAAAATACATACTAAGTGACTAAAGCAATAAACTTGTTTATAAGAGTTATAAGTATGATTTTTAGAGATCTGAGGTAAATTAATCATTGTTACTCTCAGTATAGTTATGAAGAACATGCTAATTAAAATAAAAATGCATTATGTAGACCATTATTTTTATGAAACAATGTATAATCAACAAAATCTGAAATCAATGTCACACTTTTTCTGCCATTGATCCAGACACGAAAGAAAAAAACATCTCAAACATCAGAACCACCGTCTCTTGTTGTGTAAACTATGATTACTACACTATGACACAATTATTAAAACTATAATTAACATAAACATCTTTGTATATGCATATGAAGGCAAAAATTAAAAGATTTTAGCTATACAATATTACATATGTATTTTATATGTATTATCATATTCTAGCTTGTATATTCTTTAGTCATTTTGTTATCTAGATCTGCATTTTAAACAGTTTGTTTTCATATTTATATTAATACATCTTTTTAATTCAGTCATTTAAATTCTGCTGTATTGGTATTTACACTTATTTCAGTTAGTTGGCAATGCAAAAATATCCATTATTTTAAGTTTATAATACAAAAATATAAGTATACATTTACAGCTTTAGGTCACACTTACCAATAAAGGTTAACGTTAATAAATGTATGTACTAACATAAAACAAAAAACAAAAAACAAATACAGTATTCATAATCATTGTTCAATATTTAATAATGCATTATTAAAATCCTAAATTGTGCTTGTTATTATTACTTTAAGCATGGTGAGTTGAACTAATCAGGGACAACTTAATTTCCATCAACTAACCTTAAAGAATATGAATAAATACCGCAATAAATGTAATGATCATGTCAGTGAATACATTAATATTAACTAATGGAATCTTACTACGAGTGGTAGACAGCTTTTTCTATAATTAGCTAATGGTATTAGCAATATTATGCTGCAAATATGGAAGTACAATAAAGAGGTAAAAAACAAAACAAACAGTTTCACCTCCATGGCCTCTTGGGAAAGCTCAGCACTGTGGGTAAGAGGAACCAGCTGAACCAGACCTTTGATGATCTCAGCTGTGCTGTTCTGAATCTCCTGACCAGGTTTTCCCGGATTCTGGTGGTGTAAAAGCACAATCACTGGAGTCAAACTTGATCCAAATCATCCATAACCCACAACTCTACTGCTAGATGTAGAAACAATATGTAAAGGAAAAACTGTTTGCCCATATTACACTTCATATCAAATCATGTTAAGGAAAGAACAAGGGAGGGGGGTGGTCAGAAATCCACTTCCAAAACCTAATCTGGATAATCCAGGATTTAAACCAATCAGAAAACATTTAAACATGAGCACTGTTGGATTAAAGGATCTTATGAGAATTAAAGAAGCAACGGGTCAAAGGTGACTTGTTTAAACTTTCTGAACTTTCCACAACCCTGAATCTGATTCCAAAGAAATCAAAACATGCAAAGTGAACACACATTTAATCTAGCGCTGACTGAGACTCAACATTACAATATTAAAAGAGCTGCAAATGTCTCAATAACCTCTGTGTGATTTATATTTATATTTAAGTACTTTTATAATATTTATTAATATTTTGTTTTATTTAGGATTATTGGTCTGTTTCTAAACAGTATAAACAGTGAATTTTATATAAACAGTAAATATAAACAGTGAATTTTACACCTATGCAATTTGTTTCGTCTTTTTTTTCCTCTCGGTTTTATTATGGTGCACCTGATAATAACATTAGAGCTGGGTGTTTTGATAATAATCATTGCAATGTGATTTTTCATTGATTAAAAACAAAAACATATTTGATATGCTTTAAAGCAGAACTAAAATAATGCTTTAGTTAAAAGGCTAATTGATGAATTTACTTTTATACCAGTAACTGCACAATAGTATTGTGGCAAGATTGGGAGAAATGTATTATTAATGTATACGTAATGAACAAAGACTTACAAAAGAAGACTTTACATATAATTACAGTTGTTATTAAGCTATCACATATGTGTATTTGTATTTATCCTTAATGTATTGAGGCTAGTGATTTAAAAAAAAAAAAAAAAAACACTGAAAACCCAATTTCAGCATGATAATGAGGAGCTATATGTGGGGTAACACTGCACGATATTGGAAAAAACTGACATTGCGATATTTTGTTTTTCTGCATTTATAATGCGATATGAATAGAATTTCACAGCATGACTAATACCTCTATTTGGAAAAAAATCAAAGGTTTACATTAATTGTGATGATTTTGTCTAGGAGTGAATTTGCATAAAATATAATAAACATTGCATAATGATCATTATATAATTAAAGCATACATGAATAAAATAGATCAAAGATCTTAAATGAATAAACAGTGCTTTATGGTTTTCTGGAGAGTCTTAACAGTATTGAGAAACATAAATTAAGTGTAAAATAACACTGTATACAGTAGTTAATATTTGAAGCCTATCAAAACCTTGAGTTGTCCTAAAATTATTCAACAACATCCATTCTTGTTTCAGGACAATTTTAAAATGTTCTCTGATCCTCTTCAAATGTTGACTTCTAGTCTTGATTGTAAAAATAATTGAATGCAATTTTTCTATGTTGAAGCTAAACATTTAATCTTTTCAAGTGGAATTCACTTGAATGTCTACACTTGAATGTCTAGTCAAATGCAGGCATTTATTACAATCCCAACTAAACATTGCAGATTCTGCGTTGTGACGATTCGCACATTGCAATATCGATACTGAAACGCTATATAATGCAGCCCTAATGTGGGCTTTTACTTACATGTGTGATAGTACAAAATTTTATTTAAAAGATTTATTTGAAATTGTAACATTCATAATCACATTTAAAGAGTTTTAATTATGTCATTGTTTTCCCCAGTCAGGGAACAAGACCTGCTCCATCATTTAAAATTATGTGAATAAAATAAAAATAAAAATATTTTGTGAAGGAAAATAGCTGCTAAAAGATGTTACTCAATACAAATTTGATAACTAGTAATAATTACATTTACATTATACCACACATTTGCGAAATGTTCATATTCTTGACCCAAAAAACAAGTAGTTTAACCGTCTCATTTCTACAAAAATCTACCTTTTAACTTGAAAGCATAGAGATTTGACCTATTTTGATTATTAACCATTGATCATTATTGATTATTTAGATTACATTTAAAAACTCTTTAATCCATATAGCAGGCTTATATACTCACGTGCAGCATTAGTTTGGGGTCAGCGTGGATAAGTTTGACCAGTGCCAGCAGCAAAGAACGCGAATCAAGATCTGTGGACTTTTCCTTGAACTTCAAACTTGTTGTCATTTTCTCTTTGAATGTCAAACTCTGCAAGTAATAAAATGCCACTTTGACCAATGCAAAGTCCAGTGTTTGTTTTTCTATACGTAATAGACTGTATGCATTTTAATGTGTAGTATTTAAGCATGTCTCACTGATGTCATCCTCAGAGGCGGATGTGCACTGAGACTCTGAATCACTCGACCCAGTGTGTCTGCAAACATGGTGCGTAGTTCTCCTGAGTAGCAGTAGATGGCGTCAATCTTCGGCCACCAGTCCAGGTGAGACTAGAAACATGAGCGCGAGACATTAATAAGCAACAACTGGCAAAGGTACAGTGCAGACCATAAACTTAAGATGTTGTAAATTCAGTGATTTTTAATACAGTCACTTGAAGGCTGATGGAATTTTTAACATTACAGTAAACAGTCATAATAGAAATTATAATCATAATTGTAATAATTTTATTGGTAGAAATATTTTATTGGTAGTTAATTTAGTGTCTGTATACAAAAAAATTTATATAAATATGTCACTGCATAATTAAACATGTCACGAAAAATCTCGCAAACACTAAGATTATTAGCAGCTGCTTATATGCATGGTATTAAACATTATGATGTATAATAGTGATGTATAATAGTTTGCATAACATTTAATCATTGTGTTGACAGTGCATTACTAAACTGGCCGTTTGTTTTATGATCTAAATTTAAAATCCGACTTTAGGCACTGAAAAACACCAAGTGCGTACATCAATTAGGAACTTATACTTACATTTGTGATAATTTTGTGCAGGGAGTTGACAAGGACGAAATGGAAGGTAGGAGGAGAAGTCGAGGCCAGACACACCTAGCAGAGAAAATAATTTATTTTTTAAAAAAAATAAAAAATAGAAAAAAAAATACCCACCAACAACAAAGTCAAGTGACATTTGACACTTTTAGATTAATCTTTTTTTGGTTTATCCTGCAATAGTTAATAATGATGTTGATGTCTATCGTTTCTGCTATATTTTTAAAAAATTATTTTAGGTAAAACAAGTAAAAAAAAGTAAGCAATTCTAAGGAAAAAGTGCAAGATATTGCCAGATGGGCTCATAACTGCAAAAGTAAAATTGAGAATTTTAAAGTCAGTATATATCTCAAACTCTGACCTTTTTTTCCTGAGTATTTATAACAAAATCAATTTAGAGATCATATTCAGAAATTCTGTATGTATTTTCATATATCACTCTTTATGTTTAAAATGTAAATCTACAACTTATTTCCCCCAATTTATATGTAGATTTAAAATTATAAATGGATATATCCATTTATATGTTTAAATATACATATAAATTGGGGTAAAAACCAAAAAAATTTGTTTTTTACCAAATTTTGGTAAAAACCCAAGCAATACAAACATAAAATGTTTGGTAAACATTTTGGTAAAAACCCAAACAATACAAACATAAAAAACAAAAACTAAAATCTGAAAAAGTAGTTGGAATGACGAGGAAAAAGGAATACAGAACTACTGAAATGTATTTAATAGATTAAATAAAAGGCTTTTATCGTGATAGCAGCTGAAAGACAACTCTCATTTGGAAAATGAAGTCGCATAAATCGCTCAGATGTGAGTTTTTCCACAGACTTTAACTGAGTGTAAAAAAGGGCAGAGGGCTGCTGAATAACTACTAAGAGATTTCAGCTGCTGTCTGGGCTTTCACTGCCTTTCTACACCTTACTTTCTTCATGTGTTTATTACTTTTTTCCTGTGTGCTTTCATTTTATTACATATAACTACATTTCTAAAGCAATACGTTTTGTTTTCTTTGCATATAGGGATTCATTTGGTTGTTACCAACATCCGGTGAAAATTTCAAGTCAACGGCACCAATATGTTTACTGGGAGAAATGGTGACGTGTTGTATACTTGTTTTCTCCACTATCTCTCTCTCTCTCTATATATTTTTACATATCTCTCTAATTAAAAATATGTGAAAACAGCTTCCCTTTATCGTAGTATGTTTTGATAGTAATAATATAAAAATGTCTTTAAGATATTGGATACTGAATTCCTAAGAAATTTCCCTAAGATTTAGTGACCAAACTTACCTTAAAATGCTGGTTGTTGCGAGGATTGATGCGATAACATGACACAAAGCAGTCGATCATCAAATCTACATCGGCGCTCTGGCAGCCCGTACCTCTTGAGAAAGGTTTGGTGGGGTTAAACAGGAGACCCTGAAAGACAAAAGAGAGAGAGAATTTAAACACCTCTTGTTCAATTCATACTTCCTTTTCTCTATGGACACCATATTTATTAATTTACAATGTACATCCTTGCCTTAAGGTCCATGACGATGGACTGAACCAGGAGAAAGATGACAGAATTATCCTCCCAGTTGATATATGTGCAGGCTTTGCAGAGTTTGACGCATGCAACAGCTGCACTTTCCGTCAATTGTTTGCTGCCGCTGTGTTGGCCAAGAGCCTTTCGTAAACTGTCTACAAATGACTTCTGTTGATGAAAAAAAACAAACAAATAAGATTTGTCATCAATGCAATATCCTGTGAAATATTTTTTATTTTTCAAATATTTCTCAAGTGATATTTAATGGAGCAAAAAAAAAATTTCACAGTATGTCTGACAACATTTTTTCTCTGGAGAAAGTCTTATGCATTATATTTTGGCTAGAATAAAAGCAGTTTTAAAATTTTTTAAAACCATTTTAAGGTCAATATTACTATATAAATATATATATTTGTCGATTGTCTACTGAACAAACCGCTACAATGACTTTTTTCTGGCCTAGTTTCCTGAAATATATCTAGTAAAATATTATGTGCTGCCAAATAAATGAGTTATTAAAACTTATGTTTAGAAATGTGTTGAAAAAGTATTATTTCCGTTAAACAGAAATGGGGAAAAAATATACAGCGAGATAATAATTCTGAGTTGTATAATATGACTGTTTTAAATGTTCCATGGCTACTTAAAATACTTCCTACTGGATTTAGTGGGAAATTTTTCTTTTTTTGTTGTTACTTAAAATTATTAATTTTGCTGCTCTCTCAAAATTTGCTACAATATTTGTGACACTTACCTTGCCGTCTTAATGTGAAATTACATAGACAACAACATAGTAAAACTGTATTTATTCTTTTTTTTAACCTCAAGAACAATTTGACTCTGTGATGTATTTGAAACAAACACAGACAAACAGAAAGAGAAATTTTAGGGTATAACTTTTTTCCTAGTAAAGCCTACTATACCATATTTATTACAAGAAAAACTCCTATTGAATAGAGTGTTGATAAAAACAAATCTCTTCTAAATTAGCTAAATAATACTAAACCATTATTTGTACAATTAATCAGCAGATCAGTGTTAATTTTAAGAGTTTTTATCATAAAACTTAACACTTAAAGTCTAACTAAAGAATAAACTTATGCTACAAATAAGACCAATAAATTATATTTCAATGCACTTTATACAAGTAGTCTGCCGTTGTACAAATAGAAATAATTTACACTAGTGACCATACAAATAACACATGCACCGAATTGACATTTTTGTCCAGTTTGAGTTGCTATGTACAATTGAATTTGTTTTTAATTTTTTGTGTATTATCACTATACACCAAACAGGTCATCAAAACTGATCAGACTGATAAGATCACAACATATTTAAAGTCCTGCTCACACACTGTGGGATTTCAGCCATGAAATGCCAGGATTTCAGCCATTTGGTCGACTGAGACAAATTCGGAAAATCCTAAAAGATTCCTGAAATCCTGGGCTAAGATCTGTAGTCTTTAATTGTTGGTTTCACATGTTCACCGAAAGCCGATTAATAGCCGTTGCGATCAGATGGGGAAGTTTTGGCAGTGTCAGAAGATTTCAGACTTTCCTGCAGTGTGACAACAGCTGCGATGAGCGTCAATCCAAAAACCAATAGGAGCCCTGAGAAACAATCCATGCTCCAATGCAAATGACCACCGGAAATATCGAAATAATTTTCTATTTTCCTGGTTTTATAACAAAGACACGATGTGTGCAAAATTGCCGCTACAGATTGTTTACGCTTGCTGAGGAATCATTTCAGAACGTGTGATAATGAAAGTGTCACGGATGGATGACGTCAAACTCCGGGGGAGTTTTCGTCAGTGTTTGGCGCATTTTCATTGCTGTTCAGTCAGAATTTATGACAGCTGATTTCTTACAGTGTAACATGGGAGCCATGTTCATGCAGTCTTACATGTTTTAATCATTTAGAAAAAAAATATTAATAATAATAAAAAAATAATAAATAAAAAATAAATAAAAAATAAATAAACAAACAATCACACAGTTTGAGCCGGCCCTAAGGCAGCATAAAATTAAAATAATAATAAAATAAAATAATAATAATTATTAAAAAAAACAATAAAAATTAACGAAATATGATTGATATTGTATTTAATTTTGCAATTACAAAAACACAAAAATCCTGGAGTGACTAGTAAACCCTTCCTGAAAACAAATAAAGTCACCAGTCTTAAATGCTTGAGAATTGAGCTGGAACAGAAGCCTGACCTTGTTAGCTTTCTCCTCTCCCCCTACTTCTTTGGTGATGCTCTGCGTGATCTCTGGACAGAGGATGAGGAGGATGATCTGCAGTGGCCACACAGCAGCTTTTCTCTTTGCGCTTTCCGCAAAACTGTCCACTAGGTCGAACAGTCTCTCTGCACAGTCTGCATACAGAGATCCACAGTTTAAACCCCTGTGAAGACTTTACACATCTTTCAGCAAACAATCTAGTAAACAAGTGTCACTCACCGGCCATGTCGGCCTGGGGTCTCTGATAGAGCATAGTGAAATCATCAGGGTAGTGTTCAACCCAGTTCCAGAAAGCCTGACACAAACATATCAGATATATTTATTATCATCAGCCTTTTGTATGATGAGATTTATTAAACACGTACAAAAACAGAAGTGTTTTAATCTATTTGGCTGTTTACGAAGCACATACCTTTTCCAAACTGCTGATTACTGCAAGCTGAGCCGGCTTTTTCAAAGACTTGAACTTAAGTACTGCTTCTAAAGAGAATAAACGGGAAGATGCGAGACGATTGAGGGTAGTCTATTTATGTGAAATCAATTACATCAGTCTACAATAATAGTAATTTAATTAAAAAATAATTAGGTCAGGTCAGTATCCTAAGCAGTAAATAAATAAAACTTTTAAGCAAATGTTACTGTAAGGAAAGTAATTAAATGCTATTTTTAAATAAAAAGTTGGAAGGTAATTGAGGTGGATTGTAAATGTAATGATTGTAAAATGGCCAGATTGGGTAGCTATTGGGTAGCTAAGACTTGTAAAATAAAGATTTAAGACCTACAAAACAACATTTTAGTAGATTTAAGACTTCTTAAGGTCTTTTAAAAACCTTGCGAATACTGTGGATTTGCTTATTCATATATTTAGATCAAAGGGCCAATTTAGTAAAAAAATTTAGTTAAAAAGACACTATTTTATGCCATGATTATGCAAACCAATCCCCTAGTTAACATCACAGAGTTTATCATTAAAACTACCAGAATGGTCATGGTAGTCATTCTGACCATTCAAATGTGTCAAATTCAAATCAAAATTACATTCAAAGCCTTTATTATGATTTTAGAATTAAGCTTTGAATGCCTCTCTTCAAATTCTATTAAGTCATTAATACAACTAATAATACAGGCTTTTTTTTGTCATATAGACAATAATTGAGTATAAGTTACCAGACCACCACTAAAAGTGCGTACCTCACTTTGTCCGGCGAGCAGGAGAGCAAACTTTATTTACCACAATGAAAATGTTGTTTTTGAAAGTTTTAAAGACACATCTTAAGGAACTTTCTGTTTTTGATATGAGTATGCTTTTGTTAGCATAGAGGCATGGGTATTTTATGTTATAAAATACAATTTTAAGTTAGAGTAAAATAAACACGCATTTAGGAAAAATCTGGGTATTACAGTTCTATACGTTCCCTGTGTGTCTCTCTTGTGCTCTTTGATTTTGTTTTGTTTATCTAACTCCCTCAGAGGCTTTGATGCTAATCAGTTGCAACTAACTTTGGTTAATTGGCTCTACTGATAGATGTTCTATCCTGATCGGCCTACTAGAGGATACAAGGCAGAGCTGAGCTCTTTTTTTAGTGTGGAGGCCAGGAGCAAGAAGACTGATTTGTATTTTTTTTAACAAAGTTAATAAAAAACAAATCTATCAAAATGACTGCCTTCTAGTTAGTTCTAGTGTATTACATATTTTTTTAGATTTACATTACTTAAGATTACTCTAAATGCATTATACCAACACATATGTGGATCACGAAGGTAAAAAAAAAAACTAGAGAATGCATTACCTTGTAGGAGTCTCTTTAACTTGGAGCAATCTACATTGATATACTGAATGAGCTCAATGTCATGGACATCCACTGTGTCCTCTGTACAAACTGTGAGCTCTTGCAACCTATAACAAGACAATGGTAGATTAACATCAATGATTTGATAATATTTAATGGTTCTTTTAGTAGACAACAAACCACAATAGCTTTGTACAATAGACTTTATATTTAGTTTATTTAAAATTAGCTATTTCTACACAATAAGAAAGGTCCTAGAACAAAGCCTTGTGGAACCCCCATTGTGTTAGAGAGGTACCTGGTGGAGATACGACTGAAGACGGCATTAAAGTTGTTGCAGCTGAGAGAGAAAAGCACAGCAGAGGCGGAGCTGCGCAGCTGAGTGGCGTGTTGCTGGCCCTCACGGTACGAGTGCAGGAAGTGACAGATTTCAGGCAGCAACTGTTTTACCAACATAGCCTCATCCAGCCTCAGGCAATCCTTAGGTTGCTGATGATGCACATAAACACAGCATATTTTATATTCTCTTTTTGACAGTGTATTATCCAACTTATTCAACCATTGGATTGTAAAAGCTTATCCTTATTGTGTAATTTAGTTTACTGTTGAGGGATCTGCCATGCATTTGTAAAAGAAGCATAAAAATAAGAAGCTCTAGCTCTAAGTGGATAACATTTGTCAGAATAGTAAAACTGACCTGTAAACGTATCAAGTAACCTGACTTAAATGTACTTCACTGAGTAGAAAAAGCGTCTGAATTAGTAGAAAGCAGGAAAGGGGGAAGCAAACAGTAATGAAATCCAATGACAGACCACCCAGCAAACACATTAGTGGATCAATACACTGCACGCATACTAGGTCAAGCTAAGCGTCCTAAATGTGTAACAGTGATGGAAAAGAGAAAGCTCTCTGTAGTGTTAGGCACAAATTTGTAACTGACAAAAATAGTCCTGAATAAAAAAAATGTATAGTTGCCTTGAAGCTTCATGAATGTTTTGCAAAAGAACTGAATCCTAAACAGCATGAATATAAGCTGTTTTTGGTATGTATATATTTGCATCTCAGTGACACAAAAGGAAATGACATGGAGAAAAAAAAGAATTGTGAAAACAAAACCAAATGTACAGACAGTGAACAGCTGCGTAGCATCTGAGCAAGCAAAAATTAATAATCTATACTGGAAAATCCAGACAATCTCAAGACGAGGAAACACCTGCAAATGTAATAATCTCTTGACAGGGCCGGTTCAAAGCCCACTGTCTGGAAGTAAAAGTTGAGGATTTAATTGTTTTACCAGGGTTCGGTCTCTAAGGCTGAGACAAAAGTTCTTGAGTAATCAAAATATATTTCTGCACAGCTTTCTGCCTTTTGAGGCCTGAGCGATATCGCCGTCCATATTATGTGAAGATAAATGTTACAAATTCATGTTAGAGCCATTTTACACTAAAGGAGAAACTGAGCGGGGACGAAAGTAACATGGGATGAAAGTAACAAAACAATTTTCTTGAAGCCCTGACAACATTTGCTATCCAGCCTTTAACAGCATATTCAGCATGCAAACCTTGACGGAGCTGGCAAATATCACCTGATTTCAGAACCATGCTTCACAGTTTGGTCTGAATTTTTTAAATGAAGAGAGTAAATTATTGTAGCGGTTCTTTTTTAATTTAAAAGTAATAATTTTACACTGAAAATAAGTGACAGAACAATAAACAAATAAAAAATTGTATCTGTCTAATGTTAATCTAAGCTACATTTAAGCTAAGTATTTAGTTTTAAAGAGAGCAAATCTAGTCAAAGGCTGCTGAACTTCTGTCTGAAAGACTTGTTTGACAATATTATAAAATGTTTCCTATTTTTCTTTTGTATTTTTAGTAGAAATGTGTTTATTTCATACAAAATTTGAAGCGGTCAGTTTTTGTCACATGACTCTTAATGCGCTCGCAGCATTCCTTTAAATATGTGCACCTGGAAAGCTTGAGTGCATCGCACCATGTGCGTCGCTGCCAATATGCGCACGAAAGCTGTGCACCTATATTAGAAATACGAACTTGCACGTTTAAAACACGAGATATGTAAATAGCCCTTAGTTATTAGCCTTAGCCATAGAAGAAAAAAAATCTGCCTTTAATCCAGTGTGCATAATTATTTTGCACAAGCTCGGAACTTTAAACTAGCACACAGTTGGCATAACTTTGTTTAGTTGCAGCAGTTTTGTTTCGTGCAGAAACGCGGTGTTGAGAAGCCTTTATAATTAATTAACCGTGACGAATTAAAGTGTGGTTAATAGTGAAACCTGTCAATCATTGCATCCCTGGTCTCTAATGACAGGCTCAAAAGTAACAATGTGTAATTTATGTTGATAGTGAAATTATTTTGAAGTTGTTCTACATTTGTTCAAAATACCACCCGATATTGATAGACCACACTTATGAGTTAGTAACTACAATGAAAATATATTTCTGTCTAAAACTTTACCTTTTAAAAATAGGTTTTATGGAAAAATGGTACTTTCGTCACAGCGCTCCCCTGCTGGTCAAAATGTAAAATCATTAAAATAGGCTGATTTGGTGCTCCTAAAACATTTCTACTTGTTATATATATTTTGAAAGCCGCTACACTTTTACAGAACTGTATGATGAATTTAAAAAAGTTAAAAAGAAATGAACTGATCGTCGACATTTAGTTTAGATTATTATACCATGGCATAGTTGAACAAAAATATTCTGGTTGGTTGACAGTTCTGTCAGATTCCAAAATGTTGATTCATTTCTAAAAGCATGTGGTTATGAAGAAGTTCCAGTTTCACCACATTCATTTCATTTAATAGAACTTCACAGCTTACCACAGTAAAAGGACTGCACAAATACTTTCGATATGAAACTCTAGAATAAAACCTACACAAGTTTTTTAGCTGATGCAGGTCAGGGTGTGGGCTGGCGACAATGGAACAATTGTGAATGTAAAGCAGTTTGCATCGCATTCAGCAATAAAGCTGAAACCACAGCATGGGACAATGCAGTTAAAAGGCAGGACGCAAGACAGTCAAAACAAGCCATAGGTCAGACAAAGTTCATGCAGGGATAAGACGAGCTGCTCACCCCTGCTAGACACTTCTCCAGTGTGTCCAGTATGATCAGCTGGGAGAAGTAGAGGTTCTTCTCAGCAGCTTCGCCAAATATCCGCTATGAACGAGATACAGCAATATATTGATAAGAACTCTAATCCAGTGTGCTGCCAACATAAAGTATGCTTACATGGGCATCAAAATTCAGATTTTAATCCAATTAAGACAATACATAATAAATACATAATAAATTCATAATAAATTCAGAGTCAACTACATAAACAAATTATTGATTACCTTAATCTGGCTAAAGTCATAAAGTAACACACATTTAATTAAGATTAGAAGAGTATTGTTTTTGTCGCATTGTTATAGCACAAAAGGGCCCGTTGCTAAAAAATTGGTATTAGCGGTCATATGTTTGCACAAATATCATGATAATTAAACGGAATATGGTTTAAAAACTTTAAATAATCAAACAAAAATTACTTGCAGTACCAAGAAATGTAATTTTTTATTTATTTAATGCCATGTCAGAAACCAAGGCTTTAATGGCAAGAACATGATAATAATAAATATACAATTAAAAAAAAATCACAAACTAATAGATTTTTAGCACTAATACTAAAAGATTTTTAGCACTAATACATGATAAAAATTCTACAATTTTTCCTGGAGTCACTTTTTTATTCATTTTAGTTCATTTCATAAAAAAGTCTTCTGGAATCATTAAAAGCAGGACAATCCAGTAAAATATGTTTTAGTTTGAGAGGAATTGTGCAGTACAAACATTGAGTAGGGTCTTCTACAATACCATGGTGAACATAAACTGTTGATGTGCAAAATCCAAAGGAAATGTTTGATAGTCACGTAATGACATCAATCAATCTTTGTACTATAAAATGTAAAACAGGAACATAAAAAATAACATTCTAAAAAAACTTGTTTAAGCAATCATATTAATGTCTAATTTAGATTCAGGTAAATCATTGATTACTGATGTAATGATGAATAAAGTGCTTTGTTACATTCCACATATGAAGTAACTCATGTACTAATGTTTTAGCTAATAATGGTAAACACTACATTTAGGGCATTAGTTTACCCAATAGGGAAATTATGTTGTTAATTATGTCTTTCCAATCCCCAAAACTTTGTTGATTTTCAGTACACAAATTAAGATATTTCCGAGAGCTCTCAGACTATTTGTAAACAATACGTATCATCAGATTATAAGAAGTATTTGCACAAGCAAATCCCTCTGTGGTGAGTGACAAGTACTGTGAGAATGAAACTAAACTGCTTTGTTTATGATTTGTTTGTGCAAAAAACATCCTCTCACACGGATGCAGAATGCACACTCATTTCAGTCTGCTGTTGTCAGTTTGGTGTGTTCATACTCAGATAATTGGTCCAGACAAGACCAGAAGCGAGCAGACAACACAATTGGTTTTCATCTGCGCTAGTTCTTTGGCATTGGTTTGCCGTGTCCTGGCTTTTAGGTTGGCCCTTTGCCAAGTTAAGAGCAAGATATTTGAATATACCATTAAATGCATTGTGCAAATATTGGGTAAAATTATTTATTTTATTTCAGATTTAGACAAATTAAAAGCAAAGATTAATGTAGAATATTAGTAAACCTTTATCTGGCATCCAGGATTTATTTGTTCACCATAAATAAAAATCTGTTTATCAAACTGGGAAACGTGAATGTTATGGATGTGAACTTACCATGTTGTTCACATTTTTGAGTATGTTGGTCAGGCCATTGATGACGAGGGCAAATTTGTACTTGGAGATGTTGATCAAACATTCTTTGTTGTGCTCTGTACTCACTTTGGTGTGGGTGCTCTGCTGTCCTGTTTTGATTGGGAGCTGAATGAGGGAAAGAGAAAGACAGAGGGAAAAGGTGTGAATGAAATTGCTATTAAATGCAGGGGATGCAATAAAAAAGGTGTATATATATATATATAAACTAAGTAGTATACAAGAAATAATATACAGTTGGCAACATTTAAAGATATGTATTTTTTGTCAAAGCCCTAAAGCTATTCAACACCCATTTTTGTCTTAGGACAATTGTAAAAAAAACTTTTTTGATCTGGCAAAAGTCAGTCCAAGGCATTCAAAAATGTAAAGAAAATATTAAAAAGCCTTTATTGACATGGCTCTTCCTTAAAACTGCCCCTAAACATTTCAAGCAAACACTTGCCTTCATCAGGGTGACCAGTTTTAAGGAAGAGCCATGTCAATAAAGGTATTTAATATTTTTTCCCCATTCTTCGAGTGCCTTCAACTGACTTGTTGTTTATTCAGATGAATCCCTCACCCAAAGAGCACCGACACATTAAGGTACCCCTAAGCACTTTTTGTTTGATTTTGAACTACTTTGATCCACTTTAAATGTTGACTACTATATATAAATAAAATAAATCAGCTGGCAATACTATTCTGTAGAAATGTGGTGGCAATTTGTTACCCGATTTCCGAGGTGATTTACATGACCAAACTAGTCACTAATATAATTTCAAAATATTCTAAAAAATACTAATGAAAATAACTTTGTTAAACTTTGATCAATAAGAGTCACTGTCCCATAATGCAATTTGAAAGTGTAAATAGGATGTCAAATCTTTGAATCACAAAATACAGAAAACTGTAATTGACCATTTTTATTTTTTGACAAAATGTTGCATGTTATTTAAAGAACATATGCAAAACATTTTATTGTTCGAGCATCTACTGCATATTGCAATGTGTGTATACGCAAGTCACATTGAAGGATTAGATTATTTATTAAAGACATTATAAAATAGTATTATTTTAAAATCATTTAAACAACAATGACCATGTTATTTTATGTTTGATTGTTCAATTCCTGTACCCGAATACTGTTAGACTGCAAAAAATGATAAAGCACAGTTTTTTAACTATTATCTTTGCTCTGTTGTATTTATATATGCTTGTAATTTGTTATAATATGCAAATGCACGGCGTAGAAAAGGACTTGATCATCTCAATCTTTCCAAATAGATCGATTCATTCAACTCATCTGGCGAAATTATATTCATATTGCAAAAAAACAAACATTGCAATGTCCAATTTTCCAATATCTCACAGCCCTACTATACGAAAATTCAATAAAAAACGTTGATATCAAAATGTTCTCTCTACAGCTCTCCATTTTATTAATTACTCCAGCAGTCAAAGTCCCATCAGTATGTACAATACACACAAGCATGCATACATAAACACACATGCATTACGCAGCTTTATCAAAGGAAGTTAAGATAACAATCTATGGGTCTGGTTAACAGGTGTTGGTGAATGTAGGGTTCCTACAGCCTGATTTTCAAAGCCTGTGTGACTGCTTTATTGAGAGCACTGGGTGGAGAACAGCTTGTAACATTTGGGACGCACAGACTCCAGAGTGAGAGGTCGAAGAGTCTTAAATTTGACACACCCACTCCTGAGAGAACATCCAAGTATAAAGCACCAACCCACCCATCCATCCTGGGTCTAAACTCTCAAACTTTAGGTGTTAAAACAAAGCGCCTCCAGCTCTCCAGACTTCCGGCCTGTATACCGCACACCTGCAGGCCAGCACATCTGCTCTAGTTCTCTCCAACACACACAAGTGTGTGCAAGCGGGGAGTGTTGAAAGCACACATGGCCTGGCCCTCTTAATGAAGCGTATGTGCAGTGAGGGGGTGGAGGGCAGGCCTCTCCTCCTCTAAGCGTTCCCTCATGAGAAATTGCTCTTCACTGTTTCCGAGTGCTACGGTTCCTCTCTGGATCAAAAGAACTGTGCTAGAAGTTATACAGCTTGAGAACAACTTACAAACGCCAACTAAATGCTCTAAAATATTGAGCTCGGGAGCTTGTTTGCCAAAACAAGTTTGAAAGGCTTTTGGTACGCCCTGGTCCTCGACTTTTTACCCTTATTTGTTGTCCTTTCTATTTAATTTGGGCTCCATTTAAATCAGGCATAAAGATGTTTATTGGTCAGTCTGAGAACAATTATATCAGGGGAAACATTCACGTTTACACCTGCCATTTTAATTTGTCTTTTCTGTACACATTCAAGCACTTTCCTGATCCCTCTGAGGGGAAGGGCTATGGACATGTGTATTTATGGCCTTTCTGATTCTTATATCTATTGTGAAAGCACGATGCACAATTTATATGACCATAAAAGGAGACAATGGAAAACGAAACCAAGACTATATTAATATCAGGTACACATGGCCTGAGAGACATAAGACAAAATCAACTAACACAACTACAACATCTAAAATCATAAAACAATCAGCATTTTAGCATCCAGGTGTTTTTAACTAAATATTATAGTCTTTAAGGTCAACTAATACGTTTTCTGCATTAAATAAACAGTAAAACATAAAAATAAGTAGCTAGATTTTGCTAGATGATTCAGTAATTATAGACTACATTTTAGAGATTCATATAATTAAAAACATGCTTTAAGGTAGAGATGCAAAACTATGGACCGCGGGCCAAAGTTTGTCCATGGTAACCTTTGATTTGGCCCAACATCCCATCTGAGAAGAGAGTGAGAATGATGGGGCTGGTTTTGAGACTGTCAATTCAAATTTATTGTAAGCCCTTGTTTGTTTGTTTGTTTGTTTATTAAAAGCTAACTGAAATTAAATGTTTTATTTAAATGCTGTAAATGAATAAGATTTTGTTGAGATGTACACACTGTCACCAGACAGTGCAGAGACTTTGATGAGCAAATCAAAGGCAGATTCTGCTCGACTAGTGTATTCAGCATTGAACTCCACTGTGTTATAAAAGAGACTGTTTATATTGTTATTGCAATAAGTCATACCGCTATAACAATTATACAGCATTGGTTCATACAGTCTAAAGTAATGTTTTCAATTTATTTTGAACTATTATGAAATAAATTAAGAAATCACTCATGGCCAAATCCAATGTAAAATAGTTATTATATTAGGTAAAATTATATTGTGTAAAATAGCGGTAATAGTTATATTTATCTTCAGCCCACGGCTCTCAATGATAGTTGTTATTTGGACCTTCACATGAAAAAGTTTGGCCACCTCTGCTTTAAGGTATATAAAATACAAAAGCTGTTTTAAAGTGTAATTTTATTTCACAGTATTGTTTTTACAGTATTTCGTTTACAATACCGCAATGTTTCAATATTTTTTTACTTTCAATAAAACTTAACAAAAACATACTAATTTAGTTTCATATTCAAAATTATTCTTAAAAATCAAGATTTATTGTTACGTGAAATTCAAGAAAATTGTATAACTAGCTGTTTAGATGAAGCCTGTTGTTTACATCGTTTAAATTAAAGGAATAATTCACTGAAAAATTAAAATTGACACTTAAGGCAAAATCTTGCTGCCATATTGTTTTTAAGTTGAATCAAATGCATTTTTCTAGTCGTTTCAACTTACATCAATCAAACTGACTAAAAAACAAAGTTGAATTTTTTAGAACTTACAAATTTTTGTTGAAACCTCCGTAACTTATTCAAATATGTTGAAGTAACTTAAACATTTGCTGTCATGACTTTTTGTCATGTAATTTTAAGTGTGGTTTCTAACCTTTATGAGTTTCTTTTTTCTGAATAACACTAAATATATTTTAAAGAAAGCTGAAAACTTGTAACCATCGACTTCTCTAGAAAGAAAAACAACTACTATGAAAATCAACGGATATAGGTTTCCAGCTTTCTTTTCTATACCATAATAAGACAACATTTCTTGCCTGTTTAAGGGTTACATTTTGAAATTGCAAACAAAACCATTGCAAATACAGTTTATTATCAACATAAAATGCAACAGTTTAAACGCAGACCACCAAAGGTATCGGATATTTAGTAAACCTTAAAATGTGTCAAAGCAGCTCAAGCAAGATTAAACCTTTATCAAATCTGATATTTCAAGGAATCAGCTGTTAATCTGCTTTAGATAAGTAGGCCTCCATTTGTTGTGCTAGACAGCCAAGTCACCGCTGGTTTCGCTAACCTGATGATTGCAACGGCCAGTGTGCCGGCATGTCAGAAAAACTCTGAGAAACCCCTGAGGTTCCCTCCTTCTTTCCGGCCCACTACTGTGTGGCCCTAAGAGAAAAGCGCGTGGCTGGAAATGAAAGTCTCAAGACCGGAGAAGAACCCGGCACACACACTGTCTGTACACAAATAAAACACATGCATTCTCACAGCACGAAGAGCCCAGCCCTGTTGACATCCATTTTAATGCAGGATGCCGATGGACAGTGAGCACTTTGTTTTCCAGGAATGGTTTAAAATTCCAGAAAGGTCAGGGACCATTCGCTTCCCTTATGTGCACTTTGGCAGATGCAGCCATACTCATCATGGCATATTAACCAAAAACACTAAGTCAATTGAAATATTATTGTGTAAATAGACTTTGATTATTTAGTATTACAGTTTAATGAAACTTTCATGGGCCACCATTCAATACAAATATGGCTTTCCACCCCTGTAACATCAGTTGAAAGGGTCTTGGCTAATCTTTTTAAAATTGCAAAAACATTTGCACATATTCTTTATCATCTTTAGTTTATCTTTGCTATAATTTCGCCAAATCTACTAATGCAGTTCCCTAAAATATGCATAATGTGGAGAACTGAGAAAGAATTGAAGTCAAAGCCCCAAAGCTGAATTAGATACAACATGTCATGGTATTTGGCATCCTCCGTATACCACATGAAATTACAATGTGGACTAGTGTCTGCAAATATCATTAATACGATTAAGATATATATTTTTATATGAACTCTGCATGTTTAGTGTATCTGCATGAATAAATAGCACAGTTTCGTACTTTGGTTATCATCACATCATGTAAACCTGA